AAACAAATCCGGGTTACAAACTAAAACTGAGGGAAACACATCAAATATAAGGGGAGAACAAAGACACAACAGAAACACTAAAATGCAACACACACAGAAACGAACTATAAGATAACAATAGCCATTTTTCTGACTTGGTACAGGACATTTTAATACAAAATTAATAAAACAAGGGGGTTAGATGTTAATATAAGAAAGACAACCATAACCTTGGAAAAATGCCGCCAAATAAAATAACGTACGCAGTTTATATTTTTTTTTTGTGGATGCTTTTCTTTTAACCTCCCTTGTGTCATCATTACTAGACCAAATTTAAAGTGATTTCATATACATTGTAACGTATCTCAGCTGATAACAAACACACGCACCTGTTTATAGATGGATAACAAGAACGTTTTGTCAGTCATTTCCTTTAGAAATACGAAATCGATACCGGAATCAAATTTCACAAAATTTGTTACGAGTCTCTTTTATTTATAAATTAACTGTTTACAAAACTTTTGAATTTTTGAAATACTAAGGCTTTTCTACCTCAGGAATAGACTACCCTAGCTGTATTTGGCTAAACGTTTAGGAATTTCGGTTCTCAATGCTCTTCAACTTCGTACTTTATTTGGCCTTTCTAACTTTTTTGGAATCGAGCGTCACTGATGAGTCTTTTGTAGACGAAACGCGCATCTGGCGTAAGTACAAAATTTAATCCTGGTATCTATGATGAGTTAATTTACAACCACTGGGTCGATGCCACTGATGGTGGGGTTTTAATTCCCCGAGGTTATCACCAGCCCAGTAGTCAGCACTTCTGTGCTGACATGAATTATCATTGATATGGTCATATTTATAAAGAAACTGTTTACAAAACTTTGGAATTTTTGAAATACTAAGGCTTTTCTACCTCATGAATAGATTACCTTAGCTGTATTTGGCTAAACGTTTAGGAATTTTGGTCCTCAATGCTCTTCAACTTCGTACTTTATTTGGCCTTATTAACTTTTTTGGAATCGAGCGTCACTGATGAGTCTTTTGTAGACGGAACGCGCGTCTGGCGTAAGTACAAAATTTAATCCTGGTATCTATGACGAGTTTATTTATATGAAATGCTTTATTTGATAAAAGTTATATTAATTGTGAATAACGTTTTGTCACTGAGACTAGTTATCAAATGACGGAACCAGATGTAATCGCAATGTTGTGTTATGTCATGAAGCAAACATTTCTACTATTATGTAATAAGTTGAAAAGACAGGCAAAGATATACACGGAATTAATCAAAGAAAAAATAAATAAAATCAGTTTTCCCATCTAAGAATAAATGGCAACAGAATAACGGAGTTATGCAATAAGGGATGATTCATAAAACAGAATCAGAATGATCTTAAGCTAGTATATGATACAACATTGACTGCAAGAATCTTAATGGAAAAGACCACCCTTATTTTAAAGTATTTGAACTTAACTGAAAAAAACTAAATACTAAAAACGGAAAGGGAAAGGGAACTTGAAGAAAGAAAAAAATTAAGGAATTACAAATCATTTTGGGTGAAAATTCATCGATAAGGAAAAGAGATTGTAAATACGGGAAATAGAAATATTCGAAATATATTTTGTTAAGTAGCAATCACCAAATCTATTACTATAAGAAACTTTGCCTTTTTTATTCTGTAGCTTTTTTAAATTCCACACAGGAAATTCTAATAGGAAACACAAGTTTTAGATTAATAACAAGCCTAGAGAAACATTAAACAGGTATTTCTATATCTTTAATATTATAATAGAAAATTGTGGAAATATTTTACACCATAACAATTAGTTACCAACCGGGCCCTGCTATTGCTTTCTAAGTATATTTGTAGATATGAAACATACATATCATGTGTCTTCAATTCTTTTTGATGTGATACGATGTTGATAAACTTGTACACTGTTTTATTCGCGAGGGTATTACAAGTCCGTAAGTCAGCACTTCTGTGTTGAAATGAAACATCATTGATACGTTCATTTTCTGTAAATTGACTTTTTATAAAATGTTGAATGAATTGAATGAATAAGGTTTTTCTACAATTACAAATGCCCATTGACAAAATAGTGTATCTTGTAAAGGCTAATAACAGTCAAATTACAATAATTTAATTTTGGATGTAACACGTCTTCTGATTGGCTGACGTTGTTTTGTTTATCAGCCCATAAACATAATTTTGTCTACTTTTTCATGGTTTACTCCGGTTTAAATGAAATTTAGAATTAAATTATAAGAAATGACTGTAATATTTTTTCTGTCTATGAAGAAATAACATAAAAAATGTAGTGCTCACTGAATAACCCGCGTAGCTAATAAAAGTCGAATTACAATATGAAATTGGATACCCACAAATATGCATTTCCACATTATGATATGATATCATCTTGAAAAAATAAACTCTACAAATTCCACTAAAAAGAGAAACAACCCATTCAATATAGGATGAAATAAATTTCACATATTAAACAAAATAATTTTTACAATGAGAACACTTCTATTCGTATAGGACCTGTCGTACTGAAATGAAGCGTGGGGAAAACGGTGTATGGGCAGACAACTATAACAAAATAAATATAATTCAGTTTCTTTATACGCCTGGAAAAAAACCACGTGTAAACAAAAATTAAACAATAACAGCAACTCAAAAAAAAATTACCAACTGGGCAATTTGCCATCTTGACAAATGTGACATCGATAAGAAATTAATTTTTTCATCGATTTTGGACGTTACACTATTCAACGCTAGATCAATGATTCGAGTATTTCAATATGTGTGTAAAATGATCATTCATTAAAAAAAAAAAAAAGCACATAAAGTTAACGATTGTATAGAGATTGGGTTGCCAGTACTCCAATGAGGACAATGGACCGATAAAGACAAAAAGAAAAATAATTACAACCGACATCTGACGCAACTATATTTCAACTTTAGCTGTCAGAACTAAGAATTGTTTTAAACACCATGGCCCGAGATTAATGAAAAATATAGAAAAAAATATCAAACTAAATTTAAGGTTTTTTGAAGGTCCAATACCACCATCAAAGTCACATGATGTCTTATTCGCTTATTATTTTAATTGAGTAACACGATGGATATCACTCGGAGAGCAAAATGTGCGAAGCCTTCGGGGGCACCCGAGATCTCCACTGGCTTTTGGTGGTGTTGTTCAATCTTTAGTTTATATGTTATGTTTTGTAGACTTTTGTTTGTCATTTGGTCGTTTTTCGTTTTTGCCATGACATTGTCAGTTTATCGTCGAATTATGAATTGGAATATCCCTTTTGTACATATTGACTCTCCTTTACTTGGATATTTCTGAAATTGTAAAATAATGTTGGTGAGTAGAATTGCAAATCATGAAAACGAATGTTAACTTATCATTTTCATTCACGTTTTATATCCGACGAGCCACTTATATAGGTGACATGTTGTCAAACGACTCCGTTAAATACCAATGTCATAATTACATTCACCTTGCATTTCATGGGGTTGAACATGTGGCACCAGTAAAGTTGTATTATTTGTTATATTACCGATTGTGTTCCTTTCCCAATTGTTGATGATACATACATAGCAGTAGACGCTTACCCTGTGGACACATCTGGTCTCGCTTCTATTCCAAGTTTACGCGATTCCCTCAATTTTAGCTTGTTACCATGATTTGTCCTTTCTTAATCGATATACCATATTTGAATAAGGTAAACTACTGTCGCCTAGATGGCTCTCCTGTTCACAGTCTCTGTCCTGATGCAGAACACACATTCATTTACTTTCTTGTGATTCGTAGTTACATTTCATGTGTTTTTGCATTAGTTACCTGCTGAGAATCTATGATGACTGCTTTATTATTTGTACAATCTTGGACAAAACGTCTACTAGCGTCTACTAGTATCGGTATCATAACAGGATTGAGAACTTCTTTTGAGAATATTTGCACCTTTTCTTATCTGGAACGATTACCTTGACAATTTGTTTTATTTGAATAGAAAATTTAGGTAACAATACAATTTGGAAATTTCATTCCACACACTGCAAACAATGTTTGGGGTCAAGTAATATCAGCATGTGTGTTTGTCTCAGCCTCAATCAACTTCTATGTCGTTTGTTTGTCTCAGCCTCAATCAGCTTCTATGTCGTTTGTTCTATTCATTGGAAATGTCGTAGAATACTGAGTCATATAAAAAATAAAAATAACAAAAAAACCGAGAAAAATTCAAATTGGAAAGTCCCTTATCAAATGGCAAAATTAAAAGCTCAAACACATCAAACGAATGGAAAACAACTGTCATATTCCTGACTTGGTACAGGCATTTCTTTATGTAGAAAATGGTGGATTAAACCTGGTGTTATAGCTATCTTAACCTCTCACTTGTATGACAGTCGCATAAAATTCCATAATATTGACAACAATGTGTGAACAAAACAAACAGACATATTAGGTAAAAATGTCAAAAATAGGGATACAGCAGTCAACATCGTGTTATAATCTTAATCACTATAAAAACAAACAAATATATTAGCAAAGAAAAACAAAATGGCATAAAGGCAAAACACATACGCAAAAATGAAAGACAAGAATACAAAAAATGACCACAGCACATCACATTGGAGGATGCGAAAGTACCAAGCCACGCCCAAAGGATATTATAAAACATGGAGTAAACACTAAAGGTTAATAATTTACAAAGACAAATAAAAGAAAACACTATAACACGTAATTAAGATGATAAACAACGTCAGTACCTAGAATCTATACTTCAAGACCATCATGTATTATTCGTGAAGTTAATACGGAATATTTATCAACTAGGTCTTGGTATCTTCCGAAGAACTTTTTTAGAAAAAGGACGAGAGTCAGACGTTCTTTGACACAGTCCTGGTTCATCAACTCTCAGACACTATATACATTATCGTTTTCAGGATTACCTCTTTTAAACTGTGAACTGGAATAAATGGCTAGTCCTATTCTTAAAACTCACCAACAGACATGCAAATTTATTCATATACATCTTTATCGAAACCTAGCATACCGGATTGCTGGATTTAAAACACTAATCTATATCAAAATTCACAAGAAACATACGGAAACGTATGGGAACCACAGAATCAAAATACAAGAGGAACTGTCCACTGTACAAATAAAACATACAATGTTATCAACAGCACTAAAACAGTATCGCACTTTATTATTTCATATATAAACATTGGTTAATCTCTGCAAAATGGTTGAAAACAAACCAAGAAGAAAAGTTAACCAATAACATGTCACGTGAGAGGCCTTAGATTTTGAACAGAAGGCATCTTTATATTCTTCTGTTACTGCTTCCCAGTATTGTCCTGCTAAAGATGTGCATGTTCCTTGTACAGCTACAAAGATACAGTCATGCCATATCGTTACTATCCTGAAATGAAATAAAAATATGCAGTTCTGTGCTTTGTCCATATGCCTTTTTGTTTGTCTATGTTGACATATTTGCTTGTTTTTGTAGTGATTCATTTCACGTGGCTCGGTAATTGTACATCCTGTCATTGTGTTGTTGTGCTATGGTAAATTTTTGCATTCTTGTCTTTCGTTTTTGCTAATGTACTTTGTCTATATGCTTTTTTGTTTGTCTTTGTTGACATATTTGCTTGCTTTTGTAGTGATTAAGATTATAACACAATGTTGCCTGCTGTTCCCCTATTTTTGAATTTTTACCTATTATGTCTGTTTGTTTTGTTCACACATCGTTGTCAATATAATGGAATTTAATGCGACTGTCATACAAGTGAGAGGTTTAGCTAGCTATAAAACCAGGTTTAATCCTTAATTTCCTGCATAAGAAAATGCCTGTACCAAATAAAGGCAACAGTAGTATACCGCTATTCGAAATTCATAAATCGATTGAGAAAAAAACAAATCCGGGTTACAAACTAAAACTGAGGGAAACACATCAAATATAAGAGGAGAACAACGACACAACAGAAACACAACACTAAAATGCAACACACACAGAAACGAACTATAAGATAACAATGGCCATTTTCCTGACTTGGTACAGGACATTTTAAGAAAAATGGTGGGTTGAACCTGGTTTTGTGGCTAGCCAAACCTCCCGCTTTTATGGCAATGTTAAATATAACATTAAAATGACAAGATTACATGACAGGAATATGACAGTTGTTATCCATTCATCTGATGTGTTTGAGCTTTTGATTTTGCCATTTGCTTAGGGACTTTTCGTTTAGAATTTTCCTCGGAGTTCGGTATTTTTGTTATTTTACTTTTTTCTGTCATATAGTGATTATCCTTAAATGAAATAAAAGAATGCAGTTCTGTCATATAGTGATTATTCTTAAATGAAATAAAAGCATATAGTTCTTCCATATCGTCTCTATCCTGAAATGAAATAAAAGCATGCAGTTCTGTCATATCGTGATTATCCTTAAATATCTTAAAATAAGGGGGAAAATAGTACAAGTCATGTCATGTAGCGAGTATCTTGAAAAGAGAAAATGATATACAGCTGTACTATTCATCTATAATGAAACGTTGTTTAAAATAAAAATCAAACCATGTAGATAATATTTGAAACCTAGAAAAATATATAGCAATGCATAAAAAAAACTACCCTAAAACAAAAACAAAAAAATCACATTCATCCATCAATGTTTTAACTATCCAAAAACGGGAAGATATCACACACTGAAGTCAGGTAGTTACCATCCTAGAAAAACGGAAAGATATCACACAATCAAGTCAGGTAGTAACCATCCTAGAAAAACGGAAAGATATCACACACTCAAGTCATGTCCTAGAAAAACGGTAAGATATCACACAGTGAAGTCAGGTTGTTACCATCCTAGAAAAACGGGAAGATATCACACACTCAAGTCAGGTAGTTACCATCCTAGAAAAACGGAATGATATCACACACTCAAGTCGGTAGTTACCATCCTAGAAAAACGGAAAGATATCACACACTCAAGTCAGGTAGTTACCATCTTAGAAAACGGAAAGATATCACACAATCAAGTCAGGTAGTTACCATCCTAAAAAAACGGAAAGATATCACACACTCAAGTCAGGTCCTAGAAAAACGGGAAGATATCACACACTGAAGTCAGGAAGTTACCATCCTAGAAAAACGGAAAGATATCACACACTGAAGTCAGGTATTTACCATCCTACAAAAACGAAAAGATATCACACACTCAAGTCAGGTAGTTACCACCCTAGAAAACGGAAAGATATCACACAATCATGTCAGGTAGTTACCATCCTAGAAAAACGGAAAGATACCACACACTCAAGTCAGGTCCTAGAAAAACGGGAAGATATCACACACTGAAGTCAGGTAGTTACCATCCTAGAAAAACGGGAAGATATCACACACTGAAGTCAGATAGTTACCATCCTAGAAAAACGGGAAGATATCACACACTAAAGTTAGATAGTTACCATCCTAGAAAAACGGAAAGATATAACACACTCAAGTCAGGTAGTTACCATCCTAGAAAAATGGGAAGATATCACACACTGAAGTCAGGTAGTTACCATCCTAGAAAAACGGGAAGATATCACACACTGAAGTCAGGTAGTTACCATCCTAGTTAAATTTAACAGAGTCATCTTAACTACTTACTTTCCCGAGAAAATAGTTATACTCACTAAAAATTAGTGTCGTTTAGTGATTTTCCTGGAATAGGTAGGAAGACTTTGGACATGAAGGGTATCTGATCAGATAAGGACTGAAAATAAATAACATTGCCCCTGACAGGACAAAAAACAATATTCTAACCATAAAAAATTTACAGAAAAGGAGAAAAAGGGAAATTGTTGCACATTCATGTCAAGTAGTTTCTTTAAGCAAGAGATATATCAGACACAGCCACAACAAGAAGTTTCTATCCATAAAGGATTGGATAACATACAGTTATGTCATGGTTTACTCTTCTCAATGGAAAATATCAAGCAATCATGTCACGTATTTACATTCCTAAAAACGTCATATTTTGTAGGTATTCTCATTGGAAAAAAACTTTCAAAGATACCTAGCTTACAATTTAGTACGCCTACATAACACTTTACAATACCGTGCAAATTAAAACAGTTGAAAATTGCAGAAAAATAAAAACCAAAAATTCCAAAAAAGTGTTGCCAAGTTTGGCTAGTTTCATATATACCTGGGTTTAAATGCATTTAACGGTTTATGTACATGCATAAAATTGCATCGATGATATTTATTTCAGCACAGTAGCTCATGACTACAACGATGTTGAAACTTTCGGGGGAGACACATCCTTCTGCAGAGTATGTACCAGTAGTGAATGAACCTGATAGGGGGAAATATCACAATCATGTTTTTGTGGTTATTATCTTTAAAAAGAAAAAGTGCAGTCAAAGTTTTTATCAAAACATTATTTTGAAAAGTACTTTCATCCTATGTATAAATAAACACATCATAGATACCAGGCTAAATATTTTGTACGTCAGACGCATGTTTCGCCTAAAAATTACTGATCAGTGATGCTCGAATCAAAAAGGTAAAACGGCCAAATAAAGTACGAAGTTAAAGAGCATTGACGGTCCCAAAATTCCAAATGGTTTTGCTAAATTCAACTTAGGTTATCTATTCCTAGGATAGAAAATCATTAGTATTTCGAAAATTCAAAGTTTTGTTAACAATTATTTTTTCATTTATGTTCATATCAATGATACACGTCAACACGGAAGTCCTGACTACTATGCTGGTGACACCATCGGGGTGGAAACCTCCATCAGCATTGCCATCGACCCATATAATTCTTAACCTATAAGAGGGGTTAGCAGTCATTCAAAGTAGCCGTAATCCAAAAAGGGGAAAATTACATAGCTTTTCATGTAGTTTTATTTATGTATTATTGTCATTTTGTATATTTTCTTTGCTTACATCTTCTGACATCAGACTCGGACTTCTCTTGAACTGAATTTTAATGTGCGTATTGTTATGCGTTTACTTTTCTACATTGGCTAGAGGTATAGGGGGAGGGTTGAGATCTCATAAACATGTTTAATCCCGCCGCATTTTTGCGCCTGTCCCAAGTCAGGAGCGTCTAGCCTTTGTTAGTCTTGTATTATTTTTAATTTTAGTTTCTTGTGTACAATTTGGAGTTTAGTATGGCGTTCATTATCACTGAACTAGTATATATATTTGTTTAGGGGCCAGCTGAAGGACGCCTCCGGGTGCGGGAATTTCTCGCTGCATTGAAGACCTGTTGGTGACCTTCTGCTGTTGTCTGTTCTATGGTCGGGTTGTTGTCTCTTTGACACATTCCCCATTTCCATTCTCAATTTTACGTTAATTAGATTAATAGTAGTACTATTTTCCATCAACCTCAATACTCCTAGCAAATATTTGTTTTTCGTATTCAGCAATGTTTACTTACGTGCATAATGACACTGAATGGTTCGTCTGTATGTTTGTCGACATTTCTGTTGTACAACTTGATAGAGCTGATTCAAGTGTGACATTCGATAACAAACAATCAACTGCATCTACCATGCCTAGAAATTATAATTAACATTCAACAGCATCTATCATACCTAGAAATTATAAATAACATTCAACAGCATCTACCATGCCTAGAAATTATAATAAAAATTTCATCTGCATCTACAATGCCTAGAAATTATGATAAACATTCTGTATCAGCTTCTTGCATAGTAATTAGCTTGTATGCAATTATAATTTTAGTTGGTAGCTTTCAAATATCTCTTTGTTATCATTGTTATATTCATTCAAGAGGAATTTATTGTTTCAATTACCAGAACTTTCATTGCTATTTAGGGCTAATAATGAACAATAGAACAAGTTTCTATGTGTTTTGTGATTTTACAAGTTTTATTAGTTGTTTAATTTCTATGCTAAGTCAGTATGCAAGCTTTGGACTATTTATATTGAAGTGAGATAAAGCTACCAAAATTTACGTTTCACTAAAAGCATATTTCAGTTGACCTGGTCACATATTCTATGACACTTGTCACTCAATAACAAGAGAGTGCTCACATCTTATAAAATTCACCTGTTATTGAGGGACAAGTATCTTAGTAAACTGGAGATAAAGGATACTACAAAAACTAAAAGGTCTGCTTCATATCTTGATCTTTCTTCGATATTAACACAGATGGTCGACCATACTATTATCTATGACAAACATATTGATTTCAACTTTCTAATTGTCAGTTTCCCATTTCTCAGCAGTAACATACCTTCTGCCCCTTCGTATATGTCGTGTACAAATCTCCATTATAACGTTACGCGCGTACATGGTACCACTATACGGACTTCATTAATAAGGGTTACACAAATACAACTTCAACCGAGTTATGAGAACACCTGCAATCGACACTACATAAGTTTTACGTTCACCTTCACAAATTGGTTGACAGAAACAATGTGTCTGTGTTTCAGCTCACTAGCGACATGTTTTCGCGGCCTTAGGTCTCTAGATACAAAAATTAGAACAGCCGTGTGATATGTAATTGTACCAATTATGCCTATTCCCGAGTGTGACATTTTGAATGAGTGTGGATTCGTATGGTTGTTGATGCATTCATAGCAGGAGACCCTCAATCTGTCAACACACCAGGTCTTGCACAATTTGGAGTTCATATAATAGTAACGGTACCAATTTTACTGTATCAGATGCGCATTTTGACAATAAATGTCTCTTCAGTGATGCAATTGTCGTAGTTTTTGTTTGTTACTTTAATTTGTATCTTCTTTATTGATTTATGAGATTTTGACATCGGTAAACAAGATTTTTTAACACTGTATATGTCGATTTTGTCATTGATAAATAGTCATTGTAATTGCTGACTTAGTTGATGTGTTTCCCTCGGTTTCGGTTTGAGACCCGGATTTGTTTTCGCTTAATCGATTTATGACTATTGAACAGCGGTATATTTCTGTTTCCTTTATTTAGCCATTTATTAATTCATTCTGCATTTGTTGACTTGCTGACTTGGTCAATAAGTTATGGACAGTGTGATTTCTGACCTTACCACTGTTATGTGAACTCTTCTGTTTGATACCTTACCGTTGATTTATGAAAACTGCAATTAACGGCCTTGTTTTGTGAACACTTCGATCAGAGATTAGCAACCTTGTGATTGATTTATAAGCACAGTGACAAGCACATAACTATTGATTTCCAAGCGCCTTGTAGGTCTCCTAATCATGTCATGATGGTGTAACAAGCAACCTTACTGCTTATTTTGTCATTGATTTGTGAACAATGCTTTAAATACCAAGCAATTGAATTGAAAACTGTGATAAAGTTGATATTACCATTGATTTGTGAACACTGAGATTTCCCAAGTGCGTTCTTTTTTTCCTGAGTGACAGACAAGTCAGCCTCAAATTCGCCAATAATATACTGACATGATGTTGCCAGCAAACTGTGGTTGTTTATCTGACAGCTTCGGTAATAATTCAAGTTGCTACAATTGAAAATGATTCATGGATAAATGATTGCCGAAAATTAAACCTCAATGTCGTAGTTAAGTTATACTTATTCAGATATTAGTTTCTTGTTTTAACTTACTAGTAAATCGGTCAGTAGAAACATCAGAGGTAGTGTGCAGGGGAGCACTGCTTTTACTAGAAAACAAATTTTGAAATGAAACGGATTTTTGAACTAAACAGCTCTTAAAAATTGTAAATCGTTTACATATTTTGCTCTGTGTATTTATGTATTTATGTCTTTATTTACTGATGTTATGTAGTGTCTGTATGCGATTGTGATTGCAAAGGTTTGACAGAATAAAGATATATATCAACAAAAACAGAACAATACATTTTAATGTCAAGGTCAGTCATTCGGTTAATTTTCAGATTTATCCACTGTTGTAAATTCTGTACTGTTAATGCAATTCGCTCGTAGCCAATTAAGATCTGTTCAGACCTGTAAAAAACGACGAAGTACTGAATTGCCTGAAAAGCTGCTGAACAGAACTGCATTGACTGCAAATATAACTTAAACTTTTCGGACGACATCACGAGTTGGTTGACCGTTATGGAATATCTGTTTCACAGATGACGACGGATATGTTCCAATCGTTGTAACGACATTTCCTCGAATCTGATCAACATAATTATACTTATCACCGGGTTTTTACGCACATGAGCTTTACGACGGGTGCCACATGTGGAGCTGGATCTGCTTACCCTTTCGAAGCTGTCTATGGTGGTGTTTGTGTTGCTCAGTCTTTGGGTTTAGAACTTTGTTGTGTTTTGTCTACTTTTGTTTGTCTTTTCGTCGTTTTTAGTTTATTGCCATGGCATTGTCAGTTTGTTTTCGACTTGTGAATTTGAATATCCCGTTGGTATATTTCGCCTCTCTATTAAACTAACGTTTTAAGGTTCAAGCCTATGTTAAAATCAAAATGGTCGTTTAAGACTTAAATGTATCTACTAGTGTTTACACATGTTACAATAGAAGTACAGTAAAAACAAAGCGTGAATAGTGTTTAGATCAAAGAATGAATATCAACCAAAATCAAAAGTGAATTATCATCAAGACTTAGTCCACTTACCTACACAGCGTTTGGAGGAACAATGCATATGTGTTACGATTGAAATTTTCATAGTCTGGTACAAAAGGTAACGACGTAACAGCACCATAACTCTCTATACAGTCTATTACTTTTCTACAATCTTGTTCGGTCGTTGTGTAGGATATCAAAAAGACAACTGAAATTTAAATCAAATAAATTTTCTTCGATACACTAGGGTCTGGATGGGGGGGGGTTCTTCATTTCTGTATTCTTTAATTTTTAATGTAATTTTTCTGTATTCTTTATACTTTTTGCTCATTATTCTCTATTTTTTTATAATTCTAACACCCCATTATTCTCTATTCTTTATTTTTTTGCCTTATTTTTCTCTATTCTTTATTTATTTGCCATTTATTCTTCACATTTTGCCCATTATTCTCTATTCTGTAAACCCATCCAGACCCTTATACACCTGGTCCCAATATCGTCAGTTATGAATACACGATAAAGTTAACATTACAAATTACACTCGCCAAACGTTGCAAATGTTACGTAGTTTCTCGCCTATTAATACTTTCCCCGAACGGTTCATTATTTTTGTTAATATTATTATCCACGTTTGGTTCGCTTGATCTCAGTTCTTCATTGTTCAATTAAATCATGACGTACGTCAGGTTGTCTTCCTTTTCTCTGATTTAGCTATTGTGACGTCACGAAAAAAAAGAGCGACAAGTGATTTACTACGTCGCATACAAAGGATAGGATTTATTTACAGTTTATTAATTGCACTGCGAGTGCTCTTTGATCGATACTTTTTGTCTTTTGTCTTTTTTCTTTTAGTCTTTTTGTAAGTTGGTCTCTCATAATATGTTTTACCTCATATTTTTAGAATAAATCAGGCCGTTGGTTTTCTCGTTTAAAATGTTTTATATTTTTCTATATGGGGGGCCTTTTGCTGCTTACTATGCGGCATAGTTTTATTTCTTGTTCAATGCCGTGCAATAACCTACAGTTTCTTACGTCCATGTCATTTGGTCTCTGGTTGATAGTTTTCTCATTGGCCATCAAACCAAATCTCCAAAAAAACTTATTTTTATAGGATCTTTTTGATAAATAAAGATAGTTAACGTGAGGGTACCTATTTGACAGTTTTTTCCACCTACGTTTATTTATGATCCAGACAAAAGTTTCCATTCTGGGTTTATTTTGTAGATGTATCCTTTTTTAATATATAGTTCCACCAATTTAATTTTGAATCCATATTAAATCATAGAAAAAATGGGTTTGAACCGACCTCCAAACGATCCATGATTCTGTATTGAGGAGTACCCAAATTGCATCCATGCTTAAATTCACATCCTTAAAAATCGCATAACAGATGTTTTGTTTTATTTCTTCAAATATTTAGAATAATTTGACATTAGTCTATGCTTACAATTCACTTTTTAAGAAATGGATACTTGTAACATTTTATTTGCTCATTTTTAAAAGATGACTTTTTGTGGACGTCGCATGGCGACGTTTCCATAGATTTTACGTTTTCCTGTGAATACTCATCTGTTGATATACAGTGATATATACTGTTAAAGTTTTGTGTATCTCTACATATAATTAGCTATGATGAAAGACGTGCATAAGGTCAAATCATAAAAACACAAATTGTTAAGTCTCTGAAAAAAACGTGTAAGATTTCCGCTGCCTTTTTTGCTAAATAGGTGCAATTTGGGTACGGTGACGTTATATATGTGTCTATCGACACAACCATAAAACAAATAACAATTTATATAAATTAGTCGAAAATAAAAGTTACCTAATACTTACCTATGATAAATATAGTAAATTGACTCCTTCTATCCATCTGTATATGATTTATGTTTTAATGTCTGAAACAGTAAATATACCCAATCAACATATGTGCTGGTTTGTTTTCCTTTTTATATGATCCGGTATGGATATGCTTGTTTGTCAATAAAACATACTCAGCTTTCATAATTAAACAATTTCTGATATATTTCTAGTTTGATACACCTTTTTTTTAAAATAGAAGATTATACCGAAGTTATTTGGGGGAGTAGCATAGGACGGATTAACATTTTTTCGTGTGAATGTTCATTTAGGTGTCTGCAGGTCACAATATATATATATATATACATAAGTCAATTAAAAGAAGACTTTCAGACCAGAATGACATTTAACATCGTGAAAGGGAGAAAAGAATATCATTTCAAGATTGCTAAACCGTTATGAATGCACTGAATTAGCCATATATTGAAACTTTTATAATCTTTAGTATAAACTTAATCGCGTTCAAAAAAGCTAACGAATTAAGATGTCTGACAAGCTGTGGTTCGCTGCTTTCTCATTTATACTTTCAATACCTTTTCACTTGTCTGGCAGTATTTTTTCACATATTTAATTTAAGTATTATATCCCTCAGGTGATTTAAGTACAGATCCGCTTGTTAATTAAAGATGCATATATAAATCTGTGTTCACCATGGGTTTAAAATCAAATGGATGCAAAATGTTTTTTTGATCACGTAACTAAATTATTCTTGCAATAAAGAAAAATAAAAAATTATTAGTTTTTGTTTAATCTAATTAGAAAATAAAAAAGATGAAAATAAATAAAGATGAAAACAACTAAAAATTACTTAATTTTTAATTATTTACATGTAATTGCCAACTAATTCAACAATGTTTGGATTTCTGTTCGTCAATGCAATGTTATACAGAAGTTCCTTGGAATAAATAGAACAGATATAAATAAAAAATAAAGTAAAGTATGTAAGATAATTACAAATATATATTGGAAGATTCAGACAGGAGCGCACACACAGGGAAAGATTCAGATTATAGGAGCACACAAACAGGGAAAGATTCAGACAGGAGCACACTAACAGGGAAAGATTCGGATAGGAGCACACAAACAGAGAAAGATTGAGACAGGGGCGCACAAACAGGGAAAGATTCGGATCGGAGCACACAAACAGGGAAAAATTCAGACAGGAGCGCACAAACAGGGAAATATTCAGTTAGGAGCACACAAACAGGGAAAGATTAAGATAGGAGCACACAAACAGGGAAATATTCAGATAGGAGCACACAAACAGGGAAAGTTATGCCTTATAAATGTACATAGGATTTTTGTCATTTTTCAATATTTTCTTACCAAACAGTCACTCACGAATACAAACAGCAAAAACGGTCCTTTCCTAGATTTAGATATTTCAGTTTTACAAGGGAAATTCTACTAAAAAAATAAATTACGACTAAGAGACGATTTTTCGTTCACTGTTGTTAATTTTTTTTCTTCTTTTTTTTGGACTGTGATGTTACTTTAGTCCCTTCTATGGAAGATACAAAGACCTTGTTGATAAATATTCCGTATCAACTTCACAAATAATATATGATGGTCTTGAAGTATAGATTCTAAGTACTGACGTTGTTTTTCGTCTTGATTACGTGTTATAGTGATCTTTTTATTCACCTTTGTATATTTTAACCTTTACTGTTTAGTCCATTTTTGGTAATATCCTTTTGGCGTGGCTAGGTATTTATACATACCGCCATTGTGTTATTGTGCTATGGTAATTTTTGTATTCTTGTCTTTCATTTTTGCTTATGTACTTTGTCTATACAGTGTCTATAGAGTGCATTTATGCCATTTTGTTTTTCTTTGTTTAAATAGTTGTATTTTATAGTGATTAAGATTATCACACAATGTTGACTGCTGTACCCCAATATTTGACATTTTTACCTAATATATATAGTATTGTGTCTGTTTGTTTTGCTCACACATTGTTGTCAATATAATGGAATGCTATGCGACTGTCATACAAGTGAGAGGTTTAGCTAGCTATAAAGCCAGGTTCAATCCACCATTTTCTACATAAAGAAATACCTGTACCAAGTCAGGAATATGACATCTAGTTTCTTTGCCATTTGATAAAGGACTTTCTGTTTTGAATTTTGCTTGGAGTTCGGTCTTTTTGTTATTTTATTTTTTTCTTGCGGTATGTTAATTTCGGAACTATGCCTATGTCTGTAGTAGTGTTTTAGATTTCAATGAACGTAATCTATGTTTTAATGGTAAATTATTGGGTCAAGAATTTCGTTATCACAAATTACTTGAAACATTTACTAAATTCTTTTATATATACAAAGATTTGGCTTGGAAGTTTGGCTGTATCTGTATAAGTCTTATAACAAACGGGATAGCACATCTTAAATTTACGGTGATGTTGTTTACTTAGATACGATCCGGATTGACTTGTCGATCCTTTAAAAAAAACTTATTCGAAAAGTTAAATCTATGATGGCAAGATACTAAATCCCTAAGGAGAGGGATTGTGCTCGATTTTCATATGATAAATACGTAATCTTTTGATCAGTTTAATTGAGGTCTTGAGCTGGCATGTCAGTAGCTGCTAATAGTCAATTGCTAATTTATGTTGATCATTGTCATTTTGCTTAGTCCCTTCTGTTATATATTCTAACATCGGACTCGAACTTCTTTTAAACCAAGTTTTACTGTGTGCATTGCTTGTGTTTGTTTATTCCACAACAGGCTATGAGATCGCACAAAACAAGATTAACCCTGTCGCATTTTTTAGCCTGTCCAAAGTCAGGAACCTGTAGCCTTTGTTAGTTTTGTGTGTTTTTTTTTAATTTTGATTTATATGTTTTGGAGTTTAGTGTGGCGTCCATTTCGCTAAACTAGTTTACATTATTGTTTAGGGGCCAGCTGAAGCCCGCCTCCGGGTGTGGGGTTTTCTTTCTGCGTTGAAAATCCATTGTTGGCCTCGGGCTGTTTTCTGCTCTTTGGTCGGGTTATTGTCTCTTTGACACATTCCCCTTTTCCATTTTCAATTCTACCAAATTCAATACTGTAATAATATTTTTGAATATTGTTTTTATTTATACCGATATTTATTTTGTTATCAATAAATTAAAACCCAACTAAATATTATTTCTATATACATATGAACATTCAGTCCTGCAATCTGTCTATACTTCTAGTTTGGCGATTCCTATCGGTTTATTTAAAATCAGTTACATTATTCCTACCGGTTTCAGTCTCGTTGAAATCTCGGTCTGGAATAATTTCCAAAACATGTGATACAAGTGGCAGGTATTAATAAATTTAAAAAATATCATAATCAGATTAAACTCTGTGAAAAAAATTGTGTAGTTACAATAAGTAGTTTTTGAGTTATAAAATTTTCAAATTTTATAACGAATCCGGCCAGAGTCATCAGCTAAAATATGGAGAAAATAGGCGAGGAGTACAAAGAAATGATTTTACCAAAATATTTACAACCCATATCAATTTGTTTCTTTTCAAAATTCTTAGATATGTATTTTTCAATCATTTATAACAAAGAAGTTGAAATAATATATATGCTTCTGTTTTTCTAAAAAAAAAAAAGAGAAAAAATCTAAATTTTACAAAATTAACAGCTTTGTCAATTTGACATGAAAAAGCAAGAAAATTTTATAAAAATTAGTAATATCAACACCAACCTATAGGTTTTTTTTTTAGTTAAATTTATTCAGATTGGTCAACTTCATCTTTAGTGAAAGTATGAAAAAAGTTTAATTGTGAAACTGTATTTTTTTTTCCTGAAAATAGTCTCAAAATGGGTAAAAATTTATGAAAAATGGAAAAATCATTAAAAATGGGGTATTTTCCAATGGCCGTAGCAAAAAAGGAAGTGCACCACCATATGATTTTTTCTTCATCAATTACTTTCTTATAGTCATATAAACCCAAAATTCAGGTTAAGAAAAAAGTTTAATTCTAGAAATTTTTGGATCTCTAAGGTGTACATCCTTAACCTGCGTCAACCTTGAAATTTTAGAATTATTCAAGCGTGGTTCGTTTCTTGATTTGTAATACTTTCAATATAAATAAGAAGATGTGGTATGAATGCCAATGAGACAACTATCCATCCAAGTCACAATGTGTAAAAAGTAAACAATTATAGGTCAAAGTACGGCCTTCAACACGGAGCCTTGCCTCACACCGAACAGCAAGCTATAAAAGATTGTTTTAGTAATATCAGAATAAATTGATAAGATTCATTTTACATCATACTGATGAAGGATATCTGTTATCCGAAAAATATATTGGTGTTGTTTTGTTCACTTCTTAGGAATATATATTATTTTTCTATTGTTTACAGTAGCATTCTTTTCGTAACGATCCAGCGCCCTCGTAAGAAATTCGTTGACTAATATCTAGACGTTTTATATATATATATGAATAAACCAGTTGCTTTGCCTGTTACATTTAGTACTATATTAACTTTATAAGAATATTCTTTTTAGCTATTATGTTGGTTTTACCCAACAGTTGTGGTTAAACGGTTTATTCCATTGCTTCAAGTTTAGTTTATATTTTTGTTTGAAAATGTAAGCAATGAATTGTTCAAATTTCTTATTGCAAAAAAGTTGTTGTTACTTGCAAATACTAAGGAAATTTACCGTTGTTGAATAAAATCAAACTCATAATTATAATTAACAGCAAACAAAGCTAAATGATAAAAATGTATATGTCTCTTGTTTAATGACATTTACAAATAGTCCGTGCTGACATGATATATTACATACCTTTCTGTAACTCTCCGTTGATTAATTTTTAAATCATGAAGAAATAAGGTTCCAACTCCCTTAGGAAATCTAGATCTAAGATGAATAAAGCTATTATTTAGGTCCCTTTAGTTTTTTTCTCCTCATGTATTTAAATACTTATATATTTGTAGCTTTCAATATATTGTGCGGTTTGAGCGTTTAAGATTAACGTCATTCTAGGAAGGTACTTCGGACACATCAAATTTATAAAGCGCTATTTTCATTTAGAAAGAAAATGTTTATTTAGTATGTTACCTTGCTGATATTTCATAACGCCTAGATAGTAGCACTTATACAACTACTGCGCCGTCTGTGGTTTTCCTTATCGCTCTTGTCTTCTTTGTTGTTTGTGGGTGCGAGAAATACTGATTTGAAAATATCCAAAACATAAAATAAACAATACATAGTTGCATTATACTAATCAATAATCCCTGCACTTAAATGTGTGTAAAATTAGAAAAAATACTTCACACATCGTTTTTGGGAGATCACATTATTGAACTGAAGTAAAACTTCATGCATACAATAACAGACCTTTCTATCTCACAGTTAGTTTTAATGTATCGTGAAAATTAAATTTCCATCTCTCAGTTTTTAGTTTTCAATGTTGTGTTTTTTGTGTGCTGCGTTGTCAGTGTATTTTCGACTTATGAGTTTGAATGTCCCTTTGGTATCTTAAGCCTTTCTCTCCCATACATAAGATGTTTTTCAAACTATAGATTTCCGCAAGCATATATAAATTTAGCTTACACTCCCCCATAATATTCATCAGAATAGCATTAATTAGTTATTAATTGTTATACTTTTATTCGAATGAATAAAAATGTGAAAGACATGTACAAAAAGTGTTAGCTTATTGCCACCTCAACCATCTGGACTACTCAATTTTAAAACCAAAGCAGAAGGTCTGAACTTATACATTAGTAAACACTGACTTTTATAACAAATAACAAGTATATATGGTCAAACACTGTCAAACATACATATCTATTTTGATGAACTTATGACGTTAGTTCAGTGTCATCTTAAAGTTCACCTAAATTTTCCTTGTATTAATATTCGACTTTATTTATAACGACAATAACACTTTCTTGTCTGTAGAATTTTATTTTGGCATAACTATGTATAGTTCAAGGTCCTGGTGTAACCTTAAGGTAGAAACTTGCATGATTACCACGCTATGACAAAAATATTTGACAGTAAATTTAAACTCATTGCAAAATATAACTGACAATACATAACAAACTTATTCAATTTCCAAAACTAATCCTAATATTTACTGTGATACGCATGACGAATCTAAAGAAAACTATTTATATGTAAAACTTGGTAATCTGACTTTATAAAGTTATCATTTTCTACTTCAGTGAGATTTAATGACAGAAAAGTTACCCTGCATTATATGAAATGTTTGATGACGCAACTAGATGAGTTATACATTTTTAATCCTGAAATTTACATAAAATGTTTTAACTACGACAAATATAGATTATCTACCCATTGATCAAATTTCTATGGTATGTTGATGTTTGGAAATAATTAAAAACGAAACAAAACAACTATTACGTTACTGGTACGTTAAAATCGTATCAAAGATACCAGGCTAAAAAATTTCTACGCCAGACGCGTGTGCCACATGTAGTTGTGTAGCTCAAAGCTTAATATGTATTTTTTTTTCATTTCAATGCTTACAGCTATGACAGACTGATTCTTATATAAGTAATTCACTAGAAATGTCAACCTTGATTTCCCATTCTGAATGTGTACAACAGTTATTTGTGATTTGTCAGAGCAACATCAAACATTCTGTGGATCATTTCTATGCTGCATATTGTCGTTTTTTTAAAGATGTCACCTTAACACCAACAAAAATCATTTAAAATTATCACAGATAAAGGCTCAAAGCCTCACAAAATTAATAAAAAAAAAACAAATACACTATTAGAGATGGATTCAAATTCATCCATCAAAAATATTTTTACTTGTACTTTAAAATTATATTTATTTGAGCAACTTGTAACTATTTCTGGTAGCGAGTTCCAATCTTTTTATATTCCATTATAGAAAAAAGTGGTAGATTCACACCCTTTAATTCCAGGTATATAAAAATTCATGTTACCAGATCTTGCGTTAAAAGAAGTTTCATTTCTTACAAAATTAGTATGCAAATAAGTTGGGCATATTTTGTTATAATATTGAAGACATGATTGAGCCTCAATTGTTTGACTCTGAATAATTAAATAATATTTAAAAAACTTAATTTTTCAAATTCAATATATGTCACTCTTTTTCTGGGATGTAATTGTAGAATAAATCTCACAATCTTATTTTGTGCCACTTGAAGTTTATTCTTCATTTGTTTTGATATACTTTCATACTAACATGCACATGCATAGTCAAAATGACATTGAATCAGAGAAGAGCACAATGTTTTCTTAGATTGAAAATTTAGACACTCTTTGTTTAAATATTTTACATTTTTTTTTTTTATTCAATATTAATACCATTACAAGAGATAGCAAATTCATCCGTTATTAAAGACCGATGTTTTCGACCAGGACCAAAAATTATAATCTCCGTCTTTCTCAAATGTAGGCACAATTCATTGTCAGCCTTAACCACTCATGGCATGACTCTAACATTCTGGATAATTTATGAGAGATGACCCCAGGGTCAATATGGGAAAATAAAATTGCAGTATCATCTGCATACTAGTATATCAAAACTTTACAATCTGTATCAATGCTAGTTTGAACATCATTGACAAAGATTAAAAGCAATAGTGGACTCAATAAGCTTCCTTGAGGGACACCATATGTAATATTACACACTTCTTAAGTTACCCCATTCTGTTTTCTGTTTGTCAAATAGGACTCAACCAAGGTATATTTCTTACCCCAATAACTTCTAATTTTCACATAATATGTTTCAAACGGCTGCTGTATGTCTAATAGGACAAATTAAACAATTTGATATTTTTTTGTTATCATAACAGTTTTCCACATCAATATTTGGAACTATACTTGGATTTGATTTCGACTACATTAACAGGGCTGGTTTTTAATTTTCTGAAAACTTGAATTATCTCAATTTTCTTTGTAATGTTCTCTTGTTCATTATTATGCATTTCCCTTTGCAATACGTGTAAAGAGTGATAACATTTAATACATGCATCCTCCTCCGTGTATAACAGCTGCTTCCCTTTAAACTTAAATCAGAAATAACATAACACAAAAATTGGCGATAATTTACCTTTGCGCTATTTCACCGTTTGAGATAATTTACCTTTGCACTATTTCACCGTTTGAGATAATTCACCTTTGCGCTATTTCACCGTTTGAGATAATTTACCTTTGCACTATTTCACCGTTTGAGATAATTTATACCTTTGCGCTATTTCACCGTTTGAGATAATTTACCTTTGCACTATTTCACCGTTTGAGATAATTCACCTTTGCGCTATTTCACCGTTTGCGATGATTTACCTTTGAGCTATTTCACCGTTTGCGATAATTTACCTTCGCGCTATTTCACCGTTTCGTTTTTTAAAATACAGAATGTCCCTAGATTCTGAGACCATGATAGATATCTTAAAATAAGGCAGTTTAGCAAGGTTCTGTGTTTTTTTTGTTTTTTTTTACTTTGTGCAAATACAATAAACAAGAGTGCACACGCTGAAATGTCTCACCTGCTTTACTGACTAAGGTTGATTTAATGTTGAAAGTCTTAAAGATAAATGTTTTACTAGTACTACACGTATCGAATCAGCTTAATATTATCAATCATCCATTACAATGAGGTCAAGAACAGATAAACCCTGCCAGACAGACTTGTACACCTTACAATCATTCCATACATCAAATATGGTTGACCTTTTGCTTATAGTATATAAAAGAAAGCCTTAACCAGGAACACTTAACATTGACAAATAAACCCAAGACGAGATGATACATGCCAGACAGACATGTACACCTTACAATCATTTCATGCACCAAATATACTTGACCTTTTGCTTATAGTATTTGAAAAAAAAGACCATAACACAAAATAAAAAACTTTAAGGGAGATAATCAAAAAATTAAAATTTGCTTTTTGTTTGTTTGATCGTTAATGAAAGTGAAATAGTTAAACAACAATTCGCTGTCAGTTTAGTTCAATTTTGTCAAAATAAGCTAAGAAACATCGCTGATGCATTATTCACTTGCAAGTGAATAATTGGACCTCATTTAAACGGTATGCATGTGACCTTCCGTTTAACTCCTTAGCCAGAGATGGGTTACGCATAAACTAGGCGTGTTCAGCTGTCAAAAGAAAGGAAAAGAATGTCAAAATTGAAAGTGAAACAAGGGTAAACCATTTGGTTGACCGATTCGATCCACAAAAACTTATTCTTATACAGGTAAAAACGATGATTAACATATGTTCAACCTACAATATGAAATCAAACAGACCTAGAAAAGTCCAATTGCACGTATTTGCTACTTATTTATACCTACACATGTTTATAATGGGTTAAATGAACGTCACCAGTCTTCGGAGGTCACCTTGGTGGTTAATTAGATGGCATCTTCGACTAAAATACACACGAAATACTGATGCATATTATCGAGTCCATGTATCGTAAATTGTTTATGTTAGACTTTTTATAAATTTGGATATACGTTTTAGTATGTTATACATCAAATATGAGAATTTGAGTCAAATCGGTGAACATGAATTTGACAACTTATGCCTCTTTAACATTGACCAATGAACCATGAAAATGAGGTCAAGGCCAGATGAAACCTGCCAGACTGACATGTACAACTTACAATCATTCCATACACCACATAAAGATATCATAGTGTGTATAGTATCTGAGGAACGCACCTTATCATGCAACTTGATCAAAGAAATGAGGTGGAGGTCATATGAACCCTCTGACAGACATGTAGACATTGCAAGGAATCCATATCCCAAACATAGCTATCCTTTTACTCATAAGTGAGAAATTCACATTATAAAAAAATCTACATTTTTTAAGCAATTGCTTAACCATGGTCAAGGACAATGAACATATGACAGAACGAATCGGTATACAAATGTATGAAGCATCCATGTGAAGTGATCTGTACTGGTACAGTAAAGCCACCTCAAATAAAGGGACAAAATGCCATAATTCAGAAACCCAGTATAATATCCCGTTTATGGGAGATTTTGTTGTTGTAACTAGCACAATATTACCCTGTATTTTTTTTTTAAACAAATTTATTGGCCATGTCCATTTCTTAGTTTATACATAACAAAACTGGACTCCTCACTAGCTTTTACTTGTGATGACCAACAGGACAGGTGCAGCTTATGGAGCACCAGGCCTTGCGGTCATAAAACTTTTGAGCACGATTATCGCAATCAGTCTTAAATCAACCAATCAAATTATTGGATTTAGTGTTTTCAGCAAAAATTTTTTCTCCTAGTACTGAGTAAAGTTTTATGACTGGAAGGCCCTGATGTCCATGTGGTTAGTTATACTCAGCCTTAAGTTTTCCTGTCCTTTCATCACCTTTTGACTATGGTATTGTTATCTGTGTTTAAGTTATGGGTTTTGTTTGTCGCTTGGTAACTCCTTGCTCTTGAATAAGCTCCTTTCCAAATCCACATTTCCGGTCTCTGCTGACTTTTTTCATATTGTAAACTACAGAAAATTTACAGCTTGCTAAATGGTGTAACCACCTACTCATAGCTGATGGCCATAAAGCATTATTAAAATATTATTTTTTGTTGACTCATTTGGTTTCCTATGTAGTTGGTTTTCTGGTCTCATACTTTAAACCCATTTCTCCCATCCAAGAATGCATGAAATATTTGCCACTGGATGTGTAAACTCAAATAATCTATGGTGAAGTCAGGTAAAACTCAGTTAAACTATGGTCAAGTCAGGTAAAACTCAGTTAAACTATGGGTGAAACTGAGTTTATCTAGAGTAAAGTCAGGTAATACTCAGTAAATCTCTAGTGGTCAGGTGAAACTCAGTTAATTTAAACAAGAGTGCACACGCTGAAATGTCTCGCCTTCTTTACTAATCATTGATATTATGTTGATAGTCCTAAATATAAAGCTTTATTACAACTGTCACATAAACTTAACATTAACCAAGTAAACTAAACATTGACCAATGAACCATGAAAATGAGGTCAAGGTCAGATGAACCATGCTAGGCAGGCAAGTACAGCTAACAATTCTTCCATACAACAAATATAGTTGACCTATTGCTTATAGTTTAAGAAAAACAGACGAAAACACAAAAACTTAACACTGAGCAATGAACCTTGAAAATGAGGTCAAGGTCAAATAAAACCTGCGTGACTGACATATAGATCATAAAATATTTCCATACACCAAATATAGTTGAACTATTGCATATAGTATTAGAAAACAAGAGTGCACACGCTGAAATGTCTCGCCTTCTTTACTAATCATTGATATTATGTTGATAGTCCTAAATATAAAGCTTTATTACAACTGTCACATAAACTAAACATTAACCAAGTAAACTAAACATTGACCAATGAACCATGAAAATGAGGTCAAGGTCAGATGAACCATGCTAGGCAGGCATGTACAGCTAACAATTCTTCCATACAACAAATATAGTTGACCTATTGCTTATAGTTTAAGAAAAACAGACCAAAACACAAAAACTTAACACTGAGCAATGAACCTTGAAAATGAGGTCAAGATCAAATAAAACCTGCGTGACTGCCAAATAGATCATAAAATATTTCCATACACCAAATATAGTTGAACTATTGCATATAGTATTAGAAAAAAAGAACAAAACTCAAAAAACTTAACTTTGACCACTGAACCATGAAAATGAGGTCATGGTCAGATGACACCTGCCCGCTAGACATGTACACCTTACAATCATCCATACACCAAATATAGTAAACCTATGGCATACAGTATAAGAAAAACAGACCAAAACACAAAAACTTAACTATAACCACTGAACCATGAAAATGAGGTCAAGGTCAGATGACACCTGCCAGTTGGACATGTACACCTTACAGTCCTTCCATACACCGAATATACAAGACCTATTGCTTATAGTATCTGAGATATGGACTTGACCACCAAAACTTAACCTTGTTCACTGATCCATAAAATGAGGTCGAGGTCAAGTGAAAACTGTCTGACGGGCATGAGGACCTTGCAAGGTACGCACATACCAAATATAGTTGAACTATTGCATATAGTATTAGAAAAAAAGACCAAAACTCAAAAACTTAACTTTGACCACTGAACCATGAAAATGAGGTCAAGGTCAGATGACACCTGCCCGCTAGACATGTACACCTTACAATCATTCCATACACCAAATAAAGTAGACCTATGGCATACAGTATAAGAAAAACAGACCAAAACACAAATTAACTATAACCACTGAACCATGAAAATGAGGTCAAGGTCAGATGACACCTGCCAGTTGGCCATGTACACCTTACAGTCCTTCCATACACCGAATATACAAGACCTATTGCTTATAGTATCTGAGATATGGACTTGACCACCAAAATTTAACCTTGTTCACTGATCCATAAAATGAGGTCGAGGTCAAGTGAAAACTGTCTGACGGGCATGAGGACCTTGCAAGGTACGCACATACCAAATATAGTTGAACTATTGCATATAGTATTAGAAAAAAAGACCAAAACTCAAAAACTTAACTTTGACCACTGAACCATGAAAATGAGGTCAAGGTCAGATGACACCTGCCCGCTAGACATGTACACCTTACAATCATTCCATACACCAAATAAAGTAGACCTATGGCATACAGTATAAGAAAAACAGACTAAAACACAAAAACTTAACTATGACCACTGAACCATGAAAATGAGGTCAAGGTCAGATGACACCTGCCAGTTGGACATGTACACCTTACAGTCCTTCCATACACCGAATATACAAGACCTATTGCTTATAGTATCTGAGATATGGACTTGACCACCAAAACTTAACCTTGTTCACTGATCCATGAAATGAGGTTGAGGTCAAGTGAAAACTGTCTGACGGGCATGAGGACCTTGCAAGGTACGCACATACCAAATATAGTTATCCTATTACTTATAATAAGAGAGAATCTAACATGACAAAAAATCTGAACTTTTTTTTCAAGTAGTCACTGAACCATGAAAATGAGGTCAAGGACATTGGACATGTGACTGACGGAAACTTCGTAACATGAGGCATCCATATACAAAGTATGAAGCATCCAGACCTTCCACCTTCTAAAATATAAAGCTTTTAAGAAGTGAGCTAACGCCGCCGCCGCCGGATCACTATCCCTATGTCGAGCTTTCTGCGACAAAATGTCGCAGGCTCGACAAAAAGACCAAAACTCAAAAACTTAACTTTGACCACTGAACCATGAAAATGAGGTCAAGGTAAGATGACACCTGCCAGCTAGACATGTACACCTTACAATCATTCCATACACCAAATATAGCTGACCTATTGCATGCAGTATTAGAAAAAAAGACCAAAACTCAAAAACTTAACTTTGACCACTGAACCATGAAAATGAGGTCAAGGTCAGATGACACCTGCCAGCTAGACATGTACACCGTACAATCATTCCATACACCAAATATAGTAGACCTATTGCATACAGTATAAGAAAAACAGACCAAAACACAAAAACTTAACTATAACCACTGAACCATGAAAATGAGGTCAAGGTTAGATGACACCTGCCAGTTGGACATGTACACCTTACAGTCCTTCCATACACCGAATATACTAGACCTATTGCTTATAGTATCTGAGATATGGACTTGACCACCAAAACTTAACCTTGTTCACTGATCCATGAAATGAGGTCGAGGTCAAGTGAAAACTGTCTGACGGGCATGAGGACCTTGCAAGGTACGCACATACCAAATATAGTTATCCTATTACTTATAATAAGAGAGAATTTAACATTACAAAAAATCTGAACTTTTTTTTCAAGTAGTCACTGAACCATGAAAATGAGGTCAAGGACATTGGACATGTGACTGACGGAAACTTCGTAACATGAGGCATCCATATACAAAGTATGAAGCATCCAGGTCTTCCATCTTCTAAAATATAAAGCTTTTAAGAAGTTAGCTAACGCCGCCGCCGCCGCTGGATCGCTATCCCTATGTCGAGCTTTCTGCGACAAAAGTCGCAGGCTCGACAAAAATGGGAAAGTCTCTTAAAACAAACTATCACTTAAACAGTAAATATTCAACAGCTTACATTACAATTTTTTAAAATTTATTCCATACCATAAATCTCACTAGAATTGGTTGGATGTCTTTGTTGTAGAAATAAGATTGGCTATAAAGAAAGTAACACTACTTTTTATTTCTTCCTTTATTTGTATTCTTGGTCTATTCAATGTACATCTGTACATAAAATGTCAGTAATTTTGACAACAATATATATATTATAACCTCATTGTCCATAAATATTAAGTGGTAAATCTTAAACAATTGCATCAAAAGTGTCAACAAAAAAAGTGATTTTGTGTATACATCATAGACATATACAACCTTATTAATAATATTTAAGTGTTAAATAAATTTAATATTAAATTTACACTTTTTTTGTATGATAATGATTACATTTCATATGTTAAATTTTCGTTGAAATAAATGATACACATTTAAATTTTGACTAGGGTATACGATAAAATCTAGTTAACAAACAATATTCTCACTCAACACTATAATAGTCTCGCTTTGCATATGGTATTTGAATATTTTATACATATAAATCAAAGCCCTCATAAAATCAAATTTATACTTAACAAGGGCATTTAATCATGCACTGACCAAAAAACATTGTAAAAGTGTAACTTATACATAAAAAAAATAATCAACAACTCACTCATTCTCAAAAAAAAAATGTATTCCCAATTACCACAAAAAATAAAATATTCAAAACAGGCATAAAATACACGTATAATATATGATATAGTTATGCTATGAATGATTATACTTCCCAGTTTCCAATATCGATCGTTTTAAAACAAGTTTTGTGAACTGATATGCAGTCTTCAGAAAATGATAAAATTCATGAAAATGCTCTTAAATCCTCTTAAACCCATAACTGGAAAAAACCTATAGATATTGGGTATTAAAACCACAAATGGAAATGGGGAAATATATTTCTTGGTTTTGAGACAATGTACACAACCAAACAGCAGTATAATTATAATATTCTAGAATCACAGCACTAAGTTATCTGCCCCTTGACTGAGCACTACAGTTATCTACCCTTGTCAGACTAAAAGATATTTTCTTTTTTTCTTTCATTCTGTATACTGTGATATCATTTAATTGTACAGAAAATTAACTTATTTGAAATATTTCATTTTAGTCACATAATCTATCACATTTATATATATATTCTTTATTTTATGTACAATTATTGTGTATCACATGTGTGTAATATATTTTTGGTATTTTAATTTTAATAAAAATATATGTTTTTCAAATTTAAATCCAATATTTTAAATTTAAACAATAAATATCATATAAATGCAAAATTACAAGTTACATCTTTATACACAACTGTGAATAAAGTTCTACAGTAATGTAAATCATATTCTACCCCCTCCCACCCTAACTGTTCAGTCCACATTTTAACGTTTTCCACCTGGTTTTGGTCCCCAAGCATGGCTAGATTTAGGCTGTACTACAGCCCCAAAAGTTGGGAAATCATCATTGCTCATAGTGTCTGGAACCTGAGATTGATTCCAAGGAGCATCAGTAACAGTGAAACCTGCCCCTGGCCTTTCCTTCCTGGGTCCCTGATCTCTCTGGGGTTTCGTCAGTTGCTTAAGATATTCCTGGTCAATAAAATCTTGAAGCTGAAAATAAATTAAAAAAAGCCCTTTGAATTTATACTTCTCTTACAGGACATTCACATATATTATATTAAAATTATCACAACTAAGCACACTTTCTATCTATTTACATCTACTTGAGGTACAGTTGCCATTAATTTTTAAAGTTAACAATGTTTTCTAATGAACATTTCGTGAAAAAAACATTATACGAAAAAATAGTAAAGGGGAACAGTTTCCAGTCTTTTTTTCTCATATGATTGTCCGAGTATTTGCTTTCTATAATTTCATCTGAACACAAACCACAAATATATATACGGACTGTTCCAGAATTAAACACATGGGATGCATGGTGGACAACGTTTGAAGACAAAACTTTCATGTTTCTCATAATACATACAAAATTCTGAGGTAAAAGTGCTTAACTCAGTAGATAAATGTTGGAACAGCCCTATGATTACATCAACCTCCCTTACAACATCAGAATACTATGTTAGCTATCAAACTTAATACCCAATACTTTTACTGCACTAGAGCATTTATTTAATGAAGTACATGCATGAGACATTGAAATAATTAACCTGAAATTATTCCCGATTCAAAACCTAAATTCAACATTCTCACAATTTTGAAAATTGAACCTAAAATTAAGCTTATCACCAATGATATTTTTATTGGTATTACTTTAAAAGTTTATTATTATCCTACAAAGTCCCAAAAATGACAAGCCACCATTACTTTCTGATTATTTTAAATTATGCAAAGACCACACTACTTTATCGTAAGAAATGTACCATAGCATTTTACTTGATTGTAATATCACAGTAGAGTACAAATTTACATTCAGTATCCAAATAAGACTTACAAATTCCTCTTCAATGTTGAGCAGATGATCTCGGCAGTCGTAACAGTCATCCTCTCCACCGGAGATATATATAATATCAGGATTTTCATCGGGACCCCTTGGGAAGCGGATATCCACTTTGAAGTCATCCATTAATTTACGGATGTTCTTGCCTTTAGCACCAATAATACGAGGATGGACGCGATGATCAAGCTTACATTCAATAGAAGTCATTTCCTCCTGAAATATATAGAATTGGTATGAAGAGACATTAAATGTCGAAATGTGCACCTGGTGCAATAAAATTGATACCGTTAATGTTATCACTATAAGGTTGCTGTCTCCTCGACATATACCAAACATTTCCTTGTATTCATACACAAAAATCAAATAATGTTTTATTTCAATCAACAGATATTTTAACTTTAAAACTGATATATCAAATATCAAATCAGTATATTATTGGTTAATTCCAAAAATTGTTTGAAGTTTTTTTTATTTTCCTTATTATCAAAAAAAGGTTTTAAAATATACTTTAATGTGAATTCAAAATCATCAGCTATATTTTAACCCTTTCGCCGATGAGTCCTGGTTTACCGGGATTCACGCTTCAGACAGCTGACGATGAGTCCCGTTTTACCGGGATCGGAATACCTCTTTTATATTTCCCACTCAAAACAGTGCAAACACGAGTTATCTTTCTTTGTTGAATACCTGGATGAAAGTGTAAACATGGCGCTTCCGTTTGTTGAAAACCGTGTCAAAATCAGAGGAAATTTACGGAATTTACGAGAATTTAAAATGGGGGAACATTTTTTTTGAAAGAATATGGAAGAATTGAAGCCAAACTAGTATACTTTTTTGACATAAAATGTCGTTTTATGTACAAAACACTTGGAATGGACATCGTTCAGTGTAAGGAATTTGTACAGCCTCATTAAATTTTTCAAAATTTGCCGTTTTGGGTTAAAAAATTACGGTTTTGGGTCAAAAAGTAGAATTTTGAGAATTTCACCTAGATAATGCCGAAAATTTGAAAATTTGAATATTTTACGAAGAAAAAAATTATCAAAACATGAACAAAACTGTGAACATGGTGTTAGTGAATGAAATAAAGACACAAAATACTACAGACAACTTTTTATTGACATTTATTATGAAGATCTCCCACTTAAGTAATAGTAGCCAGGGAAGCCATCGTCTCAGAGTAGCTTCTGTCTGGGCAGCTATCGGTGAAAGGGTTAAAGTAGAAAAAGGCAAAACAAATAAAGCTTTAGATTATGATTGTTGAAAGAATCTTCAAAAACTATTTCTACATACAATAAAAATGAAATTTTCTTCATTTACTGGTCCAATAAGTATTTTATTGGTTTTGGAAGTCAGATAAAAGTCCTTCGCTAAGTATGTACAGTGGTTATTGTAAGGTTTTTATATCTTTTTGTTCTGCTGTTTAACAAGCATATAATTCTGAATGTAGTATCTGTATTTTCATTAATATATGTGTTCAGCCTACCACATGCACCACACTGGGTGATATAGACACATAGTATTATTACTTACATAATCTCTGACCATCTTAAGAATTTCTGCCTTGGCAGCATTGGCCTTATCTTCGTATCCAGTGATAGTTATGATATTAGTATCAGGATCCTCTTTACCGGGGAACTGAATGTTAACATCGAACTGATCACGTAGTTTGTTAACCACGGCCCCACGACGTCCAATGATCTTAGAGTGATACTGAGGATCCACCTCACATTTCACTTGGAAGCTTTTCAATAACTGTAAATACAAAAACAGGTTTATTAATTTGTTTTAAGTAAAAAGGAAATTTTGTTTATATTCTTCACAAGAGTGTGCAAATGCTGTAAATAAACTCAGAAAATTTACATTGTGTGTTGTATACAAATAAATCCCTGCCTTTTCTTTAATTTCAAATAATTAAATTTTTGCTTTTCCATATTATATTAGTACAATTCATTGGATATAATGAAATATAATCCAACATGTATAGCATGAAATACTTAACTTATTAAAAGGTAAACTTCATTTAGGAATTGATATCCACTATACACAAGTGTTGTTAAAAAGTATGAATAATCAAAGATGTGAACTTATTAGATATCTTCTAGTTTGACTTACTCTATCCTCTTTTTCCTTTTCTAACTGATCACATCTCTCCTGTAGAGCCTCTAATGCCCGTTTGACATTGGCTGGTGGTCCTGTAACCTTGACCTTGTCACTATGGTCCTCTGCTGGGGGTATTGATATGTTGACATCGTAGTCTCCCATCATTTCACGAACGTCTTTACCTTTAGCACCGATAATATATCGATGGTAATCAAATGGCACAGTCATTTCTTCAGTGACCGGAACCAAATCCTGAAAGTATACAAATGAGCTTTCATCACTTACTGTTTACCGAACAAATTTCACTGGTGAGTTATTATATGATGTTTTTGAGTAGTATATTGAAGCTGTAACCCATAATTTCACTGTAAGTTGAATTTGTTGGGGAGACATCATTAAGTTTTTCAGAACATTGTACACAGATTTTACCATGAATAAGACAATTAGGTAATCACTTTTTAAATGACAGTATAGACAATCTGTTTTAAAAATAAGCACTTTTTATACACTTATTTTAACAGGGAACATCAAAGCTGACTCAAAGTATAAGAAAATTGTCAAGAACTTCAATAGAGGTAAAAATATTTCATATTTGGACAAGAAAATTTTCAATTGAGCTTTCCACAAATATGTATTTACTAGAGCTTTCAATAAATCCATTGTTTGTTTTTTGAAAGATTTTTTAATTCTTTCATTAATTTTAACAAAAGTGTAAAATTTCTAAAATTAAAGTTTGATTTTCTGGAAAACTGTCATGGTAACCTATGTTTAATTCCCCATGCCATTGGTTCATGAAAGACACTGATTTTATTCCCTTTGTACTGGTTCATAATGAAAGACATTGTGGTTTTATTCCCTACAGACTGGTTCATAATGAAAGAAATTGTGGTTTTTTTCCCTATGGACTGGTTCATAATGAAAGACATTGTGGTTTTATTCCCTACGGACTGGTTCATTATGAAAGACATTGTGGTTTTTTTTTCCTACAGACTGGTTCATAATAAAAGACATTGTGGTTTTATTCCCTTTGTACTGGTTCATAATTAAAGACATTGTGGTTTTATTCCCTTTGTACTGGTTCATAATAAAAGACATTGTGGTTTTATTCCCTTTGTACTGGTTCATAATAAAAGACATTGTGGATTTATTCCCTTTGTACTTATACATAATAAAAGACATTGTGGTTTTACCTGTAATGCCAGTTTAGCTGCCTCACAATTCTCTGGTTTACCAGTTATAACAATGATATCGGATTTGTTGTGACCTGCCTCATCCCCGTTAACATCACCATTTGGTAAACTGTTCTCTGCTGGAACTGTACATAAAATATAATATAGGGATAATATGGAGGTCAACAACACTTATAGTATGACTGTATCAAATTATCATTTAGAACGTTTCAGTACTGAATATCAAAATAATATTCCATAAACTGGGATTCTTATTTTATCTTTAAATTCAAAATTGTCATATCAATCATAATCTCTTTTTTCACGATGCAACAGTATTAAGTGACTATATACTGTCAAGAAAGAAGTAATTCAGACTTATATCATTATATAACCTTACCTGCTCCATTCTGTCCACCATCATTCTGACCTCCACCATTCTGTTGTGGAGCACGGTCAGGAAATTTAATGCCCACTTCATGAACTCGTGTAATTTCCTGAACATTCATTCCACGATTACCCATGACAGTTCTATGATACTGTTGAGGGATCACACATTCAACTGTCACCTGTGCATCCTAAAATAATTACAAAATTATTATAAATCAGTCACTTTGACCAAAAATAAAATATAAACAAGCTTAGGGTATCTTAAAAAAGAATTATTACATCTGTATGTTAATTTAAAATACATAAGCCCAAAATATTGTTTTTTTACATAGTACAGTCTTAGAAATTTAAGAACTTACGAGATCTGCAACAATTTCCAGAATCCTCCTCTTAGCTCCCTCAACACAATCCTTAGATCCTTTGATTACAACCGTTTCAGATTTAATGCCACTACGAGGGAAACTGACAGTAACCCCACCATACTCATCAGCGATGTGCTTTAATACTTCACCACGACGAGCTACAAAGTGTCTATGGTGTTTTGTTGGTACCTGACATTCAATAGATACGACGTCATCCTGGAAAATATAAATACAAAGATATAACCAACACTCATATAAATACATTTACAGTCAAGTTTCTATAAATACATTTAGTCAAATTTCTATAAATACATTTACAGTCAAGTTTCTATAAATACATTTACAGTTAAGTTTCTATAAATACATTTACAGTCAGTCAAGTTTCTATAAATACATTTACAGTCAAGTTTCCGTTACTATTTTCTTTGTGTGTCTTGAGTTTTCTGAACTGTATTTCAATTCTCCATAAATAATTTCAATTTATTTTAACTCAGGAATACCAATTTTGGTGGATTTTGTAGGCATGGGTAAACCACAAATTGCTTGTTCCTGATAAATTCCGTCCAATAAATTATCTTCTTTATTCCACAAAAACTAAGGAATCTACAGTAAATGATAAAGATAATGAAAACAAAACAGCAAACCAACAACATACCGAAGACATCTTGCTGCTGGTAACTATTTTTTTAAATGAGAAAGTATATAGAAGTTGTATACAAGTATCATTATAAAATTGATGATACAACATACTGAAGCATCTTTGTGTCCATGATTTTTTTGAAAGTATTTAAGTTGAATGCAATAATCCTTCATTAAAGTGGTGATTTAATTATTGTCAACTCACCAAGCTCTTGATTCTTTCTTCTAGTTCTGCTTTAGCTTGATCAACTGATTCTTTCTTTCCAATGATTGTAATCAACTCTTGGTTGTCATCATCCTGACTGGGGAAAATAACTCTTGCTCCAGTTCTCTCTCGTACCTATTTATCATGAAAGATGTAGGTGAAATTATATTGTATTATGTTATTTATAATACATCGAAGTGTTGTTTTAAATTGGCAGACATCAGATTAAAATGAAAAATATTGAAACAAAATAGTTGTCATAATTTCATGCATAAGTTCCAGTTTAAAACTGGAAAGTAAAATTGTATCCTAAACATCAAGAACTAACTTTTCAAGTTTTCTAGCTTAAATACTTTTTCAATTGGCCTTTCCTGAATTTAAAGAATTACAATGTATTTCCAAAAGCACTGTCAACAGAAGAGATGTGCAATGCTAACATAACTTAAACAAAACAGCACTGACTTACCATTAGTGATTTATCTTAAACAACTGACATTATCACAAACTTATCTCAGAAAAAAACGACAGAAACAGAATGCCTATGTCTCAATTCCAAGACTTGTGCATGCAACACAATTAAAATGGGGCAGGATTGTTTGAAATGCTGTTAGCCACTAATTAAGGTTTATTATTTTTTTTAAATATTCTCCTGCATACTTTAGATTTTGAAATACCAAATATAAATACCTGTCTGATATTTGAACCATTTCTGCCGATCAAGAATCTGTGATATTCTGGCTTAGCTCTTACTTCAGCAGTAAATCCGGATTGTTGCTGCAAAATATAATTATATTTATTTCAATGTTAACAATGAATCATGTCTTCAGTTTCAGACTTCTTTTCTTGTATTAATAAAATCCTATATGGAAATGGTAACTAGATTATTACATTACTTTTTAATTAACTCTGAAAAAAAGTAAAAATACCAACTACAAGGTAAATTCAAAAAGGGGAAGTCCATAAAAACTAACAAATGAATACATTTAGAAATCCTTTATTTCTCTTTTACAATGGTCATATATTATTCTCTTAATGGCATTTTGAAACTGATACACCTATAGTTACTTTCGCTAATGCTTGTTAAACCTACTGTAACTGATACATCTATAGTTACTTTCGCTAATGCTTGTTAAACCTACTGTAACTGATACACCTATAGTTACTTTCGCTAATGCTTGTTAAACCTACTGTAACTGATACATCTATAGTTACTTTCGCTAATGCTTGTTAAACCTACTGTAACTGATACACCTATAGTTACTTTCGCTAATTCTTGTTAAACCTACTGTAACTGATACACCTATAGTTACTTTCGCTAATTCTTGTTAAACCTACTGAAACTGATACACCTATAGTTACTTTCGCTAATGCTTGTTAAACCTACTGAAACTGATACACCTATAGTTACTTTCGCTAATGCTTGTTAAACCTACTGTAACTGATACACCTATAGTTACTTTCGCTAATGCTTGTTAAACCTACTGTAACTGATACACCTATAGTTACTTTCGCTAATGCTTGTTAAACCTACTGAAACTGATACACCTATAGTTACTTTCGCTAATGCTTGTTAAACCTACTGTAACTGATACACCTATAGTTACTTTCGCTAATGCTTGTTAAACCTACTGTAACTGATACACCTATAGTTACTTTCGCTAATGCTTGTTAAACCTACTGTCTTTTAAAGTTAGGAAACAAATAATATATCTAATGTTTTCTTCCATCGTTTTTTTCCTTTACGTTTTTTTTACTTGTATCTTATTCAACTTCTATTTCAGCAAATAAAGATACAACTGGTTTTTGAGCAAATAAAATATGTTTAAACTAATATGATATATAGATGACTAACTACTGGTCTACCTACTTTTTCATTGGTTAATTCTTGAAGTTGTTTCTTTGCATTTTCGACATCATTCTTTGGTCCTCTGATTGTGACCGTGTTGGCAGTTGATCCTTGTTGTGGGAAACGAATAATGACACCACCACATTCCTGAGCAATGGACCGTATCAACCTGCCTTTAGCACCAATTATAGAGTTATGCAGATTGTGAGGAATTTCTATCTTTTCTTCCTTGATATTAGCCTGTCAGATGAAAATAAAATATCTAACAATTAGGAATTTCTATCTTTTCTTCCTTGATATTAGCCTGTCAGATGAAAATAAAATATCTAACAATTAGGATTATTTTTTTTATCATATTACACAATTCTATGACACATAGATAAACAGTCACCAAATCTGGATAGAAATTGAATCAAAATACAAGATAAGATATATTGATTATCAAACCAAAAGAAAATACTACAATGTTTTTTTTTTTCATTTGATAACTTGATTTTGTATGTATATACAATGATATAATAAAGCTGTACGTACCAAATCTTTCTGAATATCTTCAATTAATTTTCTTGCTTTTTCCACATTTGGTTTCTTGCCAGTAATTACTATAACATCGGATTCAGCGTTCTCGCTTGGTAAATCTATCTTTGTGTCAGTCTCATCTCTTATCTACAATAATAATTGTTTCATATTTAGTACTGTACAAAATCAATTCTCTACCTTAACTCGAAATAGAAAAAAAATATCTCTTTAATGAAATAAAAGGTAAGTGGATTGCTCTGATATCAAAATATAGATAAAGCAGTTTCTTGGCAATAGAAAGCAGGCTAAATGGACCTATTCAGAAATTCAAATACTGCAAAATTGTATTTTTCCTGGCATTATTTTTGCAATAATTTAAAACACGCGTTTATATCCCTACACAAATAGTTTGTACACGTCAAAATGATTGATGTGAAGGGACAATTTATGTTCAATGTGTGCCAATTTAAAACCAGCAAAAAAGGTATTGAAATAGCGAATATCCACATTTATATAACTGTCCTCGTCAATGCCTATTTAGACAAATCAGAATGTCCAAAACAGGTATGTTCCTTTAATGCAAGTCCTTTTAAAATCGGTCTGATGCAGTTATTTACATCTGCTCAAATTTAAATAATAAATCATGGAAATCTATGTCATAGCTGATCACCTTATTACAGCTTTAATGACCATTTGAACTAGGTTAAGTAAACTAAAAGTAACACTACTAATTATAGTCAATAAATACCTTTCTAATATTAGATCCTCCTTTACCAATGATGTTCTTGTGGAAATCTTTGAAGATGTGTACTTCTGCTTTATAATTGCTAGCAATCTGAAGGTACAAATTAGTTTATTTGTGTATATTTACAAAGACATGAGAAGTATTTGGAACTCTTTTCTGGTTTGTATAGGTTTCATGGCTAACCTGGCTTCATCCTGGTTGGTCAGACCAATGCCTTATCAAAGAATTCAAACAATAGTTAATGTTTTATTAAAAAAAACCATTTCAAATTTAAGCTGAATTTGAGAGTGAATCTAAATGCAAATCTAAATGCAAGTCTAAATTTGAATAAATTTTTCATTGTTATGTAGACTCAAAATGTACTTTGAATACCTACACTGATTCATCAGCATTTACAGATTATATCAATTGCAGAAGTACATTTTTAAAATGAAATGGTATACAAAGATTTAAGTACAACAATTGCATGTATAATATATGTTCCTTTCTTTATATTCTTTTCTGGTATCTATGTATGGACTTCCATCAATGTTGATTCATTTATATGCATCACTATTTATTTTGCAGACTGAGAAAAATTGTATTATGTGGATACTTGATTTCCTGGTTTTGATAAAATCCTGCTCACGAGCATTCAAGAATTTTGTTGAATTCTGAAATTCATACTATATGAATGTGTAACTCAGACATACCATATCTGTGTGCATTGAGATAAGATACTTGTAACATTTATCCACATCATCTTTAGGTCCACGTAACTGTACAATGTCACTCTTTTTACCAGGATCAGGGAATGTTATCTGTACTTGATTAAATTTATCCTTGATTTCTTTGATGTTGTCTCCCCTGGCACCGATTAGTGTTCTATGGAATCTCTGCTCTATGATTATGTCTCTGGTCTTCTCATTTTCCTAAAGTTAGACAGGGAGATAAAAATTATGTAGAAAAGCAAAAAGAAAACAAATTTAATCTGGTATATACCTGTCCCCCATCAAACGTTTTCCCCAAAAACATCCCAAACAGAATTTTCTTTTTTAAATCAAGTCATTAATATAAATGTATTTAGAGCAAAAAAGTTATTCAATGAAAGTTTATAAAATTCTTTCACTTGGGTGATAAGCTTACATCAAAATGGAGCATCCAAAGATTTTCTATAAGACATTATTTTACAATTAAAATGAACCAAAACATTAGAAATTAATACTGTTATCCAATTTTCTCAAAGTAGCCCTTTGTAGCAGAATAGCAGCCATTTATTTTTATGATTTTTAACTTTGTTGCCGTATTTATAATCATTTATAATAGAAGATTCAATGTCTGAAATATCCACGACGATTTATAATTTTTCTACATGCAAAAGTGACATATATAAACTGCTGTCGAAAATTAAGCTGTTTACAGCTATCAAATCTTGTTCAAAGGAAACATCAATTATGGAGACAAAACTTATTGTTCCCATCCTTAAGGGGTTCTTACCATTCTTCGAGCCATTAGCAATAATTCCTCCTTGGCCTTCTCCACTCCTTTAGGGTCACCTTCTATTCTAATTATAGGGCTGTTCATTTCATCAGCTGGAATCTTGATAGCAACACCTGTCTCATTTTTAATCCGTGTAACTAAAAGTAGAAATTTTATTTAATGCATTGATGTTGACTGATCAGTGTGTAGTAATAGTCTTCCTTAGTTATATTTCATGTCTTATGCTATTCTGATCATTTTCGGTCGTACACCACAGAATAAGTCTAAATTTTGCAAAATCTACATTGAAGCTAACAAGACATTGAACCATTTTTTGTTGACCTTTGGAACCTTTTTTTCCCTGAATTAATTTTGTTATACTTTAGGTTCTTTTTGGTTTAATAGTTCAACATTTGTATAAGTTTTGGTTTTTCAAATAATTTGGCCACAAGCATCAATGAAGAGACAAATATCATTGACATGCCCATCTGGTGCAGTAAAATTGGTACTGTTAATGCTTTTTAATTGGATAGCCAGAAATATATATCATACTGATGGACAGAATGGTGAAAAATATCATTAACAGCGTATACTCATTCTCTCAAATATAAGTTTTATAATTTTAACTCTTGTTAAGTAATAATCCCCCCCCCCCCCCACCCTCCAACTTTCAAATCAAAACTTATTTTTTATTTATATATAATTATAAGTGGGTTAAGTATTTACCATTTTGTCCATTTTTTCCAATAATGTGTTTGTGAAAACGTTGATCGACTGATATTTCAGCAAATGACATCCTCTTTTTCTGTAAAATACAAGACAAATGAAATTAACATCTTAACAAAAAGAAGTACGGAAGCGAAAAAATGCAATGATGACATTAAGATAGGAAAATGTCTTTAAATATTGTAAATTAAACAGTGAACCATGATTGCATTACTTTGTATATGTTTACATGTATTTTCAAATGGTCCAACGCACATCAACCAGATCAAGCTCATTTGACAAAAAGAAAGGTATATGAAATGGCATGGTATGGAACAGGAAAATTGTTGAAAAAGGCAATCAAATTTTTGTTAATACTTTTAAATAAAAAAACTGCCTTCTACTTTCTAAACATTTGATTAATTGATTGTTTAACAGGACTTTCAACACTATTGTGCTATTTCGTGGCGGTCAGTTTTTATAGGTGGAGCAAGCCAGAGTGCCTGGAGAGAACCGCTGACCTTCAGTAGGAAAACTCACATTCCTAGTCAATTAAGATTAGAATCTAGCGCACCTGCCAGTTCTTAACATTTGAACCTGTTGACCCGAGGTGTTTATTTCATTATAAGACCAAAACAACCAGGTTATATACTTGCTAAACATTTGAACCATCACAGTACTTACCAGATCTTTAACAATGACTTCTAATTCTTTGACTGCCTCATTGACTTCCTCTGGTGGGCCTTCTACGTTTATTTTGTCTGTTCCTTCAGTAAATTCAATATGTACCTACAGATTTATCAAGTGAAGTTATAAATACACGGAGACAAATTGATCAAGTGAAGTTATAAATACGCGGAGACAAATTTATCAAGTGAAGCTATAAATACGCGGAGACAAATTTATCAAGTGAAGTTATAAATACGCGGAGACAAATTTATCAAGTGAAGTTATAAATACGCGGAGACAAATTTATCAAGTGAAGTTATAAATACGCGGAGACAAATTTATCAAGTGAAGTTATAAATAAGCGGAGACAAATTTATCAAGTGAAGTTATAAATACGCGGAGACAAATTTATATAGTGAAGTTATAAATACGCGGAGACGAATTGATCAAGTGAAGTTATAAATACGAGGAGACAAATTTATCAAGTGAAGTTATAAATACGCGGAGACAAATTTATATAGTGAAGTTATAAATACGAGGAGACAAATTTATCAAGTGAAGTTATAAATACGAGGAGACAAATTTATCAAGTGAAGTTATAAATACGCGGAGACAAATTTATATAGTGAAGTTATAAATACGAGGAGACAAATTGATCAAGTGAAGTTATAAATACGAGGAGACAAATTTATCAAGTGAAGTTATAAATACGAGGAGACAAATTTATATAGTGAAGTTATAAATACGAGGAGACAAATTGATCAAGTGAAGTTATAAATACGAGGAGACAAATTTATCAAGTGAAGTTATAAATACGAGGAGACAAATTTATCAAGTGAAGTTATAAATAAGAGGAGACAAATTTATCAAGTGAAGTTATAAATACGCGGAGACAAATTTATCAAGTGAAGTTATAAATACGCGGAGACAAATTTATCAAGTGAAGTTATAAATACGCGGAGACAAATTTATATACAGAATCTTGGTGTCAATGCCTTTATGTGCACTATTGAAATCCTAAATCATATTTTTAAGCAAAACATTTTCAAACCAAAGCTATAAATCTGTTACAAAACTAAATACCATTACACTTTGTAGACTAGTCATAAATCCTCAAAAAATATATAAAGCGTGTTGAGTTGATCCAAGCAGCTTATTGTTAATGCTTCATTGTAGTAAAAAAAGATTCAAATATATATATAATATGTTTTTAAGGGCATATTTTTTTGAAGAGGAGTATTTTAGTTAGGCACAGATTATGGAAAAACCAATTAAAATTATATGCAGAGTGGGACTTTTCAATAAATATGTGACTCTGGACTCCCCAGGTGCATTTATTTCTAGAAAAGCCATTATAGACATTTCTATGTAAAACTAAGCTAAATTATATATACATGCAAGACATCAACTACTTTAATCTACCTTAGAAAATTGTTCAGTAATTTTCTGGATGTTTTGTCCCTTTCTACCAATGATGTATCTGTGTAGCCAACTAGGGGCACCAACTTCTGACATCACATTACTGTTTGCCTGAAATAAATAATATCTTTAATATTTATTTTAATAAATAATATCTTTAATATTTATTTTAATATATCAATTTTTTTTTAATATATATTTTATATATTAATATTTCAAGCGAATATGAAATATGACTTTTCTTGTAATTACTGTATTGAATATAATTCCTTATAAGTTATTCAAGGCCTCAACATTAAATCTTATAGTCTGAATAATATCTGTTGATACCATCTGTTCATGTGTTTGCTGTGTCAAGAACATAAACTTGGTACATTTAAAGTCATTTTTCAACAATAAAATCATTTTATAATTATCTTTAAGTCAAAATTATTCCCTGAAAGTATAATTTTCATAAAGTGAAAGAATTCTTGCTTAGATAACCTCTATGAATATCTAACCTTTGAATACACCATGGTTAGCGCTGGTCCCAGTTTATCTTGTTCTCCTCTTAAGGTTATAGTTTCTATGTTATCATCAAGGGAGGGAACTTCGACAGCTACTCCTGTTTCTTTAAGTATCTCGTGTATTCCACTGTATCTCGGTCCTATGATATACTTGTGCTGGGTTTTCCTTACTTCTACTGATACTGTTTGGCACTTTCTTTTCTGTAATGAAGTAATGAATAAATATTTAACGGAAAAATATAACTTCGTCATTTAAAATCAATACGCATACTACTACTAATTTTTTCTACCTGTAAAATGCTTTTTGTGAATTTTCATTCTGAGAAGTGTATCAACGAATTGACTCTTTCCTATAAATTCAAATTTTTATATATTTTGATAAACATATTAAAAAATTAAAGATATTGCTGAAGATTCGAATTACACTAATAGGCCGGGTTCAAGCACTTTTGTCTTATTTGTGATTGAATTGCTGTATAGTTGACAAATATAATTAAATGTAATATTTACCTTATCCATATAAATTCTCATAATTTCATCTTTACATTTGGCCACACCATCTTTATCTCCTGATATAACAATCTCATCTTTCATTACACTCGGTGGGGGGACATTTATTTTGGCACCAGTCTCTTTTATCAGTCTGTCAACGTTTTCATTTTTTGGTCCACATATGAAGGGATGATATATTTTTGGCACTGGTAGTCTTTCAAATGCAAGTTTTGCCTAAAAAAATAAAGATTAAATTTAAGAAAAACTTGAGACTCGAGAGCAGTAAACATATTCCATTCTCTAGTGGAGAGTTGTCTCATTGGCAATCATACCACATCTTCTTATTTTTATATCAATTACTTTATCATTTTATTTACTATAAAAAAAAGTTCAAACAAAAAACTATTGACAAAACATGCATTCAATATTATCAATTTTGTTTTTCAACCTTCATTTCTCACTTTAATAAATACTTGCAATAAATCTTAAATAGAAAAATCATCTGATATAAACTTCAAAAATCTTACCTGTTCATCAGATGTACATTGTATTTCATGTCTAGCTCTCTCTATCCCCTCTTTGGTGCCAGTGATTCTAATCAAGTCGGATCCTTCGTCAGGTTTTGGAATGGAGATTTTTGTTGATGTACTCAATTCCAATTCCTGAAGTTTCTTGCCACTTTTCCCCAAAATGTATCTATGATGTTCCCTTGGTATTTTTAGGCCCAGTTGAGCCTACAAAAATAATAATCCATTATATGAACATATAACTTTAGAAAATCTTTATAAAGAAAAAACACGGACCCGAAATATACTTGTGTCTTACCTTTAAGTTACAATTATATATTTTGATGTATTTTGTTGTGATAATACATAGTTATGTCACATCAGTCATGTCAAAATACATCGTCCTGTCACATCAAACATATCAAAATAATCTTAAATTGAACCAAAAACGGTTACTGTAAACCAAACTTATTTTCACAGATGTTTTATTTCGCGCTTAGCAATTTCTATCCAACTTCGTGATTTTCAAATTTTCTTGTTCAACAAGGAAAGATCCAAGTCTCACATATTTGCGACGATTTAAATTCGTGTTATTTTTCTACTACCGTATAAACTCGCCTAATAGTCGATCCTACTATAAGTCGGGGGCCCTTTTCAGCTCCAGATTCTAAGGATTTAGTCTTGACCCTCGTATAAGTCGGACAAAATTTGGGCATTTTTTTTTCAGCTGACAGTAACTGAACGCCGGTAAAACCAATGCAAATCCAGGAATAATATTCATTTCTGCATTAATGTTTGTTTGGTTTGAATTTAGTTGATGCTCATCATGATAATTTATATTGCTGTTACTAATAAAGATATATTCATTTCTCTTGTTTTGTTCACTGTTCAAATGTTAGATTAGCCATGTGTTGTTTACGTAATGCATCAATGATTTTGTAGGGTATGACTAACAACCTATTGTTTGAGAAAAGCGAATATAAACCAATATGAACCGGAAAAATTTAAAGTCAATCAACACTTGATGAAAATATTTTTCACAGCATACATAACTCGGTGTTAAATGAGCATGTACACTTCATAATTCTTATTATATTGTGATGATTAAAGGATTAAAAAAATTAAGTGAAGCTAATCAATATATTAAAATAACTAACTCCAACTCATTAGTGTCATCTGTTTACCTATCACTGATAGTTTTCACACCTTTAGTAAATACAACTCTTTGTCTCTTAATTGGGGTTATCAATGGATTATATTGGCTTGTCAATCAATTTTGTAATTTTTGTTTGCCTGAGACACTTTAAGGAATAATATTTTGATTTTGGGAATGAATCTTAAAATTATTTTTTGATTATTATATGATTTATAAGCATTGAATTGATATCATGATATCACAATAATGACACAATAACTCCGCTGAAAACATCCTTTCACATATTTGGTACATTGTTATCTCCTTTTCAATTTTGGTTCTTGGCTCTTCTTTTGGGTTTTTAGGAAAACCATGTGACCATGAAAATCAATACACAAACCGGAAACAGTAGAATTTCAACACGAATTTGCAGAAAATGTTTACCAAAGAACAAATAAAACACAAAGACAGTATTGTAGTCATTTATTTTCAACAAAAACTTTTTATTTATTGATTTATGTAAGTTTGGCAATCAAAAACGTAGTTTTGAACAGGAAATTCACTCCTGACCACTTTTCTCAAGCTTGGATTTTTCCTCTGGTCGCTAGATCTCGTCTATTAGTCGGTCCCCCTCTCTGGATTATGAATTTTACTCCCAATTTTCCGACTAATAAGCGAGTAGCAACGGTAGTGAAAGTATCAAAAATAAATTGCTTGTGAAAATTAGTTGGTTTACGGTATCTGCAGCAGTATTAACATGCACAGTATCAAACCATTCAAGAACCACTGTTTAAAGCACATATAAAGCCAATTCTATAGTCTAGACTAAGCGACTCATTTAACTTAAAAAGATAATTTATGTCAAAATTCACATGTCACTACACATCCCAAATGTACAATTTGGTGCTTTTAGAACTTAAATAAGATTTATCTTCTTTGCTGCATATGAATTATTGTCTCATTACCTGTGTTTGTAGCCTGGCAACAATCTCTCTCCTAGCCTGCATCACATTTTTGTCTTTTCCATGAATAACCACTGTCAGACTCTGATCTTTGGCTAAACTCATTTCAATGGATACATCTATAAAACAAGGGAGATAAAACTAATCTCCATGGATACATCAAGAATCAAAGGGAGAATCTCATACCTTTTGCTAAAAGCTGAGGAGACATTTGCCAGTTACTAATGCAAGTGTTATTCAGTGTGCATATTTTTAAACTACTTTACTTCAATTGTTTTTTTCTTCTGAAAGCAAATTTATGAGAGCAAATAATGAATGGGATTGTCCACATTTGTAACAAGTGGCTTTCAAATGAAAACTGATGGTAAGAAGTTGTTCAATATACTTCTACTAGTTCTATGCAAGAGAAAAATATATACATATTTCAAGTCTGCCTGAAAATTCAGGCTTCACTAGGTCAACATGTATATTTACCGTAAATAAACTGTTGACACAGATATGTCTCGTCTGTCTGCATAAAATTCAGAATAAAACAATCTGATGGACAGCAACATTGCTTATTAATTCAAAGTCACTAAACCATGATCTTGTGAGCAGGGCCTCGAAATAGTTGTAAAACTGATATGTACTGATAGTAATGCAACTTTAATTAAATATCAATGATCTATCACGAGTAGTTCCTATCAAACTAACTTTAGCAGAAAACTTAACAATTGTTGTTGCCACCGCTGCAGCCGTCACCGGTAAAAGCAATCCCTACGAGTATGTCTCACTTTCCGCAACCTTCGTCGCAAGCAAGACAAAAATAATTTTTTTTCAGGATGACGAAACACAGCTGTTAGCAAAGACCTGGTGTGTAAAAATATATATAAATACTGAACAACAAATATAAAGAGCTTACTGTTTCTAGCCATTATTTCTTTGCATGTTTCTGCTTGTTTTGTTTCATCACCAAAACTGTGATCATTAAACCGTCTCTCTTCTACAGGAACAGTAAAAACCTATAATGAAATGTACCAAATATATAGTAACTAACAAATCATATTCAGAACCGATCTAATTTTTAAACACTTATTATATGGATGTTGATTATTGTAACCAAGATTTCATAAAATTGTTCAAAGGACAGTCTGACATTAGATTCATCTGACCAACACTGTTCCAAAGATTGTTTTTTAAGTTTTTCTATAGGGAATGTTAAATAAAAATAAACTGCTTCGCCGAGCGCAGCTGGATACGCCTGCAGAGGTCCAACCCTGAACAGTTGGGGCAAAAATAGACACAATATTCACACTTGATACAGGTCTGAATTTGGATTGTAATTAAATATTTGATATATTATAGGTTTCTGAATAAATGTAGTCAAAGAAGTTGAAATTGGTTATATGAAAGATTTCTTGCTGTTGTGCAATACACTGTGCTGTTGCGCAATACTGAGTAAATCTGTTGTCAGACTATAAACAAATAAAATCTTATAACTCGGAAACGTAAAATCGAAAATTTATAAAAATCAAAAGGAAGCTTACAAAAATAGATATAAACAATTTAATAAAGTTTCATAAAAAATGCTGAAAGCATTTTTGAGTTATTGTCCGAAAACTGGAAAATCCCCCTTTTTGTAATGAATAAAACCCCATAAATTGGAAACGTATAGTCTGAAATTTATAAAAATCAAAAGGGAGCTCATGTTGATAGAAATAAACAATTCACCAAAGTTTCTTGCAAATTGGTGAAATTGTTTTTGAGTTATTGTCTGAAAACTGGAAAATCCCCCCTTTTTAATGAATAAAACCCCAAAACTCGGAAATGGTAAATCCGAAATTTATAAAAAAACAAAAGGGAGCTCACGTCAATAGATATGAACAATTCACAAAAGTTTCATGCAAATTGGTGAAAATTTTTTTGAGTTATTGTCCGAAAATTGGAAAATTCCCTCTTTTTTAATGAATAAAACCTCAAAACACGGAAACGGTAAATACGAAATTTATAAAAAACGAAAGGGAGCGCACGTCAATAAATATGAACAATTCACAAAAGTTTCATGCAAATTGGTGAAATTGTTTTTGAGTTATTGTTAGAAAACTGGAAATTCCTCCCTTTTTTAATGAATAAAACCCCAAAACTCGGAAATGGTAAATCTGAAATTTATAAAAAAACGAAAGGGAGCTCACGTCAATAGATTTAAACAATTCACCGAAGTTTCATGCATATTGGTAAAAGCGTTCTTTAATCAATGTCCGACATGTTGACGACGGACGGACAGACGGTCAACCCTAATACGTCCCGTAAACAGGCGTATAAAAAGAGAGCGAGCACAATTTAAAAGGAATAATCAACATGACTGTGGAGACAGCAACCATATTGAAACTTGTTGATTTTTGGAACCTGAATAATGGATCATAACCAAAACATACTTGTGTGCATGTAGATGACCTCATGAGAAATTTGTTGTTAGCTGGCCAAGGTCTAGTAGGTTCTGTCACTGGCAAATCAGCAACTGGTCTCGGTGCTGGCATTGGCAACTCTGGGAAAGCGTCGCTGTATGTTGGTGGACTTGTTGGTGCATTTGGCACATATGCCACTTCTTCAATATGTGGAACCTCCATATTTGTAGCCATATTCAAACTCGTTTGTCAAATGGGAGTTCCAAGTCGAACAGTACTAGCTGAAAGCCTGAAACATCAATATCTAATATTAGGTACAAAAATTAAATGTTGACGATAAGAAATTTTAAAATAACTTGCAACCACTCCCATCTTAAATGAAAAATTATGTAGTTTAATGCAAGGAAAATAATAAATGCTCTAGAACTTCCAGTGTTGGTGAAAGCTCTGTCTGACTGAAAAAAAACAATTTCAGTTATTTCTTCTCTACCGTAGAAAGGCTTGTATAGTTCGCAGTGGTACATAGTCCGCACCCCCTTCTCCCCACGAAATTTTAGGAAAAAAAACTTTTTGTAACTGTTAGAAAAGGTCTAATGAAACTCCGGTAATTTCAAATCCTGTGCGGTCGTTTGCGGTATTTTCTTGGAAAAACCTGTTTTCCATCATCAAACAGAAGCTGAAACTGCTTGTTAATGATTCTAGAACACTTCATGATTGTTAAAATAAGTTTAATTCACTTAAAAAACAATTTAGAAACTTGTGTATGTTTAAACAGGAAGTTTAAAAAGCACGTGTAAAAGAAGAAATTAACCGGTGAGAGTCGAAATCCGTACATAACAGATATCACTATAATACGACTTTGAAAGCAAAACAGTTCCATCCTTTTGTAAAACAGTCTTTAATATATCTATCACATTAATGTTTGAAGGGTCTTAAGCTAATACAAACCATATTAGTCAGTATGGAACACCAAAACGGAACGAACAATAACCGATTTCGTTTTGTAGTTTACAAATTCTAAGCTGGTTTACGGTTGTCTTTTTCACTATGTTTGTATCGTTTCAATCTAGCAGATACCAGTTTATTTCAACCAATGCATTGAAAAGAAACGAGAAATTTGTAATGAAAGGTTTAGTTTTTATATTTATCAGTATTAATTTGATATTGAATAGAAATAACTTATTAATATGGATGAGTTAAAATTATTAGTTTGAAAAATGATAAGAGCGCCCTCTACAATAGAAATAACAAAGATGGCGGAACGTAAACAAACCACCTCGACCGCGAAATTGAAATTTTTCTCTTATTTCTTGCTTATTGTACTCTATAGTCCGCACCCCGTCTGGAAGGTCCAATTTTGGAGAATAAAACCGCGGACTATACAAGCCTTTCTACGGTATATGCAATTTGTAACTGGAGATTTTAATATTGACATTAAGTACTTCAATATGAATGATCCCATTTGAAACAATTTCAGGAATGTAGGTTAGGGATCCCATTTGAAACAATTTCAAGAATGTAGGTTAGGGATCCCATTAGAAACAATTTCAGGAATGTTGGTTAGGGATCTCATTTGAAACAATTTCAGGAATGTAGGTTACAGATACACATAGCTCAAAACTCATGTTTTGAGCCAGGTGGTCATAATGAAAAAAATTGGGCCACCACTTTTTTCAGACTCACATTTTGGTAACCCAAGTAGAATTTTAATGGCCCAAACAGAATACAACAATCTTTTATTAATTTTCATTTAATAAAATTCATAAGACTTCTTTCCCAATCATGACATTAACCATCCTCCTCGAAATCAGTTTTAATTATAACTTTTTCACATTTTGTAAATATATGTTAAGTGAAATAATTATCCTGATATAGTAGGAGCTCTGATACAAAAAGGAGGATTATACCTGTACAGAACAGAGCAATGAATTGATAGACACATTGATAAATTTCAGAATCTTTTGTTTACATGTTTCTTATATTTTTTTAGCACTGCACATGGTATTTAATGAATAGCCAACATCATGAAATAATGACTTGATTTAATAATTCAAAGCCTAAACCACTACTTCCGAATCATAGGGAGAAGTGACTTCTGTTTTGAAACTGATAGAAAGCAGTGGTGAGACTTAAAAGAAGTGTTTGTTTGCTTATGGCCCTATAATGTTTTGTTTTTACAAATATATAAAGGGCCATATGCATTCTATTTATTCTATTCTTTTTTTTATATTGTTCAAATCATACATGAGAATTCAATTAAAGTAACAGTTGTCTTAAACGGTAATTTATACATTTAGTTAAACATTCATATTTTTTTGACTTGTAAGAAGTTACCAACTTGATATCTATCAATATTAAAGAAATGTGTTAGTAAATTAAAAAGGAAAATAAATAATAATTCATCAATTAAAATTCAATGAAGAAAATAGGAATTCTTTGCTTCTCATTAAAAAGATATATAAATTTAACAAATTGAAGCATCTTACTTCAATAAATTGAAACAACGCATTTACATTGAAATAAACATTTATTTAAAGGAGATCTAACCAAATTTCAGTTAAAGAGTGTTGAAAGAGTATTTTTCATTTTATGGATCTTTATTCTTCTGTCAGTTGTTCCATTCGTGTGTCTGTAGTTGTCATCGTAAGAATGCAGATTTCGGTGATAGTTGATCGGTCTACAATCCGTGGTTAGTATAAATATTTCAATGGCGGATTAATAAAAATTTTAAAAACAAATAATGTTTGAGTTTGACAAGCGATTTGGAAAATAATATGATGTTTTAATGCAATAAATGGATGAAACATGAACTAAAGGCAATATTCATGAAGTAACAAATTTATTTGCCTTCAATGAACTTAGGTGTGACACTCAAACAGAAGTTTATCAAAATAAATCAATAATTTATATAACTAATTGAATGTTTCTCTCGTGGTTTTTTTTTTTAAGAAACATGAATCGGTACATACAGAGCTAAAGGTGTTTGGCAGAGTAATACAAGTGAAAAGTTTACAGTGAATAAATCTTCATATATGCGGTAAGGTTGGTTTGGAACCCTCAAGTGACATTTTTTCCCTTTGCAGATAAATTCTATTTGAAATAGCTACAAAGATAGGAGTCTTCAAAGTTATTAAACATCAACAGGGTGAATGAACAAATATGAGCCTCTTTATCTAGACATTGTCATGATTGTTATGTACAAAACTTATCACCTTGTATTGGTACATTTGTAATTCATTATTGAATGCTGATGGTGTAAGATAATTAAGCATTACAAAATGATAATTTGTTTAACCAATTCTAGCATTACAGAATGTAACTAAAATTGGTTAATCAAATAAAACTGCTCACATTTCTTTCATCTGTTGAGGGCAAGGTAAGGGTGAGTAATTAGTACACACACCAGATCAAATATGCATAAATTATATCAGCGTGTAATATTACACATAATTGCAAAGATTATACATCATGCATGAAGAATCATTTAAACAAAACAGATTTCATCAAGAAAAACAGTCAAAATGTCAAAAATTTAGCAGCCACGTCGACAGGTCCGAAGGAACATGTTGACGTGTCGGGGGTCTGGGTATAATTTCTTACTTACTTAAGTACTGCGTCCAAAAATCCGTCCTAAATTGGTTTTTTCTTCTTTTTGGGCTCCAATGTGGAAGCTGCAAGTCTACAAAAAGAATGAATTGTGTGTATATTTTGATAAACAAATGATAAAAATTGTCAGAATTTTGACAAATATGGACCAACACTCACCACCTCCAAAAGGAACTAACTACACTGTGTAGTTCGTGCACCTTGATATCATTGCGCGATTGATTGTTTTGAGTAAGCAGTATTTTGATTGGTCATCTTTGGGTCAAAGTTGAAAAAAAGAACCATTGTAGCACCACATAACATGTGTAGGCGAATACGCACTATTTTGGAATCAAACTTTTTCTTATATTAAGAAATTATTCAATATTTTAAGCCAAAATGCACATGCAAACTACATAATCTTTTTTCTAAAATTTTAATCGAAATAATCACTGATCTTTTTTATTTTTTCCATGTCACGTGGCAAACCTGTGACGCTTTTCTTGACGTCAAAAGGTCACATAATTAACACTGGGCTCCAAGGGGTTGTAACTTGTAAATAACTCAAAAAGTGGAGGTAGTCATATAGGATTGAGGGTCCAAAAATTGTTCATATTATTTTCAAGATAATATGAAAAGATATTACTTAATGGATTTTTTATGTATTGCCTGGAGAGTAACTTTTTTGAATCATATAAGGTCCGTGCAATATTTATCAGGCAGCCACGGTGGGACCGGTGCAAATTCTGGTTTAAATATAATCAGTATTTTTAAAAAAAGTCTTTTGCATGTTTTAGTCATTTTAAAGGTCAAAGCACATGAGCAAGAATTTGTATAGTTAAAAGTATACAAATGCCTCAGCAAGGCATAACCTCCAACTAAGAAAATTTTGGTGGAAAGCCTAAAAGTTTTGCCAAACCACAGCCTCTGTACATACGAGGTTCTAGAAGGGGTTTACGGAATAGAGAATAATGGACAAAAAAACAAAAATAAAGGGCAAAATATAGAAAGATTAGAGAATAATTGGCCATAAAATAAAGAATAGAGAATATGATCGTGCTAAAATTTAAAGAATACAAAATAATGGGCAAACAAAATAAGGAACAGAGAAAAATTGCCTTAAAATTCTACAGAGAACGAAGGATCCCAACCTAGACCCTCCTACATGAGGGTTTGGAATGGGGGGTTTTTCGTTTATGAATTCTTTAGGGGATACTGGGATAGCCATTTGATTTTTCTTATATTAGAAGGATTTTGAATTAATATCCTGTCCAGGTATATAATGAATAATTTTGCCCTTGGAAGACAGGATGAAAAAATGAAAACACCACTTTGATAAATTTCATGCGTCCAATGCAAATGAATATTCTGCAATACAAAATTAATTGTATACACAATGGAAAATGAATAAGCCTGAGTAGCAACAGATTAAAATGAAAAGTCAACCAGTACACCCCCATATTAAATGGTCGTACCCTTATATATAGTCTCAGCCTGAATATTTTAGGCAATTTTTGTATATTCTTTTAATCTCCTTTTGCCGATTTTTCTCTTTTCTTTATTTTCTAGCTTCTAGCTCATTTTTCTATTCTTATTTTTTTTTTTATTGAATTTTATATAAGATAAGATAAGATCGATCCTCTTTATTTCAGACTCATAGGTCCCAATATACATAGACCGTGACTTATTCAAGTTGCTGCTAAAGTATTTTTGTAAATAGATTTGTAGAACTATGATAACACGCTTGCTTCAAACAGTAGATTTTCCATTGTTCACCAATGTTTTATCGAATTTTGTTAAGATATATCAGAGACATATAAATACATGTCTCTGGATATATGTTTCGTTATTCTCATTCACAAAACGACAAATTTATTATTTTTAGAATATAGCAAAGTACTCTCGACCAATGAAATTGTAGGATTGGATGCCTCTTAATTGTGAAGAATGAATGTAAATCATGTTCTTAGTAAGGGATTATCCTATTATTTGGGTCTATTTACAGTTCAAAAGAAAGAGTTTCTTTAAATGAGTTACTACTGCCCCGAAGCACAATTATTAGATTGAAAGGATTTATCACACAGTGATTGAAACTGACTAAAAGTTGAATTGTGAAACAAACAAAAATCTCAAAATAAGTGGAAGTTTACTGGTGCAGTAAAATTGGTACCGTGAATTTTATTATGAAAATATTAATAACTTGAAATTACTATAAAATTAAACAATACCAAAGCAATGCAAAAAAAAAAGAAAAAAATCTTTCAGATAAAAAATAACCTAAATCTTTAGCTTTCCAAAACTTTGATTACTTGATCAGCGGTTGGGGAGAATAGTTATTTCCAATACATGTATTCCGATAAAAAAAAACCAGGAATTTAATTTTGAACATATTAAAAACTTTTAAGGGCATTATTTTTGAACATTTCCCTGACATAATGAAACAGTATTTGATGTAAAAAGCCGGACCAAATTATTGGCTGTGAAATAAAATATAGTTGTAACTCAAATGTATTAATTGATATAAACTGTAAATAAAAAAAGGATAATTCCTCACTAAAATATTACATGATTTACATTCATACTCACAATTAGGAAACATACAATTCCTACCTTTTCTTTCTACTGTTGTGTCACCTAATATCTATAACGCATTTTTTTTTTAAATATTTCCCAAATGATAAGAAAGTCCTCACATCACTAAAACTAATCCATAAATGACATGCCGAAAAAGGAAGTCGTGCATCAATTATAAACATTGCACTGACAATGAAACTAATTCTTGAATAGGACATTTGAGCCTTGAGCACTTTACAATATTCTAAGTTTGTAAGAGAATCATAATCCCTTACTTCATGATAAGTACTCGCTAACGCTCGTACTTATTCATGAAGAAAGGGATTATCATTCTCTTACATATACGTAAACGCATTTATCATTTCTCTAAAGAATGGATATTGAGTATTGCCTCAGGGTTTGTTATTTGAATGGTTACATCGAAACGGTATAGGTATATCTACAGATTTAAAACAAATATCACTGTATGTCGATGCCAGGCGAGACTATGCCAAACCGTTCTCGTTTAAACCATTTTTTGAAAAATTTACACACTGAGAATTAAAATTTACACACTGAGATTTCATAAAGACGCACTGAGATTACAAAAAATGAAAACCACACACTGAGAATTGAAAATTACACATTAAGACTTGATACACACTGAGAATTGAAAATTACACACTGAGATTTCAAAAAGACACACTGAGATGAAATAAACTGTTTTTCATTTTGAAATTACACACTGAGAATTTAAAATTACACACTGAGATTTGGGCGCACTTTTTATGCGCACATATTTAATTAGCATACTTAATCTGAATCTATTACAAGCTTAAAACAACTAGGGGACATAACTCGTTAGTCCTTCAATTTGGCGCCAAATAATTTATAAAAAACATTAGAAATACAACGTATAGAAAAACTACGTTATTATAGACCAATAGAACAAGAAAATACCCACTTACTCTCATTACAAAATATAACCAAATGGTGAAAAACTTTATTAAAATTATCAGAAAACATTGGAACAATTTGCAAAAAGACAAACAATGCAGTGAAATTTTTACCAAAGTGCCTATTATAGTATATAAACGTAACAAAAATAGAAAAATTACCTTGCGAAATCAGGGTAACAGTTGAAAGACTTTTGAAAAGGGACACATGCTTAAAGAGTTTTAAATAAAAACTCCCGATTTTTTGAAATCTCAGTGTGTAATTAACAATTCTCAGTGTGTGTTTTTCAATTGATTTCATCTCAGTGTGTCTTTTTAAAATCTCAGTGTGTAATTTTAAAATCTCAGTGTGTAATTTCTATTTCGCAGACAGTGTGTTATTTTAGGTTTTTAAATCTTAGTGTGTTTTTTTTAATTCTCAGTGTGTAATTTTTCGAAAAAAGGATTTCAACATAGTTTTGACGAGAACGGCTAACCATACGAGACAATACATCGGGAATAAAGTCAAAACCAGTGGCGGATCCAGAAATTTTCATAAGGCCCTGGCACCCTGCCCCCCTAAATCCACCTCTGAAAACAAAGATTGTTCAGGCGCAGTAGTAGCACTCGCATGTTTAGTGCGACGAAGCAACCGCGGGCTTAATAATATTTTCAATTTTATTTGTTTAATATAACTTATTTCTTACACATTCAGGACACTCTTATGATTATCAATGAAGAGTATTACCACACTACGATTATCAATGAACAGTATTACCACACTACGATTATCAATGTATTACCACAATACGATTATCAATAAAGAGTACTACCACACTACGATTATCAATGAAGAGTATTACCACACTACGATTATCAATGAAGAGTATTACCACACTACGATTATCAATGTATTACCACACTACGATTATCAATGAAGAGTATTACGACACTACGATTATCAATGTATTACCACACTACGATTATCAATGAAGAGTATTACGACACTACGATTATCAATGTATTACCACACTACGATTATCAATGAAGAGTATTACGACACTACGATTATCAATGTATTACCACACTACGATTATCAATGAAGAGTATTACGACACTACGATTATCAATGAAGAGTATAACCACACTACGATTATCAATGTATTGGTGCTATTTACTAGGCCAACCAGCGCTACAGGGAAACATAATCAGACATAAGATATACAGCTTTATTTAAAGTTGGTATGAGCAAGACAACTACAAACATAAGCTCTGAAGAGCTGTAATCCGACCACTGAAGACATAGATTCCTAGCACGATGCTATTCACTGAAGGCCATCCCTGTGTTTAGTTTAGGCGAAACACATTATATTTCCAAAAATAGCAAAAGGAATAGGAGACAAGTTATAAAAACTAAAACCTGATTGACCAAACAGGTGCTCCTAAAGCGTCAGCGGTTCCTACATCTTTGAAACATCTGCTGTGTTTGCGGTACATCGACAGGTACGGTGAAATGGAAATTCTATGGCACACTAGCTATTATTTGAACACAATATATTACATCTTTAATAATATAAATAACCTACTATCCCATTCATGTATAAAATGATTGCTAAACAAGAGTACACAAGCCGAAATGTCTTATCTGCTTTACTGAACGATCATGAGTATGTTGAAAGTCTTTAAGATCAAGTTCTCACTACAGGTATCATAAAACTTAAATATTATTAACGATAATTAAAATATTAACGATAATTAAAAAGGAGGTTAAGGTCAGTCGAACTCTGTCAAACGGACATGTGCACTTACAATTATTCTGTACGGCAAATATAGTTGACCAATTGCTTAAAGAATCTGAGAAACTGACTTAATCACGAAAACTTAACATTGACCAATGCACCATGACACAAAGTTTGTCAGACGGAACTAACAGTATAATAGTCCCAGCGGACATGTACACAGTTAGTACAATCCTTCTATTACACCAAATATAGTTGACCTATAGCTTATGGTGTTTTAAAAGAAAACGAACCTTTATAGCTAATCACGAAAACTTAAAGTTGATCTCTGAACCATGAAATGAGGTAAAGGTCAGATGAAACCTGTCCGACGAACATGTCATATACATTGCAATGATTTCAAACATCAACTAAAGTTGTCTTATTACTCATAATATCTGGAAAAATGTCTCGCAACATAAAAAAAAAACAAAAAAAAACAAAACAAAGCTATACAGTTTTTAAGCAGTCACTGATCCATGAAAATGAATTCATGGACATGCAACGGTCAGATGCTAGAGGGAAACTTCAGACCATAATGCATCGATCTGCATACAAGATATGAATTATCCGATCTCTTCTACCTTATGAAATGTAAATAATTATGCAAGTAGTTTACGCCTTCGCCGCCGCTGGATTAGCACTCCCTATGACTCGCATTCGGCGACATATGTCGCTAGTGAGATAAAACCCAGCTAGTATCGTAACGCAATCGATGCGCTTTTAAATTTGCCAAAATTATTTGATCTTATATTTTTAAACATTTATACCCTGGTAACATGGAAATTTGAATATCGTCATGAGAGCTACAAATAACTTGACTAGATAGAAAGCTAAAGCTTCTAGGAGGACCCGATGAATTTTAAGCACCAACTGCAATAAAGAACATTGAATAGAGAATGGAAACGGGGAATGTGTCAAAGAGACAACCACCCGACCAAAGAGCAGAAAACAGCCCAAGGCCATCAATGGGTCATCAACGCAGCGAGAAAATCCCGCACCCGGAGGCGGGCTTCAGCTGGCCCCTAAACAATAATGTATACTCGCTCAGCGAAAAAGACGCCACGCTAAACTCCGAAACATACAAATAAATCAAAATTAAAAAACAACACAAGACTAACAAAGGCTTGAGGTGCCTGACTTGGGATAGGCGCAAAAATGCGGCGGGATTAAACACGTTTAGTGAGATCTTTTTGTATGTCGATATGATATTTTTATACATTCATTCAACATTGGTTTTAAAGCTATAAACGGCTACAATAATATCCATTAAAGTGTGTATATAAAACAAACACGTATTTCCGACTCTAAATGAGCCCCTGATAGTGAGGGAAAGGGATTGACATCATATTGATATTGTACAAAAACATGACTTTGTTACTATTTTTATGAAATAAAGACAACAAAGAATGGTCTAGTTGCTGTACAAAGTTCATCTGCTGATAGCAGGCAAAATATATTTATTTATCAGTTAGCTAAATAGGAGCACACGAGCCATGTAACTTGAGAACTAAATCATTCATAAATATTGAAACCAATGTAGAGCTCAAAAACATCCCTGTTTTACTCAAACAGTCAAAAAAGGATCGTGTTAACCCTTCACTAAATGTAACAGAAAAGAATACATATATATATGCATATTCGTTTAGATATCATAAAATGAGCAATTTATATCATATAAACATAATTTGTAAATAGTCGATTGAATGTATCACAGGTTTCTTAAAAAATACAAAACCAAACTTTTTTCTATAATTCAAAAGGTTTATCAATAATTATAGAATTTAGAGTATTAAGTTGATAATAGTTTTCAACTTATATTCAAAAGATTAATAGAGAATTCGAAACATTCCTGATTATCTATATACATTGTATTTGAACAAAGACCAGGATTCCTGTTAGTTTTATAAATCTTAATAGATTTCAAAAATTGTTCAGGGTATTTTGTTTTTCGGAATCTAAGAAACTATTTTTAAAAAACCTTATGTAGAAAATTTTTATATGCTTGCATTAAAGGATAGGAACTCGTTTTTCAGTTTTGATACATGTAGTCTTCGTGTTTTGTCCCAAGGTGTTTTTCAACTTTCTTATCAGGCCTTTAACATTTAGAAATAAGTTTTACATTCCCCATCACCGTGGTCACTTATTTTTTTTAACGCTCATTTTCTTTTTTTTTTTTAAACTTTTGTCTTGACTATTGACTTTGAAAGCTGAATGACAAAGCATTGCAGATAATATTAATAAATTATTAGTTATTTGCTGATTTTTTTGTATAAATTGAAATCAGCTTCAAGATCATATATACATGATATATGCAAAAAAATCATTTAATATCTAACACCAGATATATATACATGCTGCAGCTACACTGTGGAACAGTATTTACGAACCCCTTTAGCATGCTCAGGACGGACAACAGTTTTTATACGCCCGTCAAATTTTTGACGGGACGTATTATGGTATACAAATGTCCGGCGTCCGTCCGTCTGTCCGTCTGTCTGTCCGTCTGTCCGTCTGTCTGTCCGTCTGTCTGTCCGTCGTAAACATGTCGCACCGTAACTTGAGAATGACTTATCCAAATTTCATGAAACTTAACATAGTTGTTTCTTATGATGGTCAAACGATCTGTATACTTTTTGGTGAAAATAAGATTAAAACTTTTTGAGTTACGGGACTTAGTAACTAAAACAGGTGTGTGTTTTTTTTCACATGTCGCGCCGTATCTCAAAAACAATTTATGATTATTGCTTAAAACTTTACACACTTCTTAGTTATATTAATCTTAAGATCTGTATACTTTTTGGTGATGATTCAAAATTTTATTTTAGAGATATTGAGTATTTTGTTAAAAAAGGGGGAGGGGTTTTTCACATGTCGCGCCGTATCTCAAAAACAATTTATGATTATTGCTTAAAATTTTACACACTTCTTAGTTATATTAATCTAAAGATCTGTATACTTTTTGGTTTTGATTCAAAATTTCATTTTTGAGATATTGATTTTTTTTTAAAAAGGGGGATTTTCACATGTCGCGCCGTATCTCAAAAACGATTTATGATTATTGCTTAAAATTTTACACACTTATTAGTTATGTTAATCTAAAGATCTGTATACTCTTGGTTTTGATTCAAAATTTTATTTTAGAGATATTGAGTTTTTTTGTAAAAAAAAAGGGGGTTTTCGCATGTCACGCCGTATGTCAGAAACTATTTATGCTTATTGCATAAAAATTCACACACAAGACGACGGGCGTATCATGCGCTCATGGCGCAGCTGTTTATTCTCAATTTAAATAAAATTGAGAATGGAAATGGGGAATATTGATTCAGTCTTAGAATGGTTCGAAATATCGATGTTCTGCATGTATTTGATTTCTAAGTCTTCGCTGTTATACTGTCAGTAGGTAGATATAAGATGTGGTATGAGCTCTGCATTTTGATTTTTATTAGTGTTTTATCATACTGCTTTCCATATATTTATTAACTAAAATTTTTAGCTTACTGAATGAATTGCTTTGTAATCTAACGCTTATTTTTAAAATTTTCAATTGTTTACCGCTGCTGGCATGCTGTCAGATGACCCATAGAGGCACTTAACACATGAGTGATGTTTTTTTTGCCAAACAGTTCTACTTATTTTTTAAATAAAGTTATAATTTTTATGTAAGTTTGCGAGAAACCTGAAATTTTGATTGTTGCTTGGCTTTATTCAGTTGTATGTCTTATATGTGATAATGCTTTGTTTTATTTGTTTTGTATACGTTTTTATATTCGTTAAAAAGCTCATCAGAGTTGAGGTTTGTATGTTTTTATGTTTGTATGTTTTTATGCTATGCCGAATCGAAATAAAGTTTGCTATATATATAGAGTTATCTCTCCTGTTCCATTTGATTTGATTTGTTCCAACACGTGTGTTTTTCAGAGCTTGTGCGTAATCTGATTATTTTCGACGAGTTTGGCAATGCTGGTGTTATATTTATAAAGGAAACAACAAGATTCTTTCTTAAACAAAAACACTCATATGTTATCTGGGACTATTATACTATAATAGTCCCAGATGTTATTAACTGTTCTATTTTTAGTCACATAATTATGTCGAAGTATGTAATCAAATACAACAAACACTTTAAATCTGATCTATAATATATAACATGACATTTAAATTTTGACTTTATATATTTATGGACGATGTAACATATATATATACATCTCCTCATGTGAATCTAGTTGGAGGAAAACTATAAAATATATTGTACATTGTATTGTATGAATATCAGATTTAGGTCTTTAGTGCAACCAGCGAAAAGGGAATTTCCACTTTCAGTTTTAAGTGTAAAGTGAAAGTTAAAAAAGAAAACTTAAGAAGAGGAAACATATTGTCGCAGGTAAAACTGTTTTATTATATACTAACATGCAGTTAAAATATTTGCAATGACCTAATTAATCCTTAATCATATAAACAAAAAAGTAAAAAAGTCGAGCATTTAAAGTAAATATTCCAAGAAGAGCAGGTATATATGCAGAAAAAGGTCAAGTAGCACAGTTTTTTTTTGTTTTTTTTTTTAAATTAAACAAGTTCATCATAAGGGATTGACAAATTTAGTCATATTTAAACTAACTTTTCTCTGAGTGCAGACAAATGTGTGCACCTAGAGATGTTTTAAGGCATGGCAGCTAGGACCTAGAGAAGAGGTGCCAAAATAAACTGAGCTTGCTATGTGATATGGGGTTTGCACATAGTTGGAGGCTGTACTTTGACCTATAGTTGCTAACTTCTACATCATTTGGTTTCTTGTGGAAAGTCATCTTCTTATTTTTATAACCCCCAAGGGTGACTGGGGAATAGAAGTATGGTCACCATTGGTCTTCCTCCGACCGGCAGTAAAACCCGTGCTAAAGTGGGGCGTCCGTTTGGCTGTGCGGGATGTACAAATTTGCAGCCACGTCCGGTCAGAATGGGGACGTTAAATCCGATGCCTCGTGTAAAGAGAGTGCCACGCTCTTTGCACGTTAAGAACCCTTGCAACAACTCTTTGAGGGGTCCGTAGGTGGCCTGTTGCAAGGCTAAATTTCTGTCCTTATCCAATATACCCTCATTTCCCAAGGCAGTCTAAATTTCTCCGACCATAATCCCATAATCTATTACAGAACCTACCTATTGTATTTATTGTGAACTTGTTCTCGTCCTGAATATGCATGAAATATTTGCCACTGGGCGTTAAGCAACCAACAATCAATCAATCAATCTTATTTTTATAAGTTTGGAAACATGTTTGAGATGTAGCTTAATTGGTCAAGCTTGCAAAAATGCACACAATTGTTAAGCAGGCTAAAACAATACCATGAGTAAAAGGAGTTCTTCATTAAAAGAGTGAGTGTCTATACTTTATTTCAAGCTCTTTATTGCCAGATGTCTATGAAACTTGTGGAAAATTAAATAGAGACTATCTAAAATCTACTATAAACATTATTTGCTTAAGGACAAAAAAACCAATAGAATATAACTAAAGAACAATACTGATTAGGTTTCTGAAGTTGAAGAACACAGGGAAATATGGCAGGGTTAAACTTTTGTAGTAGCACTTATTTGTTTAAATATTTTTTTCAGCATAGATGCTAATTGAATTGAGAACTAGTAAATCTTTGTTTTGTATATTTTCAGTATTCTATTTTTTGTATATTTTCAGTATTCTATTATCATGATAAAATCTGGAATACGAGTGATAAGAGGCCCAGATTGGGACCCAAGTATCCATGAGGATGGAGGACCAGGTCATTTAGGGACCATCATTGATGTATCCAGACAGGACCAGACCTGTACAGTCCAGTGGGATAATGGACATTTATCTAACTGTAAAGCAACTTCAGACCAACAAGATCTTAGGATTGTTTACACTGAAAGTACAGGTAGTACATCAATTAAACAAGATTCTAGGCTGTAATATTTTATGTTTTGTGGGGTTTCCTTCTCAGGATAACCACTAATAAACTTGAACAAGTAAATAATTTAGAAAGCAAAGTCAAACTTCAGGAAGCTATATAGGTCGCCCTATGTTGGTTGAATAATTTATCTTATAAAGAAAAAAAGATAAAAAACAACACTCCACAAAGTCTCATCATGAAATTTAATTGAAATGTTCTTCTTTTTTGGCCCTTCTATGTATCATATCTCGTGTCCCTGCCTACCATTCTTGAAGTCTTTTATTACTATATTATATAAGTCTCTGTGGAAAAAGCAAATAACATGTAAGACAACACGGACAACACCATGACTGAACAAATATTTTATCATCCTGAATTATGCATGTAATATTTGTTGCTGGATGTTTAAAAGCAGCAATCAATCAATTATGCCATCATTAAAAGTTTGTGTATGCAGCTTTAAAACAGAAAATTAAACTTTTTTTTCAGTTACAAAAGGAAATTCACACTTTGCCTACTGCAATATTTGTAATAACTCACGACAGAATGTTAGTGGCTTGAGATTTAAATGTGTGACTTGTAAAGATTATGACTTGTGTATGAAATGCTACATGGCAGATGAACACGACAAAACACATTCATTTGTACGAATCAACAGTAGAATTTCTAAAGTGTATGTATTTAAAAATTTTTGTGATATTTAAGAATAAAAGTATTTAATACTTATTGTTCTATGTATTCATTATTATTAGGGCCCCGCCTAGTGGCAAGTCGCCAGGCTGTAGTGATCAGTCTGTCCGTCCGTCGGTCCGTAACAAATTGTGTCTGCTCTATATCTAGAGAACCGTTATAATTTCATACTTTATACTTGACATGTATATTAACCAACACCAGAGGGTGTGTCATAATGTTTGTACAACTTCCTAGGTCAAAAACTTTGGTTTCATTTGACAACCCCATGTCCTATGGTAAAAATACAAATTTTTTACCACACATTATTTACAGCGGAGCCCACAGCGATGGCTCCCATCTCAATGATGTCTAGTTTTCATTGTAATTACCAATTTTTAAAAAGATAGTGGATTTCGTGGGTATACCTGAACCCCGGAATTTCAAATGTTCAATAAAGTACAATTATTCCATAAGTGTGTATGCAGATTTTGACAAGCTTTAACCCACAAAATCTAATATCCACAAAAAATGCAATGATTCCTCAATCCACGATTGGTGCTTATGAAAAAATGAATCTGCAGTATTTGAAGATTTGCTGCCATCAGTTCTGGATTTGATTTTTACAAATATCTGTCTTAGTGGCTCTCTCTGTATTTATCCAAAACTGCATTTTTGGCCATCAAATTTCAAGTAGTGGTTGCATCTTTTCAAATACAGTTCTGTTCTGATGTATAATGATGTATAACGAAAAAAAATTATCAAAAATTATGATTCCATGTAGGTTGGAAAAAAGGTTTACATCCCAAAAATATAAAATTCTGCAAGAGCTTGTAAATGATTTTGTTGCAGTAATGTCACACCATATATGGACATGACATCATGTACTAATGAAAAATTTGACACTGAAGGTTATTCCATTACTTGTATGCTTCAAATTTGGATAAATAGCTTATTTTATTGTGAACCAAATGAAACTTTTCCACAGAGTCATCTCCTATTGGTCAATCTATTTAAACTTTTGTCAGTTCTATTGTCCAATTGATTAAAACAATAGCTATTGTTCTCTGTGTAGTTTATTCACTGGGACCTTTAAATTTTTTCTAAGAGAAATCCATCACTTATTGATTGATTTACTTGAGTAAAAAAAATTATCTTCTAAGAGGATTAAAATACATGATCAACCCTCAAAACTGTATGTGATGCATTTATTCAAAATTAATAATATATTTTCATTTTGTTTAATATAAACACTGATTTAATCATAAAAAGTTGATTTCTGACAAATTTTTTAGCATTGTTCTTTTTGAAATTTGCATTTGTTTTTTTTTAATTAAAAAATACATGTAAGAAGGCCTTAATTTAAGCATCATCATTTCCAGTTTTTATTTGTCAAACACACAAAAAACAAATTTTAATAGGAACAAATCTTGTGTTTATGTTTGATGTTTTTCTGCTTTGTATCAATCTGATGACTTAAGCCTTTTTCAACTGATTTTTATAGTTTGTTCTTATGTTGTGCTGTTACATCACTGTCCCAGGTTAGGGGGAGGGATGAGCGCTCACAAACATGTTTAACCCAGCCACATGTGCCTGTCCCAAGTCAGGAGCCTGTTGTTCAGTGGTTGTCGTTGGTTCATGTCTTTCATATTTGTTTTTTTCGTTAATTGTTTTGTTATAAATTAGGCCGTTTGTTTTCTCAATTGATTGTTTCATATTTTTCATGTTGGGGCCTTTTATAACCAACTATACGGTATGGGTTTTTCTCATTGTTGAAAGCCGTACAGTTGCCTATTATTGCTTACATCCACCTTATTTGAGCTTTGGTGGATAGTTGTCTCATTGGCAATCATATATACCTCATTAATCTCCTTATTTTTATAAACAAAGGCATAGATTATATGATATATTATTCAGCTTTTGAATGCTATTTTTGACAATAATCCTAAATACCATGTGAGTAAATTATACAGGCTTGTTGAATCCTTAGGTTGTATGTTATTTCAGGATACCTATTTTAACAAGAGTTAAATCCAAGAGAACTAAGTTGTATGGATTTGGACCTGGAGCCAGTGTCATGCTTACACCATTTGCAACCTCATCTCATATCGATGGTAAGTAGAAAAACTAAAACACTTTCTATTTCAGGGATGTGTGGAGGGGAGGGGGGGGGGGGGGGGGGGGGTGTTAGTCAGGGGGGATTGGGTTGGTAAAGTTGTGATGGTGATGGGGACATTTGGAAGTTTTGTATGGCATCCGAATTTGGCCAAAAATTATTTTGTTTTAATTAAAACATGTTTTGCCTCGTTGATTGATCATTACTCTGGTAAGATGTTCTTGAACTCAAAATTGTGGATCAGTGCCTGAAGTTGTTCATACTTTTAACATTTACAAAAGTTAATACTTAATGAAATTTGGATGGCACAGGTTAAATTATTGAAAAATATTCATTGTGTTTCCTGACACAAGCATTCAGCTTAGGTTGATTGTTTGATTTACACAAGTTTCACTGTGTGTACACGATTTGTTTTACACAAGTTTCACTGTGTGTACACGATTTGGTTTACACAAGTTTCACTGTGTCTACACGATGTAATCATAACTGTTTTACTGATGTAATTAAAAAAATCACTGTAATCTCTTCGAAAGTATGAGTCGTCCTGAATATGTACAAAGTATGGTATTTGCCACTGGATGTAAACCACATTGATTGCAAACAAAACATTAATGTAAACCCTAGTAACTACTTTATTCTGTCCTTTTTTTGTTTTTAACTATTGCACTCAATTTGATCTATCAAAGATCTTTTAAAAAAGGTCCTATGTGTTTGTACTAAGGAAATTATGGAATCGATCCATATATGGACATTTGGAGCTGTTAATATATAGATATGGAGATGTGATTGCTAACGAGACCACATTATCCAAATGATACTGAAAGAACTGAATGTCAGCAAATGACATTGGATGAACTATATAGTCTTTCAACAATGAGCAAAACCCATACTGTATAGTACATGTAAATGATAGACAGCTACCAAGGACAATCATGAAATTACAAGTTGTCTTATCATATTTAGAAAATCAAAAACTTCATTTTATAAATCAGCACCCGATATATGTCAAATTAGATTGATATTTTTCACTGATATTTCCAGATATTGGAAGAATTGAAGAAATGATAGAAGAAGATGGTGGAACAGCTAAGGTCACATGGCCTTCAAGGGAGGTAACTACAGTAAAAACTGGTAAAGATGGTTTAATAGAAATAAAACTGGTAGAACCACATCATGTTGGACATGTTTATATTGACCATATACCGGCAGTAGGTAAGCAATAAGTAAATTAAATTTACTACACTACTTCCTAATTTTATTACTAAATTTTTAAGAGCCTTATTGAGAGGTTTTAGTGATTTGGAATACTGCATGTTGATTCATTGTTAATTGTGGGATAATTTTTTCGGTGGATTATATAAACTGGTCAGGATCTTATTAGTTTTTTGATAATTTCAGATTTATCGCAACCTCCTGATTCATGTATCAATCCTGGAGACAAAGTTTGTGTTGATCTGAACTTTGACACATTTCAAGGACTACAACAAGATTATGGTGGATGGATTGATGATATGGAAGAGGTAATTATATCTAAACAAAAAAGTTATGGAGGATATAATGTTTTCTGTCCTCACAAATTACTTTTACTCTCATATTTTTATCCATTATTAATATTACTCAGAGGTTACAGGCTAGAAAGGAACATACATTTTCCCGGATGCTAAGTAATTTCAGTACGCCTCCAAATCATTTGATTTTTAGCTCACCTTGCCCAAAAGGGCCAAGTGAGCTTTTCTCATCACTTTAGTCCGTCGTCCGTTGTCCGTAGTCCTTCGTTGTCCGTTAACTTTAACAAAAATCTTCTCCTCTGAAACTACTGGGCCAAATAAAACCAAACTTGGCCTAATTCATCTAGTTTAAAAATTGTATCCGCCATGGCTAAAATTAGAAACATGTTTTAAAATGCAGTTTTTAGCTTATATCTCTGAAACTAAAGCATTTAGAGCAAATCAAAATTGTTCAGAAAAGTAAGAACTACAAATAAGTCAACATGACCAAAATTGTCAATTGACCCCATAAGGAGTTATTGCCCTTTAAAGTAAATTTTTCACTATTATTTGTAAATTTTTGTAATCTTTTACAAAAATCTTCTCCTCTGAAACTACTGGGCCAAATTAAACCAAACTTGGCCTTAATCATCCTTAGGGTATCTTGTTTAAAATATGTATCTGATGGCCTCACCCATCAACCAAGATGGCCACCATGGCTAAAAATAGAACATAGGGGTTTACATAGAAGTCTTTGGGAAAATTGTAAAAAAACAATTTCAAATGGTCACAACTTGAAAACTAATTTAAATAATGATAAGGGGTCTTCAGTTACTTTTGTAAGACTACAATGGGATGACCTGCTTTTAATTTAACTACTGGGCCAAATTAAACCAAACTTGGTCTCAATCATTATTGGGGTATCTAATACTATTTATTATGATTTAAACCTTATTTTACATGATTTCCAAAACCACAGTAGATACAGGTGAGCAACACAGGCTCTTGAGAGCCTTTTGTTTTTAATGTTGTTATAGAAACTACTTAAAAGTCAGCACATATCCAGATTGAATTTGAAAGATTACACTTTTCAATATTGTGAAACAGGCATGTGGAAATGTGTTAAAGTTAATTTTTTACACTAGAAGCTTTATTTAAAAAATTCTCATATTTCATTGCTCTCATTACAGATGCTTGGAAAAGGATACATTTTTGAATAACCTATGTAGAATAATGGAATTTTTGTTTTTAATACTGACTTCATCAGCAAGATTATCACAAGTGAGCCCGCTGATGTGGTATGATTGCCTGGTGAATGAGACAACTAAGTCTGTATAGAATAATAAATTGCTATTATTCTTTTTAAATAAATCTGCAATTTGTCTCAACAATATGCTTTCTTGTGTTAAGAATATGAAATAACGTAAAATAGTAAAAGTTGCAAAAGTTGCTTGGTTGTTTGAATGTTAAGTTGCATATGGAATTGAAATAGTGATGTTGCTGCACCTGCTATAATATTACATGACATCATTGCCTATTTTTTTTTGAGTATCAGGTCCTGACCATGATTTTTAAAAATATTAGGCAATAGGATCAAAGGGGAAATGTACAATTGCAGATAAATTCCTTTATGATGTAATGTAATGAAGATATTTAAATGGTTATTTACAGATAATGGGTGAGACTGGGAAAGTTGTGGATGTACCAAGAAATACCTTGTGTGAAGTTTACTTTGCAAGTGTATCCAGAACTTATGTGCTTTTTATTGCTGCTTTAACAAAGGTAATGCATATTTATACAGAACAAAGAAATATATTTTTGCCATATTTGTACAGTTTTAATATAGACTGAAAAGAGTGAAGATATCTTATTCTATCCAACTGTAACCAAATTTTTAAATTGATGTACCTTTTGTAGATGTCAGTTCCTGTTGTTGGCGACAGAGTTATGGTTCTTGCTGATGTAGGAATCCTTATAAGACGTCAAAGATATCTGTGGAAGGAAGCAATGAGGAATGTGAGTACACATATTGAGGTTTTCATTTTGATTTCATGGCTTTACCCAGTAATCAGTTTAACAGGCAATAAAGAAGGTTTGCATGTGATAATTAATTAATCTTATACTATACAATATCGAACTGGGGGAATTGGTTGTCGAGTGGTCTAAGTAGTTCAACTACTGTATCAATAAGCCTGTCAACACTGAAATTGTGAGTTTGATCCCTGCACCTCACTAGGATTGCCAGTTTTCCTATCGAATGTTATGTTTCTCCACGGGCACTCTTTGTACCTCCACCAATAAAATCTGGCCACCATGAAAATCCAATAGTGCTGAAAGTGGCATTAAACACCAAAAATCATTTAATCAACAATATCATACTGATCAAAATGTATATCATACAACTGACAATTGATGAATAAAGTGAAGAAATGTATATTTTAATCTATTGTTACTACAGCATAATGCATAGACGTATTTACACTTGTATGCAAATTTGTCCGCCATTACGTAAAATTACACAGGTTCCCGTAAACTTTAACATCATAATTCAAAACATTTGACGTCACAATTAAAAAGTGATTGTTGCCCGACGTCCAAAGGTGATTCGGAGTAGATCTAAGGTCATTTGGAGGCGAAATATAGCTAAATACCAAAAGTGTAAATACATTTATTGACTGAAGTAGTTCCCTTTGATTAACAGACTCATTACCGCTATAATGATGGTTTTTGTGAATTAAGAATTCCACTAGCAAAACTTCAGGAAAAACATATCACTTTATAATGATAGAAAATGAAGGGTTTGATTTATTAGTTCATGACACATGATCATGTACTTCACAAACTTGACTTAACCAAAGCAAAGGAATTGCTGTTCTTCATCATAAAGTCACAGTGAGGCCTTTAAAATATAGCAAATGTCACATTTCACTGGAAATTTATTTTGGTCCCTGTTGGTTTGAGCAAAATTCTTTGCTAGAAATTGATCACCCTACATCAACCGATTGAAGAACACAGATGTGGAGAAATATCAACACATTATAAAATATATCGGGCATTATAATGTCATACCTATTTATATCTAATTCATTTTATGGTCTTTATAGTCGTTATTTAAGCACTGAAAGCTAGCAAATCAGACATCTTCTAAATCTACCTGTTGTCTTTTTTATGGTCCTGCTGTAGGCAACAGTGCATTAAGTGTTACCCTTGACTGTCTGTCCTTCCGTCTTTCTGTCTTTCCTTCCTTCCGTCCTTCCATCTTTCTGTCCGTGGCAATCGTGTCCTCAGACACATTCTTCTTTTATTTTACAATTCAATTCAAATAATAACTATTTATAGTGCTTGAAATATTACACCTTTTTCTAATTGTAAACCAACCTTAGAAATAATTATTCTGCTATCTTATGCAAATTTTTAAGCCATAAATTCAGTAATTTATTTTAAGATCAGTTTTTTCTCTTCAGTTGATAGGTAAAACTGGAACTGTTGATAGTATAGATGTTATGGGTAATCTGTCCATCAGTTTCTCTGGGAACAGGAAGTTTGACTTCAGTCCATCTTGTGTAGTCAAGGATGATGGTGACAGTGTAGTACCAAGGGACGATAGTGATGACGAAGGCACTATCAAAATAACATTGGAAGATGAACCTTCTGTATACCATGAATCAGAATTGAAGGAGATGCCTACTCCATTTGGTGTTGATGAAGAATCTGTTGACAGCTCTGATGGCTCTGATAGTAAGTATTATCAATTAGTATAGTAATGATAAGCAACCATGCAACTTTAAGATATTTTCTGTAAGGCCAAACAATAATATATGTGCGTTTAGGGTTTCCTCCTATTTGGGTTATTTTAGTTCTGATAGTATTAGATATTTTGCTTCATGTTGGTTGAAAACAAAACTTTACAACAAATGAGATGATTTCAGTTTCCCAATTGTGAACTTTCCATTTATAATTTCCCCTCTCTTGCTGGATCATCTTTAATATATTTTTTCCTAAACCAGCTGTATTTACACAGAAAAAATTTAGAACTAGTCAATGATCCTTCTAAAAATCCTACTAGACAGCTTCATTTTAAAGCTTTTTCTGCATGTAAACTGCATTTATCATATGGTTAATATGAGGAAGGTGTTACCACCGTGATTACCTGCCAAAGGGTAAGTGCCATAGTATATAGACCCTATTCAACCCTTCTACTATTAATGCTCCCTTATTAAGATATGCATGAATCCCTTGCTAACTTACAACAGCAAAGTTTTAGACATAAGTGATGAATATATAAGTATGCTTTTATTTTGTTATAGATTAGTCACTGCCTCTCCTACATGTCCACTTGGATCTTTAAAAACACGACCAACTTATATATTTCAAGACTTGAAGTTTTATGATTTCACAAGATAATTGAGGTTGATTATCACAAGTTATTAGGAAAACTTCCACCAAAAAATAGTTCTTTGATTTTCTCCTACCTGTTGAAATTAATGTTGATTACTACTGTAAATTCAGAAATTATTGCGATGTTTTTATTATTGCGAAAAATGCGACAGGGTTATAATCGCAATAATTTAAACTCGCATTTTGAAATTTTATATACGAATTAAACAGGATTTTTCTCAATATCGCAAAAATTAAAATCGCATTTTAGTCTAAAATGACAAAATCGCAATAATATATGCACACAATAATTTCTGAATTTACAGTATATCAATCATAAAAACATGTTTTGTATTTGTTTAACCAACTCCAGTCTTTTTTGTCAAATACTGACTATAGGAATTTCTACATGATTCTGTGCAGATTATTCTATCATCCTATTAAAATATTGATAAAATAAATCTACTTATATTGAAAGAATGGAAGATTTACTATTTTTACCATTCCAGGGACATTGATAATGTCCCTTATCATACCTTCTTCCTTATATTTCCAGCTTTCTAGAGTTCCAGATACTTCAAGCATATATACATATTCTTGTCCTAAATAAGCATTTTGTGTGTTTTTTTGTTGTGGATGTACTGATTTTGTGTCATGGATGTATACCCCATATCCTTTGTTTTTCTATTTAAGGAATGACTGTAATATTTTTTCTGTCTATGAAGAAATAACATCAAAAATGTGGTGCACACTGAATAACCCACGTAGCAGGTTATTTTAAAGTGTGCACCACATTTTTTATGTAATTTCGAATAGACAGAAAAAATATTACAGTCATTTCTTATAATTTAATTCTAAATTCCATTTTAAACCGGAGTAAACCATGAAAAACGTTGATGACGTCACAGTCACATGACAAAATTATGTCTATGAGCTGATAAACAAAACAACGTCAGCCAATCAGAAGACGTGTTACATCCAAAATTAAATAAGTACAAGATATTTGTTACTGAATGTTAACTGAATATTTACAGATGATGAGGATGGTATCTCCAGTGATGAAGAACATGTACCTAAAGTTAACAGTAAGAATGTTTATCTTAAGTTATCTCCCTTTATATCATTTGATTGATTTCATTAAAGCTCACGACCAGGTCATATTTGAACAACCCAGGCATTGAAATTGGGGTGGGTGTATGAAACAATGATCTAATGAAAAACTTGGAAAGTATTATAGGTCTTTGGAACAGAACTTTTAATGCTGTTTTTCATCTTATGAATTGCTTTGTTATAAAGTGTTTATAACTTACAGGAGAGTAAAAGGTCTTCAGTCATGCACTGAAGTGTTAACACATTAAAGGACTGTTGTTCAAATGTCTTTAACATTTGGAATAAGTGTTACCTTAAAAAAGGTCTGGTGGGGGTTCACAGAATATTAAATAATGGCCAAGAAATAAAGAACAGAAAAAACTTGAGAGAAGAAATAAAGAATATAGAGAAAAAAAGGCATGGATAAAAGAATGGCCTAAAAAATTTTGCGGTCGTATATTGGTATGACGTTGGCGTCGTCGTCGTCGTCGGAAGACACATTGGTTTTCGCACTCTAACTTTAGTTTAAGTGAATGAATCTCTATGAAATTTTACCATAAGGTTCAATACCACAAAAGGAAGGTAGGGATTGATTTTGGGGTTATGGTACCAACAGTTAAGGAATTAGGGCTCAAAAAGGGGCCAAAAAAAGCATTTTTGTAACTTCCAGACATAATTTGTTTGTTAGTGTATGGATCTCTCTGACATTGTACCACAAGGTTCCATATCACAAAGAGAATGCTGGGATTGATTTTGGGGGTAATTGCCTCCAAATTTTAGGAATTAGGGGCCAAAAAGGGGCAAAAAACAAGCATTTTTCTAGTTTCATGACAATAACTTGTGTGTAAGTGTATGGATCTCTCTGATATTGTACCTCAAGGTTTCATATCACAAAGGGAATGCTGGGATTGATTTTTGGGGTAATTGCCTCCAAATGTTAGGAATTAGGGGCAAAAAAGGGGCAAAAAACAAGCATTTTTCTAGTTTCATGACAATAACTTGTGTGTAAGTGTATGGATCTTTATGAAATTGTACTACAAGGTTCCATATCACAAAGGGAAAGCTGGAATTGAGTTTGGGGGTAATTGCCTAAAACGTTTAGGAATAAGGGGCCAAAAAGGGGCCAAAAATAAGCATTTTTCTAGTTTCCAGACAATAACTTGTGTTCAAGTGTATGGATCTCTCTGAAATTGTACTGCAAGGTACCATACCACAAAGGGAAGGCTGGGATTGATTTTGGGGGTAATTCCCTCAAAATTTTAGGAATTAGGGGCCATAAAGGGGCAAACAGACAAGCATTTTTCTAGTTTCAGGACAATAACTTGTGTGTAAGTGTATGGATCTTTATGAAATTGTACTGCAAGGTTCCATATCACAAAGGGAAAGCTGGGTTTGAGTTTGGGGGTAATTGCCCTAAACATTTAGGAATTTGGGGGCCAAAAAGGGGCAAAAAAACAAGCATTTTTCTAGTTTCCAGACAATAACTTGTGTTCAAGTGAATGGATCTCTCTGAAATTGTACTGCAAGGTACCATACCACAAAGGGAAGGCTGGGATTGAGTTTGGGGGTGATAAATCATAAGGGGGTTCAAAAAATTTGGGGGGGATTTTTTTTCCTTTTTTTTCTTTAAAATTTTCCATTTTAAATTGGTTACTTCTGATTTATATATAAAAGCAAATAATAATGATATGATTTGAATAGGTAAATTAAAAAAATTTAAGTTCTTGGACCACACTCATTCTGTGTCAGAAACCTTATAATGCTGTGTCAAATATTTAATTACAATCCAAATTCAGTGCTGTATCAAGCTTGAATGTTGTGTCCATACTTGCCCCAACTGTTCTGCTATTTCATTGAACAATGTTTTGAGGAAAACTGTTGAATTAGAAATTTTTTATTGTTAGTGCTCAATTGTATTGCACACCTGTCTAACTTTTTATTTATCAAACTAAGTAATTTTTAGCTCACCTGGCCCAAAGGGCCAAGTGAGCTTTTCTCATAACTTGGCGTCTGGTTTCTGTCGTCGTTGGTGTCGTCGTCTGTCGTTGTTAACTTTTACAAAAATCTTCTCTGAAACTACTAGGCCAAATTTATCCAAACTTGGACATAATCATCATTGGGGTATCTAGTTGAAAAATGTGTCCAATTACCCCGCCTGCCAACCAAGATGGCCGACATGGCTAGAAATAGAACATAGGAGTAAAATGCATGTTTTGTCTATCATTTTGAAACTGTTATAAATAGAGAAAATCTAAAAAAGCAAAAATATTCAGAATGTTCTACCAATTGTTTATATACGTCAAAACTGTCAGACGACTTCTTTTAGGAGTTATACGACAAATTTTACCATTTTTTGTCATTTTTGCCTATTATCTTGAAAACTATAATAGAAAGAGAGAAACTTTAAATTGCAAAAATGATCAGCAAAACAAGTTCTACAAATAAGTCGAAAGGTTGAAATTGTCAGTCGACTACTTATTAGAGTTATTGCCCTTTGATGACGATTTTTAACAATTTTTTGCGTTTTTGCCTTATATCTGAAAAATTGTAATAGATAGATAGTAACTTAATTAAACAAAAATGATCAGCAAAACAAGATCTACAATTTAGACAAATGGAAGAAATCGTCCGACAACTCCTTATTGGAGTTATTGCCCTTTAATGACGATTGTTATCATTTTTTTGGTTTTTGCCTTATATGATAAAAATTATAATAGATAAATAGACACTTTAAATCACAAAAAAGATCAGCAAGGCAAGATCTACAAACATGTCAAATTTTGCTGATATAGTTATTAGACTGTCACTCTTTTTGTCGAGCATGCGACTTTTATCGCAAAAGCGAGACATAGCGATCCTACATTCCGTCGGCGGCGGCAGTGTCCACAAATATTCACTCTGTGGTTAAAGTTTTTCAAATTTTAATAACTTTCTTAAACTATCCTGGATTTGTACCAAACTTGGACAGAAGCTTGTTTATGATCATAAGATAGTATCTAGAAGTAAATTTTGTAAAAAAAAATCCTGTTTATCCATATTTTACTTATAGATGGACTTAGTTTTTCTGCCAGTTAATATTACATTCACTCTGTGGTTAAAGTTTTAAAAATTTTAATAACTTTCAATAAACTATCCTGGATTTGTACCAAACTTGGACAGAAGCTTGTTTATGATCATAAGATAGTATCCAGAAGTAAATTTGGTAAAAAAAAAATCCTGTTTATTCATATTTTACTTATAAATGGACTTAGTTTTTCTGCCAGTTAACATTACATTCACTCTGTGGTTAAAGTTTTAAAAATTTTAATAACTTTCTTAAACTATCCTGGATTTGTTCCAAACTTAGACAGAAGCTTGTTTATGATCATAAGATAGTATCTAGAAGGAAATTTTGTAAAAATTTATTTCCTGTTTTCTGTATATTACTTATAAATGGACTTAATTTTTCTTCCAGTTAACATTACGTACAGTCTGCAGTTAAAGTTTTTAAAACATTTATTAGATTCATAAACCATCCTGTACTTTTGTTTCATTAACTCTAAATCTATTATGTGAATTCTCCTATCACACTGAAAACATAGACAACAGCAAAAGTAGGCTAGACACTGGGTTCTGCGGAACCCTTACAATTTTTTTAGGGGTGATTGCCCTTAAATGAGGATTTTTTTACCCTCTTTTGTGTTTTGAGCAAAAACTTAAGATGATAGAGAGAAACTTATCAGATTAAATGATCAGCAATTTAAGATCAACAAAACAGAGATTTTTGTCATGAATTCTATTCTTGTCTACAATGTTGAAGAGTGTCCTTTGTTGAATATGCACACAGACCAAGGTGAGCTACAAAGGCTCTTTAGAGCCTCTAGTTTGTTTTCCTACAGCAAAACACAACCTTTGACCTCTTTGGAACCCGCTGAACCTTGAAGAATGGATATAATGAAGCTGTCACATAATCTTGATTATAGATTAAAGATTTTTAAATGTCCAAATTTTTTTTTTATATTAATGTTTTTGCTTACATGCATCCACATCATTTGAACTCTGATGAATAGTTGTCTCATTGGCAATCATACCACATCTCCTTATTTATTTATATTTGTTTACACGTAGTATTCATGTCCAGATTCTTATCTTAGAAACTAAGAGAGAGGGTCATCTAATTTTATAAAATTCAAAGGCGCAAGAATTATCAGTTCAGTGGTCCCATGTCTTATTTATGAACCCAAATTCAGAGGTCAGACTTGTTTTTTTGAACCCACAAGGCACATAATGTATAAGTTAGAATATAATTGTAAAGTATTGACAGTATAATGGTTTCAGGGCAACACATTTTGTTTTATTAGCTAGCTCTTAAGGCACAAAAAGGCTCGGGTAATCATTTCAGAGTTCTGACCCTTTCACTTTTGGAAAGGGCCAAATGGGATTAATAAGGACGTCCCAGATATTTAAGTGTAAAACTAAGTTTAATTTTCATTAAATTATGATGTAATCTAATTTTCTAAAAAAAAATCCCTGCCTTTTGAGTTAATTTTTTTTTCAATGTATCATTCACTATTTACAAGGTATTCAATCAGAAAATTATTAAGATACCAACATCCCAGAACTATGTCATTTTTATATGTGTTAACACCATTCTTATATGGTTTATTTGCTGTGAATTGAATTCTCTATTAGTATTTATACCACTAATACCTTCTAGGTAGTATAAGGCCATATATATATTCTGTTTCATGTTTTAAATCTCCTGAACATGCATGAGAAAATTGCCAATGGACGATAAGCAAACAACAATCAATCGATCATGTTATGAAATACATGCAGAAGTTTTAGTTTTCACTCAATAATTTACAGAATTTTTATCATTAATTGTTTTGTTAAATGTTAAAAAATTTGTCCTTTTAAATTACAATCCATTGAATTTAATTTATCTGGTCAATTTAATTTAATTCAATAAATTTCTTTTCTTAGTTTGATTGATTGTTAGTTGCTAAAGGTCCAGTGGCAAATATTTCATGAATGTTTATGAATGTTCAGGACAATTCTTAGTTTAATCTGGGAACAGTATAGCTAACAATATATATGTTCCTGGTTTAATGTACTATGCATTTCTCTTAATTTTCAATTAAGGAAACAGTTATTTTGAATGATTTTAACTGAAAAGTACATATGAAAAAAGATGACTGTCTATATGTTGTGATTTTCTACTTTCTGTTTCCTGCATGTAAATACTATAGTTTACTACATCTCAATTTCCTTATGTCTGGACATGTTCAAGTTGAATAGCTTTTTCCAAGTAAAAGTGCAAAATTAGTGCAAATAAATCAAAAGAAAATATTAAAACTTTTCATATTTATAATATTCATATTCAACCTGCTGTTTTAGATTATAAATAGATACTACAAATTCCATTGATTAAGGTCTATTTATAGAATATACTTCCTTGTTGGTTTGTCCAGGTTTTAAGAAACTGAAAAGTTTTCTGATCCTGGTATTTTGGAGAATCAATGGAGGCAGCTAGTAAGTTTATAGGATGATTCTAATTATTTTACTGGTATTTTGTATATAATGATTGGAACATAATTTAGTATTCATTTGGAAAATGAATTTCTACTTTCTCTTTATGTTAGACTCTGCATGGATAATGAATCATATGTTTTCCCAACTGATGATCGATGCACAGTTTTTAAATGCCTGTATTGGCGTATCATATACCTGATTTTAAGCTTTGTGAACAAATATTGAGAAATTTTCTCTATTTTTTTTTGGAAACTTGCAGTTAATAAATATAAATTCTGCATAATAATATCAGACATGCACTGGAAGGATAATTAGATAATTTGAAGAGCAAAAGAAGAAACATTTTGTCAGATATATTAAAAAAAATATTCAACAAGTGTAAGTACTGTTTTGGAAAAGGTTATGGAAAATCATTGAATGATTTGGAAAATGTCAAATTTTCTATCTGTGAAAATGATATATTGAGTCTTCCAAATATACTTTAATGCCCTCAGACTAAGGCAAAGGGAGCATTAAAGTTTACCCTGGTTTGTCTATACATCAGTCAGTTTGTATGTACGTCAGGAAATTGTTTTTCGTTTTCTAACTCTAGTTTGCCTCAATAAAAGGTTATGAAATTTATACACAATGCTTGTTACCACCGAACACAGATCAAGTTCCAATTTGGTTCTAAGAGTCATTGAGTTATGTCCCTTTATTGATTAAAACAAATTGCTGAATTTGCTTTATTTAATTGCTGGACATCTGTCCTGTGAACTCATTCTTCTTTTATTGATTATTGTGTTGTTGGTACCACTATATCTGATTTACTTAATGGACCTCATTGGTCAAGTGGTCAATCTACAGTGGTCAAGTGGTCAATCTACAGTGATCACTAGCCTGTCAACTCTAAGACTGTGATTTGACCCTTGGTCATGGAAAGTAACTGTTTCACTACAATCATTGATATGTAAAATGCCAGTTTACCTGCTGATCAGTTCTGTGATATCCTCCTCAAGTACTCTGGCCCCTGCTACCAATAAAAACTGGCTGCCATGGTATAACCAAGGTCACTTAAAGTGGCATTAAGCACCAGCAAACGATACAAACTGATTGAATTTATCCCAATTTAAATCTCCTCATCTTATTTATATTATATTACATAAAGATTTTTTTTAGTTTATTACTTGTAAATGAAACTGACTCAATCTCAAGGTTGATGTGTTTGAACTTTGAACTTAAATCTTTTCTTGATGTACACATACCTTCCAACTTTTCAAAATCTCTATGGGGGATTTTAAGAGGAAGTCTACGGACCTAATGTTCCTCTTATATTGTCATAAGGGTTTTTAATCTGCTACATGTACTGTATGGTTTGAATGAGTATATATGTGCTTAAATACCCTTTAATTCCTTTGAATGCCTGTTTTGAGGTGTTCAGTTTACTATAATAAAGAATTTCAAAATTCAAGACAACTCCTGACATGGGTGATATCCCCCATAAATAGGGATAGTTGGCAGGTCTGATGTACAGTACTAAGATCAGAAAACTTCTACCCTTATAATCTCACAAGGTCTGATAATCAGGAAAAACAAACCTCTGGATTATGTTAAAGAATGATCTTCTGTATAAAATATGGGATAACAGGAATAGCAACAAAAAAAAATCGTACGTAAAAACAATATAAGGTGCCGATTTTGTCAAAATTATTAGATTTAATTTGAAATTTTTCAGGAGCTCCATAATTTCCATTTCAGGATATCCTGAAATAATTCAGGACTTCAATAATTCTATTGCACTGGATAACTGGAAATATTTCAGGACCTCCCAAAAAATAAATCAAATTGTGGACAGTGTCGATCCTGAAATAATTATAAGTATTTAAGGATTCTGAAATTGAATTATGGAGACTCTGAAATATATAATTATGGAGCTCCATAAATATTAAGGAATCATATTCTGCATAAATAAGGACCTCATGAAATTAGGCAATTTTGACCGATTATCTATTATACCTCCAATTAAAATCATCCTAATTCAAAAAGCAATAGCTACTTGATGGACGGCAGATGAATCTTTCTTATCTGAGAAAAATAAATCCTCCAAAATCTAGTGTATTCTGATTTTTTTTAATAGCATCCATGGTTATTGCCCCTGGTTTACGAGTGGTCAGAGGACGAGACTGGAAATGGTCAGATCAAGATGGAGGTGAAGGTCATTTAGGAACTATACAGGAAATCAGTGGTATGAGAAAGACATCATGTCCAGACAAGTGTGCAGCTGTATTGTGGGATAATGGTTACAGAAATACGTACAGGATTGGATTCGAAAATTCATATGACCTGAGGATCTATGATAACGCGGGAGTGGGTAAGTTGACCTGAGGATCTACGATAAAACTGGAGTGGGTAAGTTGTACAGATCGAAAATTCATATGACCTGAGGATCTACGATAACTCTGGAGTGGGTAAGTTGACCGTAGGATCTACAATAACGCAGGAGTGGGAGAGTTGTACAGATCGAAAATTCATATGACCTGAGGATCTATGATAACGCGGGAGTGGGTAAGTTGACCTGAGGATCTACGATAACGCTGGAGTGGGTAAGTTGTACAGATCGAAAAATTCATATGTCCTGAGGATCTACGATAACGCTGGAGTTGGTAAGTTGACTGTAGGATCTACAATAACGCTGGAGAGGGTAAGTTGACCTGAGGATCTACGATAATGCTGGATCGGATAAGTTGACCTGAGAATCTTCAATAACGCTGGAGTGGGTAAGTTGTATAGATTGAAAATTCATATGACCTGAGGATCTACGATAATGCTGGAGTGGGTAAGTTGTATAGATCGAAAATTCATATGACCTGAGGATTTACAATAACGCTGGAGTGGGTAAGTTGACCTGAGGATCTACGATAATGCTGGATCGGATAAGTTGACCTGAGGATCTTTGATAACGCTGGAGTGGGTAAGTTGTCTAGATTGAAAATTCATATGACCTGAGGATTTACAATAACGCTGGAGTGGGTAAGTTGACCTGAGGATCTACGATAATGCTGGATCGGATAAGTTGACCTGAGGATCTTCCATTACGCTGGAGTGGGTAAGTTGTATAGATTGAAAATTCATATGACCTGAGGATCTACGATAATGGTGGAGTGGGTAAGTTGTATAGATTGAAAATTCATATGACCTAAGGATCTATGATAGTGCTGGAGTGGGTAAGTTGACCTGAGGATCTACAATAATGCTGGAGTAGGTATTAAAGTTGACCTGAGGATCTACAAATAAAGTTGGAGTGGGTTAGTTGTACAGATTAAAAATTCATATGACCTGAGGATCTACGATAACTCTGGAGTGGGTTTGTGGTACACATTAAAAATTCATATGACCTGAGGATCTACGATAATGATGCATTTGGTAAGTTGTACAGATTGAAAATTCATATGACCTGAGGATCTACGATAATGCTGGAGTGGGTAAGTTGACCTGAGGATTTATGATAATGCTGAAGTGGGTAAGTTGACCTAAGGATCTACAATATTGCTGGAGTGGGTAAGTTGTGTAGATTGAAAATTTATATGGCCTGAGGATCTACGATAACTCTGGAGTAGGTAAGTTGACCTGAGGATCTAGAATAACTCTGGAGTGGGTTTGTTGTACAGATTGAAAATTCATATGACCTGAGGATCTATGATAATGCTGGAGTGGGTAAGTTGACCTGAGGATCTATTATAATAATGCTGGTGTGGGTAATTAATTAAGTTGACCTGGGGATCTACAATAATGCTGGAGTGGGTAAGTCAATGTAAAGATCAAAAATTTATACGATCTGATAAGGTTTGAACTTGTAGCATACATGAATAAAATCAACTTCAGACATCATGCTTACTACAACACTTTTATAAAATCCAAAATTAAAGTAGTTGATATGAAAATGGATTATTATTTTTTTATAGCTGGTAACAGACACCAGGGAATGAAATGTACAGAGGTAACCTGTGAGGAAGAGGAAGATGATATTATGGGATATGTATGGCAGTGTATATCTAATCCGGAGGTTACATTATGTAATAACTGTTACCATGCAGATAAAGGGGATGTAACTGAAGGTTTTCGTAGAATTGAATACCCAGGTCATAAAGGGTAGGTAACACTTCAATATTTAACGAATCATGATTCATGGGGCAGGACCTACACAATCACCATTGAAATGAGATGTGCTTCACCATTAAACATCATTGAACTACCACTAGTGCTTTCCCTTTAACTGACTTAATCAATAACTAATACATGTAAATTATCAACTAAAAGTTTCAAAGTAAATTGACCATGCCTGAGGGGACAAAGCCTAATAAACTCCATGGACAGGAGATGAGCAAATGCTTACACAACTACATACCAAATATTATTGACCTACCACTAGTGATTTTCATTAAACTGACCTAATGACAAACTTATATATTGTTGAGGCAGCTGACAACTATAAACACCAGAAACAGGATGCCTAAGTGTTGCCTGACTAGGACATTGTTGTGTTGAGACAAAAAACCTAAGTTTTTTTTAAACACATCAAATGCTATCATAAAAGATCACTATTGAACTCTTGCTTATGATTACTTAGATTGTGTAGTCTTCATTAGTTTTAAAATTATGGTGGTACCAAACACCTTGACTAAAATTAATTTGGCTCGTTTAATTTTCATAACATTTTGACAAAATATTTACTTTGACCCTTTGACAAAAATATAAAAATTTCTAAAAATTTGAACCACACACTTTATCAGAAAAATTTCATTGAATGTATAGCAGTTTGACAAACACTAATTTTGATCATTGAATATTTCCTTAACAATAGAACGTGATTAAAAGGTTCAGCTGATTTTTACAGAGTTATCTCCCTGTAGTGTTATTATGTACCACCTTAAACTTTCATTTATTTGTACAGGGTTAAAGTACCAAAACGTCAGATGACACAGAGACAAAAACTGTTGGGAATTGATGTTGGTGCCAGAGTTATAAGGGGAGCTAACTGGAGATGGGCTAACCAAGATGGTGAGTTAATATTAAATAATGGCAACTGTTTTTATATTTTTTATTTCAGTAAAATGATATGGTCATTTTCCATTTTAGCATTTGCAAATTTAGAATTAAGAGAAATTCTAATATGATGTTTTTCAAATGCTTTGAGTACACACCCGTGGTAAAATTTGAATTTATTCATTCATATGTCAGCTGATAGGCAGCGTCATGATTTGTTTGGGCTGTTCCGATCCTTCTCCAACGTCATATGCCTTTTATGGATGATTTACCTCACGTCAGATGATGTAAATTACATCATTGAACGATGATGTAAGAATGTAAGGATTTAACGGGAAAATGCTTATTCAATTTTCCATCGTCAATAACGTCAATATTAATAGTGTGTTCAATTACTGGAACAGCAAACATTTCCCTTCACATAGAGCGCTTCGATACAAAAGAATTGCTGTCTTTGTCCTATTAGAATAGAAATAATTCATGGGGCTTGAATTTATATTGATATTACCACAGGTTGGCCCTTTATGCTGATATTTAACACCTTGCTGTCGCTTGTGGTAAAATATTTAGCATAAAGGGACAACCTGTGGTAAAATAACGATAAATTCAAGCCCCATGAATTATTTCTTAAACATATTGAGAATAAAGATATCCATGAAACACATGACAACCCAATAGAATACTGCAAAATAAGAAAATATCAAGTATTTCAATACCTTCATTAGACATCAACCCAAAGACAAAAAACATGCAACTCTAGTGCTGAAATCAATTTTGCTTATTTGTACATTATCTGCAGTCAACCAGGTTAGTCAATAGATTGAGTAGACAAAAAAATAAGAAAAATTTTCATTAAATAGGTGGACCTGGTCAGCAGGGAGAGGTTATTGCCCTTGTGAACTTCAGCTTGGACACAGATCGTGATGCAGCAGAGATTACGTGGGGTAACGAGCACTCCAATGTGTATAGACTTGGCTATGAAGGAATGGTAGACCTGAAGTGTATGAAGCCAGGCACTGCCAAATATTACTACCCCTATCATTTACCAGAACTCAGTAAGTCCATGATCAGACCAGGCACTACCAAATATCATTACCCCTGTCATTTACCAGAACTCAGTAAGTCCATGATCAGACCAGGCACTACCAAATATCATTACCCCTATCATTTACCAGAACTCAGTAAGTCCATGATCAGGCCAGGCAATATCAAATGTTATTACCCCTATCATTTACCAGAACTTGGTAAGTCCATTATCAAGCCAGGCAATACCAAATATTATTACCCCTATCATTTACCAGAACTTGGTAAGTTTATGATCAGGCCAGGCAATACAAAAATTATTACCCCTATCATTTACCAGAACTCAGTAAGTCCATGATCAGACCAGGCACTACCAAATATTATTACCCCTATCATTTACCAGAACTCAGTAAATAGATATAAGAAGTTGTGGTATGAGTGCCAATGAGACAACTCTCCATCCAAGTCACAATTTGTAAAAGTAAACCATTATAGGTCAAAGTACAGCCTTCAATCCATTATCAAGCCAGGCAATACCAAATATTATTACTGCAAACTCAAAATTTTTGCAAGAAATGTGATTGGATAGGTTTTTCAAAACTTAGACTTGCATTTTTATACGACCGCAAAAAAATTTTTGTGGTCGTATATTGGTATGACGTTGGCGTCGTCGTCGTCGTCGTCGTCGTCTGGCGTCGTCCGAAGACACATTGGTTTTCGCACTCTAACTTTAATTTAAGTGAATGGATCTCTATGAAATTTTACCACAAGGTTCAATACCACAAAAGGACGGTTGGGATTGATTTTGGGGGTTATGGTACCAACAGTAAAGGAATTAGGGGCCAAAAAGGGGCCAAAAATAAGCATTTTTGTAACTTCCAGACATAACTTGTGTGTTAGTGTATGGATCTCTCTGACATTGTACCACAAGGTTCCATATCACAAAAGGAATGCTGGGATTGATTTTTTGGGTAATTGCCTCCAAATTTTAGGAATAAGGGGCCAAAAAAAGGGGCAAAAAACAAGCATTTTTCTAGTTTCATGACAATAACTTGTGTGTAAGTGTATGGATCTTTCTGAAATTGTACTACAAGGTTCCATATCACAAAGGGAAAGCTGGAATTGAGTTTGGGGGTAATTGCCGAAACGTTTAGGAATTGGGGGCCAAAAAGGGGCCAAAAATAAGCATTTTTCTAGTTTCCAGACAATAACTTGTGTTCAAGTGTATGGATCTCTCTGAAATTGTACTGCAAGGTACCATACCACAAAGGGAAGGCTGGGATTGATGATGGGGGTAATTGCCTCAATATTTTAGGAATTAGGGGCCAAAAAGGGGCAAAAAACAAGCATTTTTCTAGTTTCAGGACAATAACTTGTGTGTAAGTGTATGGATCTTTCTGAAATTGTACTGCAAGGTTTTATATCACAAAGGGAAAGCTGGGTTCGAGTTTGGGGGTAATTGCCCTAAACGTTTAGGAATTTGGGGCCAAAAAGGGGCCAAAAAACACATTTTTCTAGTTTCCAGACAATAACTTGTGTTCAAGTGTATGGATCTCTCTGAAATTGTACTGCAAGGTACCATACCACAAAGGGAAGGCTGGGATTGAGTTTGGGGGTGATGAATCATAAGGGGGTTCAAAAAATTTGGGGGGGGGGATTTTTTTTATTTTTTCCTTTTTTTTTTCTTTTAAAATTTTCCATTTTAAGTTGGTTATTTCTGATTTATATTTAAAAGCAAATAATAATGATATGGTAGGAGATACACACCAAACAGGATGTGTAAATTATTATATAATAAGTATTGTGCAATAGCAAGAAATTTTCAATTGCACAGTATTGCACAATAGCAAGAAATCTTCAATTGCACAGTATTGCGCAATAGCAAGAAATCTTCAGTTGCACAGTATTGGGCAATAGCAAGAAATATCCAATAGCACAATATTGCGCAATAACAAGAAATTGTCAATTGTACAGTATTGCGCAATAGCAAGAAATATTTAATTGCACAGTATTGTGCAAAAGAAGATACTTCGTATAAATTGCTTATTTCTTGACAAATTTCAATGGGGTTTTATTCTTGAATTCTTGGGGTTCTTTAATATGCTGAATCTAACCGTGTATTTAGTTTTTGGATTTTGGGCCCTGTTTTTAAATTGGTCCACATTGAGGTCCAAAGGGTCCAAAATTAAACTTAGTTTGATTTCATCAAAAATTGAATTATTGGGGTTCTTTGATATGCCGAATCTAACCATGTATTTAGATTCTTAATTTTTGGTTCCGTTTTCAAATTGGTCTACATTAAGGTCCAAAGGGTCCAAAATTAAACTTAGTTTGATTTTAACAAAAATTGAATTCTTAGGGTTCTTTGATATGCTGAATCTAAACATGTATTTAGATTTTTAATTATGGGCCCAGTTTTCAAGTTGGTCCAAATCGGGGTCCAAAATTAAACTTTGTTTGATTTCAACAAAAATTGAATATATGGGGTTCTTTGATATGCTGAATCTAACCATGTATTTAGATTTTTGATTTTTGGGCCCCGTTATCAACTTTGTCCACATTGAGGTCAAAAGGGTCCAAAATTAAACTTTGTTTGATTTCATCAAAAATTGAATTCTTGGGGTTCTTTGACATGCTGAATCTAACCATGTATTTAGATTTTGGATATTGGACCATAATAGGTGAATGTCCAATTTAAATTTTTAAGTTCTTAGACCACATTCATTCTGTGTCAGAAACCTATGCTGTGTCAAATATTTAATCACAATCCAAATGCAAAGCTGTATCAAGCTTGAATGTTGTGTCCATACTTGCCCCAACTGTTCAGGGTTCGACCTCTGCGGTCGTATCAAGCTGCGCCCTGCGGAGCATTTTATTAAATTTTAAAGCATTATCAAATCAAAGCATACAAGTTCACTTACAAATGCCCCAAAAAATCATTCTTTTTGGATAAGGCTGTTGAATATATCTAAATTTAAATAGGACAATCTAATAGTTTGTAGTAAGAAAATTGTTTTCAGATCAACGTGTATATGAAGTTGATTATCATAAGAACAAATTTAATGTAGCAAAATAGTAAAGATTTTCTCTTTACCAGTATTGTATATACTAAACCTTTTTTGTGTCCTTATAGAAATGCCAGCAGAACCATTTCACATTCCTGAGACAGAAGAGGAAGACATACCAGAGGCTGATGGTAGATTGAGGCCAGGAGATAAAGTCATGATAGGTGTGGACCCTGATGTCTTTCAGTCCATCCATAAAGAAATGAAACTTTGGAAAGAAAAAATGATGGAGGTATATATATGTAATCCAGGAACTGTTGACCCCTCCAGAGTACCTGAGTTCATCCTTTGGTTATATGTCATTTCGCCTCCTGGTTTTTGTCTCGCCCGTGACGAAAGTCGTGGAAAGCGAGACATAGGGATTGCTTTTCCGGCGACTGCTGCGACCATTTCTAGGCCCTGTCTACAAGATCATGGTCCAGCAACTTTGAATTAATAAGCAATGTTGCTGTCCATCAGATTGTCTTTTTCTGAATTTTATGCGGACAGGCAAGACATATCTCTGTGTCAACAGTTTATTTGTGATGTTTGTGTTACTTAGTCTGTACTGGTAGTAGAGAACACAGCAACCTTCCAACATGGATCATAAGATTTAATATATCCCCATTTCTAATGGAATTTTCCTTTAAATCCTATTTACACATCCCATGAAGACAAAATAATGCCCTTCAGTATGCCGATCTTTATGTTAGACAAAGGAAGTCCAGGTTACCTTTTTTGCATTCCTTAATCAATCTTTTTGGTTAGTTATGTTGAAGTAGATAATTGATAATACAGGGATTAACTTAACATACAGGGATTAACTTAACATACAGGGATTAACTTAACATACAGGGATTAACTTAACATACAGGGATTTATTTAACATACAGGGATTAACTAAACCTTAAGGGATTAACTTAACATACAGGGATTTATTTAACATACAGGGATTAATTTCACATACAGGGATTAACATAACATACAGGGATTAACTTAACATACAGGGATTAACTTCACATACAGGGATTAACTTAACATGCAGGGATTAACTTCACATACAGGGATTAACTTGACATACAGGGATTAACTTAACATACAGGGATTAACTTAACATGCAGGGATTAACTTAACATGCAGGGATTAACTTAACATACAGGGATTAACTTGACATACAGGGATTAACTTCACATACAGGGATTAAGTTAACATACAGGATTGATGGGTATCATCTAAAGCATCTTTAACTTTTCATTTCAGATGATAGGGATGACTGGGAGGGTAGAGGGAGTTGAAGGCGTGACTGTGGCAGTCAACTTTGATGGGGACAGATATAAATTACATGAAATGGCTCTCAATAAGGTAGGTACATTAGCAAGTGGAACATATTTAAGAAAGTCTTAGAAAATTCTTGTCTCTTGAACAACCTTATCAAATTCTTTATTTTATGAAAAGAAAAAAAGTGAAAGAAAAGAAGAAAAAAAAAGGAAAAGGAAAAAAAGAAAAAAAAAGAAAAAAGTAAAATAAGTTGGGCATAAGTGTTGCTTTCAGTCATATGTAATCATTTTGCTTATAATAGGTGGTGAGTTTTTTTTTTTACATGTGTGATTTACTCACAATTAAACCAAATCAATTAAAAAAATAAAACGAAGTAGGTTTGACTAGTGCATTATAGCTACCTTCCTGTAGTAGTGAACACATGTTAACCTTAATGATCATTGCAACATGCCTGTACCTAAAAGTTGGTACAATATTAGTTTGTTTTGAAAAAAATTAGAAATTTATTTAATAATTAATACTTATTTTAGATTACTATTTACCTCAATTTTTTAGGTGGAAGTATTTTCAGCAGGTGAATTTGTGAAGATAATGGAGGATTATGGGAAGGTTCAGAAATTACAAAATGGTCATGGGGACTGGAATGATTTAACTAGAAAGGTTTGTCGGAATTAAATTTCAGTTCTTGGAGTTATTTTATGACAATGAACTTATGAGTTCATTCTTTTTAGATTAATTAGAAGATTAAAAAAGAATGGAACCATGTTTATATGTATTGTTAAATGAATGTTAAATCACAAAATTTGTTAAATGAAAAGTTAAGTTGTTATTTTAAGTTATTTTGCAAAAGAAAAAACTCTATTTGTATGTTAAATGAGTGGTAGGGATGAGTGGTAGAGATGAGCCACTGGAATTATAGAATCTGAAACTAATCAGGTTTCAATAGTTTTCACAGATGCAGCAATAAAAATCACATTCATAATCACATCAGATGTTTGTCAAATCTATTTATATCTCTAAGAAATAGGGGGTAATCATGAAAGCTTTAGGTGTATTTTTTGTCAAATAGGATATGTGTTTTTACAATTCAAAATATATGAAATGGGTGGGGTACTGTATGTCTCAGCTGCTAATCCCCACCACAGAGAGATTGAAGTGTTATTATATGAAATATATGACAAAAAAGGTAGGTGAGGTTCTCTTTTTGCATGCATGAAATATTTGCCACAGGACGCTAAGCAAACAACAATCAATCTTTTTGCATAAATGCTGTACGATAAAAAAATCCCACATTTCTTAAATTATGTAAGGTGCAATATAGTTTTATGTATTTTCAGTCTTTAGGAAAGAAAGGACAAGTAAAAAGTGTCAATGTAGATGGTGATGTCAAGGTCAAGTTTGGTGAAGTGTCCTTGACCTTTAACCCTGAATGCTTGACTAAAACTGAGGGACCAGCAGACTTTATGACTAGCAGTAGGCCTGAACCAAGACCTGAACCTAAACCTGAACCAAGACAAGAACCTAAACCTGAACCCCCTCCTGATAACAGGAATCCAAGTATGTATAAAGGGGGTCCAGAAGTGGAGTTCTCCTTCATTTAAGAGATTGAAAGTTTGTATGAGTCTTATTCCATGTGAAGAATTTTTCACAAGTCATATGCCATGATTAAATGAAGGTTACACAAGCTCTGTTCTATGGTAATTTCTTTTCCTTTTCTTACATTCTTGCTTACACCCTCACTAGAACATGACATCACAATTTTTTTACCAAGAACACATCTGTTTTTGCAGACCAGATAAGCTTTGCCAACATAGGGTTTAAAATCATGAGAGAAACTGATTTTACACCTGATTGTAAAATGTATACTGTAAATTCAGAAATTTTTTCAATGTTTTTATTTTGGCAAGAATTGCAACGGGATAAGTTATGCCAAAATAAAAACTTTCACTTTAAATTTTGATAGCATTATTTGTTAGCAGCATTTCCAGAAATTACAATAATTAATCTCACATTTGTGTCAATATATTGTTCAACCATCATAATAATGAATGCACACAAAAATTTCTGAATTATTTATAATTTGAACCGGATTTCAGAAATAAAGTCTCTCATAAGTTGAACCAGAGTATAAGATGTCTCTGGTAACTTTCTGAAAAAAGATATCAACTTATACTGCGGAATTTACAATAAATGAAATATCAGTAACATGTCTGTCACATATGAATGGTAAATATTTGTTGATTGTATGATAGGTACAGATTTCAAGGCTGCAGTAGAACAAGACATGGAAGATGATGTGTTAATACATTTGAACCAAGAACCTACGATGGAAAAGAAACGAGAACTTGTAAGTTACTATTCACAGTTAATAGCATATTCTGGGTCTTTTTATTAAGGAAACTCCACACTGGACTTTAAGCAAGCAATAATCAATCAATCAATCGAAGATGATCCAGTATTAGTTAAGACTTTAGTCCTAAATTTTTTTAATTTTAAAAGGAAAAAGGCAATGGATGTTGCTTTTTAGTCTTCAATATCCTTTTGATCTTAAGGAATGAAAATAGGGGAAACAACTGTTTACTAATTCAATATCCATGTTTACTATATACGCGTCACCAGGTAAACTCATTTTGAGTCAGTAAAATTACCAATGGATGTCCGTAAATTTTATATTTTTCACTGGAGATTTCAACTGTTGATATATAATTTGACCGTTTTGTGTTTCTTTAAGCATACTGTTTTATGTTTTTTTAAGCATATAAAGCTATTTTAACGAAATGATAAAAATCAAAATGTTTAGTCTCTAAGAAAATCTATAAGATTTCCATTGCTTTTTTTACAAAATGGATGAAATTGGATACTATGGAGTCTTTCTGAACAAGTTTATTTAATATGAAGTATGAAGACTTGTCAGCCTACCAGAAAGATGATCCTTGAACTAAAGGTTCCGCTATCTTTATTACATATTTGTACATCTGTTTTAGGTGAGTGGTCAAGCTAATTTCCATCCCATTTATACAGCCTGTAAGAATGGGTCTGCTGGAGTACTGAAAGCCTTGTTAAAGTATGCTGGATCACAGGCTCTGGAGGAAGGAGACGATGGGACTAAAAGTACACCGCTACAAATCGCCGTCAAAAAGTTAGTATCAATACATATGCTCATAATTTATAACAAACCTTTCTGAATTTATCCGTTAATAAATTTAGAAATTGATAAGAAACTAAGGTTTCAACTCCCTCGGGCAAAGTTGACCTTAGATGGATTTAGCTATTTTTTGTGTGTCTTTTTAGGTCATATAGCTCCTCAACTCAAATATTCGTCTTTGAGTGTTCCTGATGAAGGTAAATCAAAAAATTGCTTCAGACGCATGAAATATATTATCTGTTGTTTTCAATTTTTAACTGCATTTCCATAGGAAAATATTGGTTATTAATTTGGTGATGTACGGCTGTCAGGCGGTTGGGTGGGTGGCCGGGCGGGCGGCTGCCAACCAGTGTCCTTGCAATAACTTGAAAACAATTTGAAGAAATCATTTCAAATTTAGATATGTTGTTTCCTGTGACTAAATGAATTTTCAATTTTCACGATTTTAGCTTATGTGGTTGTTGAGTTGTAGACCTTTTAATAGCGAAAAGTGATACTTAGATTGATTTTGGCCTTAACCTTTTCTGAACCCTACAAAAAATCTTTTTTTTTCACTTGATCCTGTTTGGGGGTCCAGATTTGTAAATATCATTTTCGAGCAGGAAAATCCGATTTGCTGTCAATCTGACAGCCTCTTGCCACATATTGCTGTCAAGTGTACCCTAACATAACAAAGTCCGTATCTGGTGATAGAACATACATGAGGACAGGAGGACATGATTATGACTACATCAAATAGAAATATATCCATGTCATCTGTCATACAGATATTCTGTATGCAAACCTATCAACGGACCAATATTTTGGGGGAACATCTTGGAATTTTTCTGCTCACCTGAAATATTTCAATGTGTTATATTTTTTGGAAATAGTTAGGCATCTTGTATCTGCAATGCCTCCCTAACCATTGACTAGATTTCAATAAAGATTTCACAAAACTTTCAGTAACTAATTACATTTTGCATGCCCTATATTCCAAAGCATTGTTTGGGTTCTCATAAATCCTACCATAGCTTTATTAATGGGAGAGTGAGGGTGGCAATGAATGAGCCAACTATGCATTTTTGTCATATAGTATTGATTGAAGCAAGTTGGTAAAATTTTATTACTCATATTTACAAGTTGAATGTAAAGTGTGATATTTTAACATTTCAAGTTTTATATATCACACTCTTATGTTTAACCTTAAAAAATCGTCAGAACTTTAGGTATTTATTAAACATCTTTCTTCTTTTTCAGAAAACATTCTGATTGTGTAGAATTACTGTTAAGTTACAATGTGAATAAGGATGCTGTAAATGACCACAGACAGTCAGCTGTTCATCTGGCTGTACAAAACAGAGATGTAGCCACGCTTCGTGTCCTAAGGAAACATAAATGTGATATTAATAAAAAGGTATAGCTGTTACAGCATGAACAATTATCAGAATTTTTAAGTTTTCAGGATTTGGCCATTTTTTGCTCCTATATTGTTCAAATAAAATGTTGACCTTTTCCAGATGTCTGGATTATTTGCACCTTCTTTACTTTCACCCATGTCTTTTGATGAATGTTCTTGATTGTATTATTTCTATACTGGAAAATTACTTTCCGATTTGAATTTTCCTTGGAGTTCGGTATTTTTGTTATTTTACGTTTTACAATAAAATAAAGATTTGATTTAGAATACCTGTATATGTTGAATGAATGCTAAAATTAAAAATATCTTTAATTAGTTGTATAAGATAGAAGCAATTCATCAAATATCATAGCTTCGGTTTTTTTTTGTGTTTTTTTTTAAGATGCATTTTAAGAACAAGGGGATTTGTTACAATAATATTAGATGTCATATTTTTGTTATTATAGGATGCCCTAGGAGATAGTCCTGTAGTAGATGCTATAGTAAGACAACAGGGAGATAGTACAGAGATGTTAGATGTGATACTAGATTGGCCAGGAATTGACTTGAACTTTGAAAATAAAAATGGATTTTCTCCAATCCATATTGCTGCCAGGAAGGGAGATTTAGGGTAAGAGATAACTATACATATGCCATGAAAGAGCTGGGTAAATTGTTTTATGTCTGTTCGTCCGTCCTTTCGTTGGTCTGTGCCGTTAAATGTTTGTCACACTTTTCTTTGGAACTACAAATCTGATCTTCCTGAAATTAAATGTCAACCTTCATGTTAGCATGCTCTACTGTGTGATGTGTTTACAGATTTATTGATCAATAACTTATGGTTAACCAAATACTTATTTATATTCTTACACATGATGACCATGTATGAATGTTAATCACATGTTTCTAAGAAAATGTAAGAAGTTTGAGGCCCTAATGCAATTATGTATGACAAAATAAAAAAAATTACAGACTAATGACTTATGGTCATCTGAAGGATGTTATTCAGTAGATTTATAATAATTTTTGATTTTCAAATTCAAGGGGCCAAAAAAGTGGCCTTACAATACTTTTTGATTATCAAATTCAAGTGGCCAAAAAAGTGGCTTTATAATACCTTCTCTTTTTAAGTTTTGTTTGTTTGAGAACTCTTAAAAAGCTATTCCTGTTTTGTTGATAATCATCTCTTGATTAATTATATTTGACTTTTATCAACAGAGCAGTAAAAAATCTCTTAAAGAAGGACAGAAAGTTACTCAATAAGGAGAAGAGTGATGGGTACACACCTTTACACCTGGCATCATGTATGGACCATCATCAAGTCGTGCAATATCTACTGGACCAGGTATGTATGGACCACCATCCAGTTGTGCAATATCTCCTGGATCAGGTATGTATGGACCACCATCAAGTCGTGCAATATCTCCTGGACCAGGTATGTATGGACCACCATCAAGTCGTGCAATATCTCCTGGACCAGGTATGTATGGACCACCATCAAGTCGTGCAATATCTACTGGACCAGGTATGTATGGACCACCATCAAGTCGTGCAATATCTCCTGGACCAGGTATGTATGGACCACCATCAAGTCGTGCAATATCTACTGGACCAGGTATGTATGGACCACCATCAAGTCATGCAGTATCTGCTGGACTAGGTATGTATGGACCACCATCAAGTTGTGAAATATCTCTTGATCAGGTATGTATGGCCCACCATCAAGTCGTGCAATATCTCCTGGATCAGGTATGTATGGACAACCATCAAGTCGTGCAATATCTCTTGATCAGGTATGTATGGACCACCTTCAAGTCGTGCAATATCTCTTGATCAGGTATGTATAGACCATCATCAAGTCGTGCAATATCTCCTGGACCAGGTATGTATGGACCACAATCAAGTCGTGCAATATCCACTGGACCAGGTATGTATGGACCACCATCAAGTCGTGCAATATCTACTGGACCAGGAATGTATGGACCATTATCAAGTTGTCAGTTATCTCATGGATAAGATATGTTTATTGGTAGATCATTAAGCTATTCTCCCCCCAGGCAAGATGGCCAATAGCTTAGCTGTATTTGGCAAAACCTTTTTTAATGTTTTGATTTTCAATGCTTTTCAGCGTTGTATTTGATTTGGCCTTGCTATTGTTTTGATTCAAGTGCCATTGTCTTTTGTTAATGGAACTGGGTCTGGCACACCAAATTATAAATCTGGTATCTCTGAAGATAAAGGTTTTTGTTTTTTTTTTTTCAGTGATTTCTCTGGACATGGTTTGTTTAAGTGGTTACTACTAAGTGAGTCTGTTTTGACTTATCTTGTTTTGGTGTCATTTGAATAAAAGACAGAGAATACCAAAGAACACTGTAAATAACCCTTCGGATGTGAAAAGAATATCTTATTTTCCACATTCCTTATGTGCCTGTTCCATGTCAGGAGCCTGTAGTTCAGTGATTGTCGTTGGTTCATTTGTTTTATTTGTACATTGTTATGTTATAAATTAGGCTGTTAGTTTTCTCAAATGAATAGTTTCATATTTTTCATGTCAGGGCCTTCTATAGCTGACTATAGGGTATGGGCTTTTCTCTAATTTTCATGCTTTTTACACATCAAATAAAAAATTCTCAATCGGTGTGAGAAAAATATTTCTCATCTCTAGAGGAAACTTTGTTCTCAGCAAATGATCGGTCAGATTCAGTTATGACATCAAATTTTCTTGGTTTCTTCTGAATTTTTATTGTGACGCCATGAAAAAAGGCGATCATGCCTGATGACGTCACATAAAAAGAACACAACTTTCTGCAAATCTTTGCAAAGGAAGGATAAACTTTGTTTATATAAAGTCTAGTAAACATTAGAGAAACCAACATCAGTTAAATTTTAATTATTCATTAAAGGTCGGCAAGCCTCACGCTTTAGATATTAAGATTTAACTGTCTCGAGTGGAGAAATATCATAACACACTATGGTGGAAAGTTGTTTCATTGGCAATCATACCACATCTTATGATTTTTATACTTATTTTTCCAGCCTGGTATAAACATTGATGCTAGGACAAGAGACAAAGGTCAGACAGCTCTGTTGATTGCTTGTTTCTATGGCAGCAGAAAAACAGCAGATATTTTACTGAGTGAAAAATACAGTAAGTTTACTTTTGAATTATTATTGTTCTAAGGGTCTGAATTATATAGTAATAATTGGTTTTGGTTTTGCTCATTGTTGAAGGCTGTACAATGACCTATAGGTGCTTACATCCAAGTCAATTGGACTCTGGTGGAGAATTGCTTCATTCACAATTCCCTATTTTTATATTAGTCACTATCATTTATATGTATTAATTCTGGAACAACACAAGTGAAATATTTTGCTGTCACGGTTGTGCAAATGCATCCAATCTCATTTGGCTGAAAGTCAGTTACATGGTAAAAAAAATCATGTGGTGCTCAAATAGGGCAACAAGATTTTATTGAAATTTACTATGTTTCAAGGATCAAATCGTAAAATAGTTTTCATGAGTACCACGGTGCAAAATGTGTATTAGATAGATTAAAATGGCATCAAAGTAACCGTATTGGATGTTTTCAGTGAGATATAATGCATGTATAGTCAGGTAATAGTCTTGGGAGAAAGTTTTGCTTTGGTGATTGTAAAATAGTGAATAATTATTTCCGGAGCATCTGAGATCACCCTCCATTATTGGTGGGTTTGTTGTTCCTTCTTTATTCGTCTATGTTGTGTTTTGTATACTGTTGTTTATCTATTTATTCTATGGCATTGTCAGTTTGTTTTCATTATGAGTTTGAATATCCCTTTCATATCTTTCGCCTCTCTTTTAAAATATATATTTAAGGAATGACTGTAATATTTTTTCTGTCTATGAAGAAATAACATAAAAAATGTGGTGCACACTGAATAACCCGCGTAGTGGGTTATTTTAAAGTGTGCACCACATTTTTTATGTTATTTCGAATAGACAGAAAAAATATTACAGTCATTTCTTATAAATTAATTCTAAATTCCATTTTAAACCGGAGTAAACCATGAAAAAACGTTGATGACGTCATAGTCACATGACAAAATAATGTCTATGAGCTGATAAACATAACAACGTCAGCCAATCAGTAGACGCGTTACATCCAAAATTAAATTATTTTGACATAATAATTAATTGATTAGTTAAACTTGTTTTCACTTATTAAAAACTAAATATTTTATGAGGTTTGACAGTTTTGTTGACAACATTATTTTAATACAAACATTGTTTTTATTTCCAAAGATTGCCAGATTGATATCAGGGACAGTGATGGTAACAACGCCTTACATTTATGTCTGAGTGGTCCACCACAAGTCATGGAAATTACTGAAGTAAGTATGGGGGAAAATTTGAGGGGGTGTGACAATAAAGGGGAGATTATATTTGAGTGGTCCACGTGGCACAAGTCATGGAGATTACTGAAGTAAGTATGGGGGAAAGATTGACAGGGTGTGACAAGAAAGGGGAGGTTATTATTTGAGTGGTCCACCCCTAAGTCATGGAAATTACTGAAGTAAGTATGGGGGAAGATTGACAGGGTGTGACAAGAAAGGGGAGGTTATATTTGAGTGGTCCACCCCTAAGTCATGGAAATTACTGAAGTAAGTATGGGGGAAAATTTGAGGGGGTGTGACAATAAAGAGGAGGTTATATTTGAGTGGTCTACCACAAGTCATGGAAATTACAGAAATAAGTATGGGGAAATTTGAGGGAGTATGCCAGTATTTTATGTATCTATAACACATGTAAAAAATTTAAATCATATATTATTAAAGATTAATAAGAAATCATTAGAATTATTTGTACTACTGGAACAAAGACTTGATTATTATATAAAAATACATCTGTTCAACATTTATGATATAAATTGTTTGCTTTCCACATTTAGGAATTTCTTTTATTATTAAAGCAGGATTTTAATGAAAAATACCTCAGGCATAAAATTTTCGAACGGCAATATACTCTGTTTATAAATAATTGATTCATTTGTATTAACAGATTCAGAGATCAAACCTTCGAGAAAATGACAAACAAATAAAGCAACAACTAGACCTGGCAGAACTCTTAGTCAATAAAGGTGTGTCCTACACTGTTAAAAATAACAACGGAAAACTACCGCAGGAACTGCCTTCTGCAGAGAAATTGAAAGAAGAATTTACTGCTATAATAGTTTTAAGGTATGCAATTAAATATAGATTGTAAGATACCATTTTTGTCTCTCCTTGATGGAGTCAAAAAGTGAGACTTAGGTTACTAAGCCAGTGGCGTCAACAATTAGTTAATGTTTATGATTAGGTCAGTTCAAGGATAACCACTTATGATATTTGTTATGCAGTTGTATCAGCATTATTTGGCCCTGTACCTTTAGTCATGTTTCATTGACTTTGAATATTTTGCACAATTTACATGTGAAGGTATTGCTATTTTAATTTCAACATTTGTGTTTTAATATAAAAAAAATACAGGCGAGACATATCTCTGAGTCAACAGTTACTTCATAATGGCCTTGGTTTCCTCATGATGACTTCAACATTAAACTATTGAGTTTATTATAAATGTTGAAATATTACAAAACTAAATTTTGATCACATATTACAACATGTGGTAACTCAGAGGAGTCAAAATAACTTCTTACTGGAAAACTTGTTTTAGTATTAATATGAAACAAATTAAATTTCCTATAGATATGGGATTGTAAAATAAAGAATGAATACTTCACATTATTTTTTAAACAAAACATCCAAAAAAAAAAAAAAAAAAAACATTGTATCATATTTTTACAGTTTCAATTTTAGGAATCAAAATAGTCTGCTGAATTATGTTATAAGCTTTTATTTATACTTTTTCTTTGAAACAGCTTTTTTCAGGAGAAGGGCAATAAAATGCCTCTGCATATTTCAAATCAGTAGTAAACATTATAATATTGAAATTAAAAGACCCTTTATATTTTATATATGTAGAACTCAAATCTATGGTGGGTTCCATATCTATGGCAGATTTCAAATCTATGGCAAATATGATGTCACAAACGCCATACAAATCATAAATCTATGGCAGTTTTTGTTTTCTCCAAATCTATTGCAGATTTTGAAAAAACATAATTGTCTGGGGAAAAGTGTAAACTATAGCGTCATAATTATATAATGTCATATTACCCGGGACTCGCAGAGTTTTACAAACAAATACACAGGGAAACACTTTTCCCTCTTGGTTGTTTACAAGAAGATTTTGTCTTTTATCCAGAGGAGGGACAATATGTGTAATACTGTCCTAATCAGGCAATGAATAAAGGCACCACTGTTTTTAGAAGCGAATATTTATTAAATCGTTATCAGTAAAAAAAGATTTATTAACGCCCAAATAAATATTATGTAAAAAGGCAAATTGTTTAATTCTTTTTATTCAAACTGCATTTTGGTTTGTTAAAAGACTTTCATTTTGACTAATGGTTGAATGACTGGGTTGAACAGGTTCCATGCACAAAGGAAGAAATGCTAATTCTCCTGGGGTACATCATTTCACTTCTAAAGTTTGTTTCAGTGTATATGATTTCCTCACTTAAGAAATGTTATGGTCGCCATCAAGATTTTGGAAGCTCCATTTCACAAATAGTTATGAATATGCTTCCGTCGTCGTACTCCTAATCTGTTTTTCTAATACTGACTTTAACTTACTACTGCCTTTTTCGTTACCTTTGGACATTGGTACGGGTGCCACATTCATATCATGTCATAGATTTGGAAACTAGAAAATCCGCCATTGATTAGATCATTAGAAAAATTGTCATAAAATTGGATTTTAAAAAATCTGCTATAGATTTAAGATGGCATGACATCATATTTACCATTTGGAATCTGCCATGGATCTGGAACCCGCCATGGATGTGAGTCCTACATATATACTGCTGACCAAACAATTGAACAACTAACTATAATCACACATAGAAAAAAAAGTAAAAATATACAGTAAAAACTGTATATCAAGGTCACCCTCCAAACCAGAAAAAAATGACCTTATAAGAAATATGACTTTTGAATTAAGGTACAAAATGCATAGGTATTACAACAGTGCGACAAGGAGAAGGTGACGTGCCAAGACAGGATTTTGCTTCAGTGAGCTGGTGACCTTAATTGCAGATAGGACTTAGATATTACAACAAGGACAAGAAGGAAGAGACCGTGGAATGTTGAAATGATTTAGTTATTGTGATCATTAAAATTATATCTTATTGTAGATCGAGTAGAGAACAGCACCAGTTATGTCCCTTGTGTGAAGAAGAAGGTAACGAGGTGTATGCTGTATTTGTGGTACAGCCGTGTGGATGTTCTCTTTGTAATGGATGTTTCAATCCTAAGTTCAAACGATGCCCTAACTGTGGTAAAAGTATACAGTCATCCACAAAACTCAAGAGGAAGTAATCTTTCAGAACTGTGGTGAAAAATTTGTTGTTTTGAGTCAATCTGATTGAAATTGAGTAATTTTTTTTTCTAACTATTTATTCTGTGGCATAATATGTAAAAATGACAAATTGGTAAAATTGACAAATGATGTTGTGTTATGGATGGAAGCAATGTCTTTTACAAGCTTGCTGAGACTGCACAAAGTAATTAAGTTGTTGTATTAGTCCTTTGTATTGGTGCATTGTATTGGTCCTTTGTATTGGTCCTTTGTATTGGTGCATTGTATTGGTCCTTTGTATTGGTCCTTTGTATTGGTGCATTGTATTGGTCCTTTGTATTGGTCCTTTGTATTGGTCCTTTGTATTGGTGCATTGTATTGGTCCTTTGTATTGGTCCTTTGTATTGGTGCATTGCATTGGTCCTTTGAATTGGTTCTTTCATCAGTGCATTGTGTTTATTGAAGAAGAAAATTGAATTGAAATATAAATGTAATAGTTGGAACTATAATAGAAACAGAAAGGAATTACAGCATTGCTGAATATTTCTGATCTATTTTTGTGCTTATTGTTAGTAAAATATAAAATCAAAACATTGTATGATTATTCCCCTTATACTGCAACTCTAGAAAATATTTCTATATTGGACAAAAGTATTTTTATGTTGAAAATAAAGATTTTGGTCATGAAGGGATGATAAAAATGCTTTTATGTAATTGGTACAATTTTGATGGCATATCATTTCTTATCTCTCTGAAGATGTCTCTTTTTGATGTTGTTGGTCTTGATCATCCATACCCAAAATCTCCTCTTATTCGTATCGTACACTTTAAGAAAAGTAGAATTCAGTGAAAACAGTTAGACTTCAGAGGCAACACTTTTAATGACATTATTGTACATTATTAAATGCTTTTTTATACATTGCAGTTTACTGATCTTTTAAATTTTGTTGGTTAAAAGCTCTACAGAGTAAATGTTACTTGTATCAATTTGTACCTCTTTGCAGGTAGCAGTATGAGTTAAATTGTATATGGTTATGATATTCTATGAATGCAAATAAAAGTGTTATATAAATCTTATTTAGTTGTTAATTCTACCAGTGTCACAAATATTTGGTCTTTCGATCATTCAACAATTTACCAGACATTAGGTCTAATATTGAATTCTACAATTTACCAGACATTAGGTCTAATAATGAATTCTACAATCTACCAGACATTAGGTCTAATAATGAATTCAACAATTTACCAGACATTAGGTCTAATAATGAATTCTACAATTTACCAGACATTAGGTCTAATAATGAATTCTACAATTTACCAGACATTAGGTCTAATAATGAATTCTACAATTTACCAGACATCAGGTCTAATAATGAATTCTAGAATTTACCAGACATTAGGTCTAATAATGAATTCTACAATTTACCAGACATAAGGTCTAATGAACATTCTACAATTTACCAAACATTAGGTCTAATAATGAATTCTACAATTTACCAGACATAAGGTCTAATGAACATTCTACAATTTACTAGACATTAGGTCTAATAATGAATTCTACAATTTACCAGACATTGGGTCTAAAAAGCATTCTACAATTAATCAGACATTCTGGGTCTAATAAACATTCTACAATTTACCAGACATGCAGGATCTAATAAGGTTTCTACAATTTACCAGACATGCTGGGTCTTTTAAACATTCTACAATTTACCAGGCATGCAGGGGTCTTATAAGCATTCTACAATTTACCAGACATGCAGGGTCTAATAAGGTTTCTATAATTTATCAGACATGCAAGGTCTAATAAGCATTCTACAATTTACCAGACATGCAGGGTCTAATGAGGTTTCTACAATTTAGCAGACATGCAGGGTCTAATAAGGTTTCTACAATTTACCAAACATGCAGGGTCTAATAAGGCTTCTACAATTTACCAGACATGCTGGGTCTAATAAGCATTCTACAATTCACCAAGCATACAGGGTCTAATAATAATTTTACAATTAACCAGACATGCAGGATCTAATAAGGTTTTTACAATTTACCAGACATGCAGGGTATAATAAGCATTCTACAATTTACCAGACATGCAGGGTCTAATAAGGCTTCTACAATTTACCAGACATGCTGGGTCAAATAAGCATTCTACAATTTACCAGACATGCAGGGTCTTATAAGCATTCTACAATTTACCAGACATGCGGAGTCTAATAAGCATTCTACAATTTACCAGACATGCGGAGTCTAATAAGCATTCTTCAATTTACCAGACATGCAGGGTCTAATGAGGTTTCTACAATTTAGCAAACATGCAGGGTCTAATAAGTTTTCTACAATTTACCAAACATGCAGGGTCTAATAAGGCTTCTACAATTTACCAGACATGCTGGGTCTAATAAGCATTCTACAATTTACCAAGCATGCAGGGTCTAATAATAATTCTACAATTTACTAGACATGCAGGATCTAATAAGGTTTTTACAATTAACCAGATATGCAGGGTCTAATAAGGCTTCTACAATTTACCAGACATGCTGGGTCTAATAAGCATTCTACAATTTACCAGACATGCAGGGTCTAATAAGGTTTCTACAATTTACCAGACATGCAGGGTCTAATAAGCATTCTACAATTTACCAGACATGCTGAGTCTAATAAGGCTTCTACAATTTACCAGACATGCTGGGTCTAATAAGCATTCTATAATTTACCAGACATGCAGGGTCTGATAAGCATTCTACAATTTACCAAATATTTAGTCTGATAAGTGTTCTACAATTAACCAGATATTTGATTTGAAAAACATTCAGCCATTTACCAGATTTTAAACTGATAAGTCACAGACAAATTGACAACGAAATGGTAAAAATGAAAACATAAATAAAATCTACAAAACACAACATAGAAAACTAAAAACAGAGCAATATGAACCCCACCAAAAACCGGGAGAAATCTCAGATGCTCTGAAAGGGTAAACAAATCCTGTCCACAAAATGTTTGATTTTATAATCATTCTCAATTCCTCAAAATTTGGTTCGATTTACATATGATACTTATGATGTAATAAACATGCAATTTACCCTACATTCGGTGTAATGAACATTTTATAATTTATCCAGCGTAAGGTATAATATGATTCTTAAGTTTACCAGAAATATATGATTTTGTAAAAGAGAGACGAAAGATACTAAAGGAACATTCAAACCCACATGTCGAAAATAAACTGACAACGCCATGGCATAAAAAGGACAAACAGACAAACAACAGTACACAAAATACAACATAGAAAACTAAAGACTGAGCAACACGAACTCCACCAAAACCTGGGGGTGATCTCAAGTGCTTTGGAAGGGTAATCAGATCCTGCACCACATGTGGCACCTGTCGTGTTAGTACAAACCCGGTAATAAGTCTAATTCGGTAGGTCACATTAGGGGAAAATGGGACGGGATTGTAGTTACGACATTTGGAACATATCCGCTATTATCTGTGAAACGGATATTCCATAACGGTTAACCAACTCGTGATGGCGTCCGTAAAATTTACGAAGGGATGATTTCAACTTCACAACTTGAAAATCTTGGTTTAATAGCTTTCTTGTGAGCGCAACCCTCTATCAAGGAAATCATGATAGGAAACACAAGCCCTGGAATATCATATCAACTGAGAGATATATACTCCTTATGCAGGCGCTGCTGAAATGTTGCTACATAGAAATGAAAAGTTCACAATTGGGAAGCTAAAATCATCTCTTTTGTCGTAAAGTTTTACTTTCAACCGACCCTCATTGTCAATTTCTAGACGAAAGTCAAGATGTAAGGCAGACTTAAATGTAACTGTTGTATCCTTTATCTCAAGTTCGATGGGATAGATGCGTTCAACATAGTCACCAAATTTTGAATTATTTAGTGAGAGAACATCATCTATATAGCGGAAAGTAAAGTTAAAGGACACTGGTAACTTAATTTCTTTCTTCCTAAGAAGTTTCTGTATGAAGCCAGCCTCATATGAATAAAGGACAAGTCGACAAGAAGAGGGCATAGTTGGTTCCCATGGGAATGTCGATTGTTTGTTGAAAAACACGTCCTCCAAACGTAACAAATATGTTGTCAATCAAGAAATCAAGCATCTTGATAATGTCAGTTTTAGAAAATTTTTTGTTTGAATTAGAGTGATTTTTTACAAAGTAGGATGTATCCCTCCCTAAGACGAGGTACTTGTACCTACGTTGGCCATTCTTTTTTATGAAACAAAGCAGAACTAACTCTTTCAATTTGTCTTTTAGTTTTGAATGGGAAATAACTGTGTAAAGTGTAGAAAAGTCAAATGTTTTAATACTATTGCAAGATGAAAGAGTCTTATATTGTATGTACTCTAAAAGATCTTTGGACTACCCATGAAGGTCTCACACGGTCGGAAGATATTTGGTTTGAAAACATAAGACATTTAACAAGATATTTGGTTTTGTATACATTCTGTGATTTACCACACCTGGCAGAATTTTTCAAGGCTTCAAATTAAAAAAATGATATTGGATTTTAAGTATCATTCTAAAACAAAATTTAAAGTGATTCACATGAATGGAGAACTTGTAAACATTTTAATAAGTTATTCATTAGACTTAGATTTGGGAATATACCAAGAAGCAGGTATATATGCTTCTTCTTGTACTGCCTGTTTCTATAAACAAATTGGCTACAGAATTACTAAGATATGCACAGCATACCATGTATTTTTATCTCTATTTATAAAAATTTCATTGTGTTTGTATAAATTTTAAATTTTACATAAAGAAATACCTGAACCAAGTCAGGAATATGACAATTGTTTTCAATTCGCTTGATGTGTTTGAGCTTTTGATTTTGACATTTGACATCATCATATCTTTACTGTGGGGCTACATTGTTTTTGGTTTCTCAATATAATTGTTTAACACTCTTATGTCTTGAATAATCTTATTGTTAACGGAATTGAAAATTTCTTTAAATCAGTGAAGTTTTGTAATCCAACCAGATTCAAAACTGCTTTTATCTTTGTTTATAGGTTGATTGATAACGTTTTATTTTGTCAGTTTTTATAGACTTCCCCTTTTTGAAATTACCTATGAGATCTGTATTTTTGATATACTTTTTTTTTATAGATTATGAAGATTACGAGATTTGAACTACTGTGGCCTCAATGTATGCAAATTCTCTTATCATACAGACACTATCACTAACTTTGGGATTGCCAGTCTCGTTCTGATATAAAAACTATAATCTTACTAGAAATCAAAACTTGATACCTTGTGTTTATGAGTCTTTTTTTTCCTTAAATCATTATCTTTTAAATAAGGCTTTGTAAATCTTGAATGACTGTCATTGGAAGTTCTTGTGTAAGAAAAGCATATTTATAGTTTCAAAACTTGGAGATCCTGGTTTGAAAGCCAAGTTTGTACAAAAATAAATATTTTCGTTTCCTTGGTTTCTAAATCTGCACGATTTCTCACATACACGTAAACACAATTTAAACAATACTAACTAAAATGGAAGCTGTAGAATACAAATTACTACGAGTATATTTCATTTGTCATCACAATTTTGTCCTTCATCCTGCGTTAATAACTCATCACCGAAAACAGTTATAGATAGACTGTCATTTAGAACACAACTTATGTCACTATTGTGAAACTACCTACTTACCATTACCATGAGGCACATGAATTGTATATATGGTTCATGTTGATCGCTCTTTATTTGTATGCATTTTGGAAGTTTATTTGAACAAAAGAATATCTTGGGTACACACCAATGATATATCAACACAATACATCTTGAGATCAACATACTGTCGGAATAAAACAAAGATAATAAATTAAACTCAGACTATCAAAGATCTGACATCAACCTCAAATTTTTAATATACTATTTCAAAAATACCCATAAGATCTGACATAAGTTATCACTTGGGTTTGAATACCATGACTATGTGGCGATACCAGATCGCTTTTGTTTAGATTTCATCTCTCGTCTTAACATGCTTAAGTATTAATATCTCATCAAAGATATCAGGCTTATAATTTGGTACGTC